AGCTGGTCGTAAGGCGTCGTCGCGCCGCTCCTAAGGGTCAGGGAAGGCGAACTGCCTGATCCCACAATCGACGGCGGCCATTGCGGCGCCATGAAGTCGTCGGGATGGACCTGGCTGGAGCGGTTGGAGTCTATGTTGGTGGAGAGCAATCGCGGATGGGAGTCGTCAGAGCCCGTGGGTTGATGGCGTCGGAAGTCTTCTATCTCGACCATCTCCTCATATTCTTCCTGATGGCTTTTCACCATGGTGGACGACTGTTTTTATGTGGCTGGGCCACAAGCGAGAGACAAAAAAGGGTCTGATGGGTAGCCAAGGGTTGAGCGAGGGAGAAGCCGGTCAGCCCGGGGTGACGAAAGGGTTCCTCTCTGTGTTTTGCCAAAGATCAAATAGCAGTACTGGAAGCCGTAGTCCGTATTACTAGTATCGATGGAAGAGGCGTACGCCTAAGCCGTCGTCACAGATGCTAGATCCCACCGTAGAAAACGAAGGCGGCAGCAGAGAAAGCTATCCTTGGTGGTATCACGGGTGTGTCGCTGGAGGGGAACGGCTGAAAGGGCTCTTTTCCGGTAAGAGGAAAGATGATGTGTGCTAAACGAATGTGAGCAGCGAAGTTACTCGCCGCAGATGATGGAAGAGGGGTGACGGGGAATAGCGAAGGTTTGAATGGAGAGCGAGAGAGGAGAGAGATGTGGAAGAAGAAGAGGCTGAGACGGAAGGAGATGAATATTAGCTGATGAGATGGAGGTGTGGCAGCAGTAAGGTAGGTAAGGTACTTGAGGTTCGCACCCCAGGCCGCAGGTGCATGTACCGGGTACGGCTGGCAGGCAGCCCGGTGTTTGTACCGGGTACCTTGCGGATCTGCCATGGGTGCGTGGAGCTGCCTCACCTGCTGAGGTACCTTCAGTACATGTGTGTAGCGCTGGTGCGAGGACAACCACCGGGTGGTGCCCTACCGTATTTGCGGGTTTTGCTTCTACGAGTAATACTGTCCGCTTCTTTTCCAAGGCACGGTGCCTGCAAACTGGGACCTGGAGCCTCGGTCTCTGTTACGGTGTTTACGAGTTACTTGGTAATACTGCAATGCGTGCATTTGCGTCCTTGAATGCGGCCGTTTGGGCCGAGAGAGGCGGCTGGGACGGGCAACAGGTGGGTGGGGGTAAGGGGACGAGGGATATCGAAGGGAAGGGGAGGTGATGCCCTGCTTTGTTTCCTTTCTGATGCCTTCTTTTGTTTTCTGCTGCGAAGTTTTCAGTCTTCTTTGTTGATCAGGGACAGCTGACATCACGGTCTCGCAAGCATAGCGTATCGGCAGGGCAAAGCATGAACAGCAAGTGGTCGTTGAGACGGCAACACGAGACAGAAGCCGCCGGGCAATTTGATCACAACATGGAACCTCATGTTGTGTGTGGACTGGCAGCGGGAGCGACGGGTGGTAGTGGGCTGCCAGTGGGCTGTCAGTGGTCACACAAAGTCAGCAGCTCCCTGGAAGCAAGTTGCTGCAATTGAGTTGATAAGCAAATTGAGTCCAGCTGGCATCTCATGTATTACCTGCTCGCCATTATCAAGAAAAATCTCTGTCTGCTCTTTCCTATCACCTCGAAAGGACCTCGTACAGCGTACTGCATCTGCCTTGTTGCAGGGGGAATATGTGAGCTGCTGCTTCGTCCTGCGTTGGACGATGCCTGTGTACACATGGAAACAAAGTGCTCACGTATGACTTCGTACGGTATCGTCCTCTGTCCTCGCCCTCGGTCAAACTGTCCGGACTGCTACTAGAAGTTCAGGTTGAAGGCGGTGCTTGCTAGCCTGCGGAGCTGGCTGCTGATGCAGGTACTCAGTACTTGTGTCAGCCGTGCTCTCCAAGCGCAAGCCCGGCCATGCGTGCCCCCCCGTCTTCGCATCGTATCTTGTACAGGGTACCGTTGCGCCATGCAGGGTTCCCACCATTTTTCTCGTGTTTTCTGGCGAGCGGCTTGGGCGGGATAAGGCGAGCAGGGGGAGAGGGAATCGTCGTCATAGGCTAACGGGGTCGAAGCGACAGATGCAGTCTAGAGGGAACGCAAGCAACGTTGACACAAGGCCACACCTTTTTGGCTTCCCTGGTCCGTTTTCTCGTCGTCTTGCCTGCCTTTTCGTCTGCTCCTCCAATACGAGGCCGGAGTGGCGTGACGTGGGCCTTGAGTAGTGGTACTTTGTTCGTCTCGATCTTTGTTTGGATGGGAGATGTTGCTGAGTCGTGGAAAGGGAGGAGCTTCTAATTTTGGATCTCTGTCTTTTACCTAGGTCAGTAGGTAATCATGAATAGCTTTTCCACCACTCGTATGGGCTGTGTGTATCTACCTAGACACCTCGTTCACGCGGGCAGCCGAAGCTGTCAGAATGTCTAATGCATTGACGCTTGCCCAGACAGACAGCCTTGACATGTGCTTGACATGCAGCAGCGCGTGCCAAGCGGAGCAAGACATCGACTGACGGCAACAGGCGCAGAGCAGGCTGCGAGAATTACCTTGTTCGTTATGCTTGAGAGCAAAAAAAAAAAAAAAATCACTAGCCCGTCGCGGGAGGCTGAAGCACGAAACAGCGCCGCTGCGCTCATTCGACGTCTCCTGCCTGTCCTTGTCAAGCCACACGCCTCTTGTTGGGTCTGCTTCATCTCGGACGGAGCTGACGAACCTGTAAATAATAGGGGGTGCGTGCTGTGTCAGTACTGTACAGCATGTACATCATGTAGATAAGCCAATTCGAACGGGCGTGATTGGCTCAGAGCGTGAAACTGGCCGTCTGAACTGATACCAAAGGTCGGTCATACGCCAGGTTCTCTCAATCTCTCGCTCATTCAGGAACACAAGTTGGACGTCGCCAAGGCACCGTTCCCTGTTCCCGCCGTCCACTTTTCCATGTTGCATCTTATCTCGCAGGCTTTGACTGCAGCGGCGATCGTCGCGCGGGCTCCGTGGTGAGACTCGAGTCGGGACGCTGCTGCTTGACAGCCTCAAGGGATGCTTTGTGCTCTGCTGTCGTGGGTTCATGTTCCTTGTTTCCAGAGGCCGAGTAACTGCCCTGTAACGAAGCAACGAAACACTGCAGAATGGAAAAGATAGAGGGGCGAGCCTTCGTCTCCACAATCGGGATAAGGAAACCAGATTAGGCTGTGATTGGCTTAGCGCAGATGGACCACCGTTGTGGAGTACTCGTACTAATTCACTTGACACCGGCAGGAACTGCAAAGCCTGGAGGCAGCATGAACACCTGAAGCGAGGGAATATCATGGAATTCCAGCGATGGACAGAAGTTCAGGGAGTGGCCTGTTAATGAGAGCACCGCGACTCTCCGAAAGATTCCATGTACTATACTCGTATGGACAGTACCTATGGAAACTCGTATGCTGCAATCATGTGGCCAGCAGCAACATGCAACTACCTAGTAGATGGCAGAGGGCCAGAGAAGCGCCGATTGGGGAGCGATTGGATCAACTGCAATCGTGTGCAAGGAGCCGTTTGTGCTTGTGCATGCATCTGCTCCTGGGCGAGGCGTGTACCTGTACGACGGCTCCCACTGACGCACAGACGAACAGACAAGGAGAAAAGCAGAGAGGATCAACAGCCTTGAGACAATCCCGATGGTCGTACCTTCATCTCAGCATGCAGGTGGCTTGCATGCTCATCTACCTTGCCGTACTTGGCACCGCCTCTCAAGAAAGCAAGTCTCCATCGTCACACTTCAATCTCCTCCTGACTATCGACCAGCTCGATCATAGCGATTGACCACGAGTGGCTGGTGTCAGGACAGAGATTGTCTGAGCCTGTCCTTGTGCGTCACTGCAGTCATGAATGGCAGCCCGGCAACATCGGCTTCTCCCTGTGACGGGATCGAGAGCGAACCGAGCCTTGTTCTCTGGTCGTCTTCTTGATCTGGTCACTGAGTGGTTCATCTCATGCATCCTCACGTAGCACCCTATGCGTCTTGCTGCCTTATCTACGTGATGATGGCTGGATCGATGCCGCCTGTGACACCAAGCCACCAGGGTCGGTGAACCTGGCAACATGGACGATAGAGGAAATTCGATGTGTTAACCGCCCTGCTCAACGGCATCTCGACTGCCAGATCGGCACCTCTTCGCCCAGCCTCGTCTAAGGTAAGTACAGACAGTACATGTAATACTCCGTACTTCGTCCACTTCGTCCGTCTCCTGGCTGGACACACACAGCCGCTGAGTGCATCATCCGTCGTCACAGGTGATCCACCGTCCCAGTTTTTGACTTTTTTTCTTTCCCTTCATCGCCCAGTTCCATCTCCTCGGCCGTAATTTGTCCAGTCCCGAAACATTGGCGATCAAGCTAAATCGAGGCTTGTCTGAGGTGGCGCCCACTCGAATCGCATCACCACCACTGCCAATGCCTTGGATCAGCGCCCGACCAGGACCGCATCTCGGAGCATGGATGGAATTCGATCGAGCTGCGGCTCGTCAGCAGCCCTGGAGCCCCGAGGGCCACACCCCTGATCCAGCTCTGCAGCACCTCGCGGAACCGCTGAGGCGCAACCGGTCTGTGCGCTAGACCACTAAAGCCCGCCCACCGCGTCCGCTAGCGCCGCTGTAGCCAAAGACGGTAGCGGTGCCAACTTGCCCAAGTACCGGTACGCGACCGAGCGTTGGCCAGCGCCAGGCACCCGGTACTTTGCACAAGCCCTGCGTCCGGCCCGCGCATGTACCTCGTACCCCGTACCTCGTACCTCACCTGTCGCCCATCCCGAGCCGTGCCTGCAGCCTTGCTTGGACGAGAACGAGATTCCTCGTATCGCTGACTTTCTTTCTCAGCAGCTCTCTCTCACCCCTCCATCCCAATGTCCAGCGGCTTGACAAAACCGTTCGGATCTCTCTCGACGACGCTCGCTCGTTGAACCTCCGCAGCTGCTGCGGCAAAGACGCTCGTTACATCCTTTGTTTGCTCTCTGTTGCTTCTCTCGTTCGTTTGTTGCCTCGTCGAGTCCGGACAGCCGCGATGACGATCCGCGTCCTCGTCAACGCTGCGCTGCTGGCCATCCCCATCGCCGTCACCTTGGGCATCTTGTTCGGCCTCCAGTCCCATCGATCAGCAACTGGACAGCCGCCGCTGTTTGCGCCCGAACCGCCTCCGATCCCAACGCCCAAACCGAAGGTGCCGCATAATGGCATCACAAAGACGAGATACTGCCAAAAGTCGATTGGCATCACCCCCGAGACCAAGGGCCAGCAATATACCCGTACGTGCCGCCCACCATGTTGCCGCCTCCAGGCCTTTCTTGGATATGGATGGGATTTGTGCTGTGGTGAAGCTTCGCGCGGTGGGAAGAGCTCCAGAGCAGCCTCATATTGGTGCAATGCTGGTCATTGCGAGCTTATCATTGCGACCTGCAATATGATGTATTGGCGCTGAAGCTCTGCTCACCGTTTCCGACGCTCAACCGGATTGCTGTCTCCAAATTTGGGGAATAGCATCAATCTTGGTATACTGACATATGCTCGTCACAGTGAATCCTAACCAGTGGAATTGGAACACCGGCGATCCGGGAGGTCTTTGCTTGAATGTATGTAAACTCCATCTCAAGATATTTTCGCTTCAAGGTCACTTGCTAATGGTCGGGCAAAGGTTACCACGTTTAACAACGGCACATACGCCACGGATACTACCGCTCCTCAGTTCATGATCTCATGGCAGTACCCGCCTGGGCCTGAAGACAATCCCGTCCATGCTTTCCCCAACATCCAGGTCGATACCGACGTCTTCCCCGCGACCATCAACACCATCTCCAAGGTTGATGTTGATCTCGAATGGTCCTATGGCATTGGCAACGAGACTACTGAGGGTGCGACTCTCGCGGAGCTCACAGCCGATAACCTCAACACCAACGTCGCCATCGACATGTTTATCGACAGCGATAAGAAAGCGGCGCAAGATCCCTCCAAGGCCAAGTACGAACTCATGGTGTGGTTTGCGGCTATTGGCCCTGCCACCCAGCCCATTGGTTTCGCCCAGGGTTCGGTTTCCACCCAGACGCTTGATGGCAATAAATTGTGAGTAGCTTGTTTGGCTGATATCTGGGAACCTCGCGAATCGACTGCTGACAAGGATGGCCTGCAGCGATCTGTACGCCGGCGTCAACCAGCAGAAGCAAAACGTCTTGACTTGGTACACGGATACGCCGGTGGAGAAGTTCAACGGGGACATTTCTCCCCTGATTAACAGTCTGTTCAAGCTCACTGCTACCGCTGCCGACCTGCCCAAATCTGGCGATTACCTTGGATACCTGGCCCTGGGCTCCGAAGCCTTTTCCGTGGACAAGACGGTCACCCTTTACGTCCCGAAGCTCGCGATAGACATAGAAACAGATACCTCAAGTACTTAATAATACAGCGACCTGATTTTTTGCTTTCCACGTCACTTTTGATTCGGTTTCAGATATCCAACGCTGCCTCGAAGATTTCCTTTTTTGGTCCGCTGAACCGGTATGATTGGGCGTCGTGCTGATGAAAGATTTTACCCGTCGATGGACATATTCGGCTGAAATGATGCTGCCAAGCCCCTCCCTGGGTGTAACCTCTGGTGGCAGTGGCGATGAAAAATCTCCTATGTCGATGACGGCACGTCCAGCCCTTGCCAGAACACAACGTTTAATCAATCGATCGAGCGAGAGGCGCGGCATCCAAGCAGATCCGATCTTGGGTTACAGGCATGGTCAAGCAGCTTGCAAGGAGGATGAGAGAGAACTAGGCAGGCTTGGCAGGGTTATGTTCTACTGTGCCCGGAGTAACAGCATTGTTGTCAAAGGGCGTTTAGCAGTATGGAGTTTGGGTTGGCTTTTAGTTGTGCCTGGCCGTTTCAACATTCACTCGAGACGGCGCCGACGGCCCCAACAACGGAGCTCCAGTGACATGTTCTTCACCGTGAAAATTTGTTTACTCTCCTCATCTGGTTGTCGCACTTGTTGTGCCTACCTAGTAGTGCCAGGTCCTCCCGACAGGTCGGTACTAACGGTGGAAGAGTGGCACCCCGTCAAGACCCGGCACACGGAGAGGATCGTGGCAAAACTCTTCGGGTAAAAAGGCTGCGGACGGACGGCTTAATTGATCTGGGCAGCCTTGCCATTGACCAATAAAGATGCTTGTCGGCCGTGACTTATTTTTAGAATGGTCAATGCTCTCTTTTTTTTCTCTTTCTTTTTCTTTCTTTTTTCTTCAGCCGCCTTGCCGGCCGTTGCATGAATCTTCATGAGCGCCTGTGCTTTTGACATCGGAATTCGAATCTGATAGTGACTGACCCCGGAAGTGAGAAGTGGGTTGCCTGGGAGTTGTGGTTCCTGATGACGATTGTATGTCTTCATCGACTGAAGGTTCTAGCAAAGGAGATTGCACGTGCCTGCATGTTTCAACGCATGATAGGAAATACGGCTCCTGATCTGAATGGGCATGGCGATGCTGAAATCCGGATTTACCGTGACTCGCTTCCTCCCGCGATGCCATGCGGAAATGTTGAGTTGTCTGCGAAAGGCGGGACGACGATGCCTACCTAGTAAGTACTAAAGAGCTAGGCTCGAGATGGAGGTAGTTATGGGGACGAAGAGGTGAAGGAAGAGGAATAAGAGGGAAAAAAGGCTCATATAACGGGATATCGCCACCCCGATGTCGATGGAGTTCTGGTTCAGATGCTATCTTTCTGTGGTGTTTTAGCGTAGCCTATGCCGTTGCTAGTGTTTCCTTGTTCCTGACAATCCTCATGAAGTTTTATGGACTTGTTGCCTTGGTCGAACCCCTGGCCTGTCACAGGAATTGTGGTGCTGTGGCCCACACCGAGAAGGGCCGTGGATGTCAATACCGAAGCAGATTGGGTGGGTTGATAAGGACGAAAGCTTTAGAAGGTATCACATATCTACCCTACCACACTTTGGCATAGTACTACGTACAGGTAGGATATGGAGCTTCTCGGGAATGAGTCCTTTCTGGCAGGTGGACTCCGTGTTTTGTCTGAAGGGCATAAGAAGTCATGACTTCATGTCTGTGGTTTTGATGCCCAAGTTCGAATTGTTCAAGGTTTGTAAGCTTGTTTTTGTTAACGATTGTGAAGCGAGCTCTCGATCGACGATGGAGATGATGATGGATATGTCTTCAAGGTTGCTTTTTGCGCTGGGCTAGGATTGGAGATATTGTACCCTGTGAGAATGTCGACTTGTTAACTTTGATGCTTTTATGTAGGTCACGGAGATGCTTTCTCGGGAGTGGATGAGGTTGACAATCTAGTATCGTCATGTTGACAGAGATGCCTTGTTGTTCGAACCAGGGTGTTGAAAGCTCTTCGCTGCGTTGATGCTGAGATTGTGGGATCGTGAGGGGAACGGGGACAGGAAGAGTTGCGGTCTAGACGACGATTGCGGCATTCCCTTCTCTTCTTGTGTGATTGTTGTCTGGTGGTGCGTATGGATCATGTGGGTGATGAGTTGCGCGGACATGGTAGTTGCCCTTTGGCATGACTGCACTTGTGGTCGATTGGAGATGTGATGACGGTAAGCCAACTTCAAGCATTGCTTTGCCCATGGTCAATCACTGCTGTTGATTCCGTATCAATGCGCTCAAGGATCTTTAAGATGATGATGAAGAGGTATAGGGTTGGTTGACCAATGATGGACTGAGCTGCGGAGAAACACAGTCAAGATGAATTCGAGGTCAAGCCGAGCAACAACACCAGCGCATGGGACCAGACGTCAAATGGTCTATATCAGCGAACTTACGGGCCTGACCGCGTAGCGGCCCCAAAGAAACTCGTCCAGATAAACGCCCACCTGACCTTTCCAATGACCTCTACAAAGCCCTAGTAGTGACTGACTTTGAGCTCCTGTTCTACCAACTCGATAGCCTCGAGATATGCTCCTGTTCAAAGTTAGCATCCCGATCATCTTGCATGACGTCTCACTGATATACTCACCCGCAACACTCCATCTCCGATTCGCCTTCCGCAAAAGCTCCAGACACAGCGACACCTGGGAAGTATACTCCGACGCAACAACAGAGGCCGACGTGGCCGTGAGATAGACCAAATTCGCCAGGCACTGGTATATGCTATCCAAGAACCAGGGCGACAGGCTGGCGAGGTTCTCAATGGACTCGTGGTCCTGCACCATTTCGCCGAGGACTTCCACAAAGGTCATTGCCTTGGCGATGCAGTCCTTCATGATGGCTTGGCAGCGGAGGGCGATTTCGCGAGCGATGGCCATTTCGGCTACGTCGAGGGCTCTGTCGTTGTATACGGCGAATGAGTCGCAAGAGTGGTAGTCGCATAGCTTCATCAGGGCGCTGAGTATCGCTCTTAGCTCTCGAGACGATGACTTTTACCTGACAATATGGGAGACTTACCTTAGACAGACACCGACGGCGCTGTAGAAATGCATCATGCTTGATCTGTCTTTGCTGATGACGTCCAAGAATGACCATATGACCTGGCTGAGGACCTCGACGTCGTTTTGGACGTGTGTCAGGCTCTGCGTGTCGTCGTTGCAGTGCTTGATGACTTCGCCTTGGAGATGGGAGGCTTGCGCTAGGCGGGCGAATGGGCTTGCGGATAGGTGTTTGGATGAGGACAGGATGAGACGCTCAGGATACATGGCTTGCTGTGGATGGTAATGAGCATCTGTATGTCGTGTGATAAGACTAATAGTGGTGGCTTACTCCAGAGTCCCAGGCGTCATCGTCGACAGGGAGATGAGAAGTTGTTTTGGGGTCGGCAGATAGAAGGGGTCTGCTGTCGCCCACGGAATTGATATATCTATTCACGTCAGCCTCCCAATTCATTACAACGGTTAGCAGAGGGAAATACCTCTCAAGAATCACCACGAACCACCAGACACGCTGTCTCTCCTCCCAGTCTATCCAAGTCCGCGGCTGCTCCAGAATCTGAGGGGCTTCGCGATGATGAATCCCAAGCGCCATGGCCTGTGTCACGCAGCATCCCGCCGAAATATATGCAGCAGGGAATATGCCATGTCCCATCTCATACACCGCGATGAGCAGATTCGCCTGCAGCTTGAGCAGCGTATAAACGCCGGCAATCTCCAGAGACGCCGCAAACTCCTTGGCGGAGACGTATAGCCCGTCTCGCACCGCGTTGGATGAGTTCCCTGGAACATGCTGGGTAAGCTTCATGGCGACGAGCAGCAAGGCGAAATCCGCCCTCATACGGCCGCCCAGCTCTGCATCGGCAAGAGCGGATAACCGGACCCGGCTGATGATGGGCATCCACTTGTGGACGGTCTGGAAGTACTGTGCCATGATGATGGCGCTCTGCGCCTGGTCGCCAAGGTGAAGCAGAACCGGGCCCGGGATCATGTCACTTGACGGCGGTGGCGGAGCATCGGGGCGGGTCTGGATGTCCGTATCCAGGAAGAGCTTCTGGAAGCGGAGGGCCGCCGGGTAGATTCCGCAGGACAGGCTGCCGGTGCCCTGCGTGGAGGACGCCGAGGTGGACTGGGGCTGCGGGGAGAGGGTGCCGACGTGGTTGGCAACGAGAGACTCGAGCTCTTGGATCCGCGTCTTGAGCTCGTTCTCGGACTGCCGATTGGTATAGTCGCATGGTCTGCGTAACCTAGGTATGGGTTGTAAGTTGAGTACCTTATGTTAGGCCAATGAGATGAGTGGACTTGGACGAGAAGGGAAATTAGGATCGGGGGAGATACGGCGAGGCGGCCGCTCTGAAGACCTCACGCGAGACACAGCAGCCAAGAGAACGCTAAGCAAGACATGGAGTGTGCAATGAATTCTTGCGAGCCGTGTGGGAAGTCGAAGGGGGGGGGGGGGCGTTGGCATATGGTACCTGGTGCATAGAGAGCAGCTGGGCAAGGTCTTGTCGCACCGCCGCTTGTACTTTTGGCAGGCTGCGCAAGCACGCGCCGCTTTTTGGCTGGACGGAGATGATGACATGTTGCTCATGCCGCTCACATTGGAGGAGGCGAATCTAGAAGCGAATGCCGGTCGATCAGTACGGAAACATGCGAGATGATGGTTGATGGTGATAACCGGTAGCTCCGAGAGTGGTACAAGCGGCCGCTCAGGGCACCGTAGACGAGATCCGGAGCGGGAGCGCAGACCGATTTGTCTGCTTTCATATACACACGGAGCGTCCCCGGTCCACTCACAGCACTTGGAACATCGGCGGCGGCTTTGGGTTGACGGAAGCGGCCCGGCGGCGATGGAGCGGAATCGTTTTCGTCGATGGTCGGGCTCCGAACTGTGTTCAAATTGTATACTCGTATGGCTGTAGTGAAAGATGAGAATTACATGGAAAGTTGAAGATTGGCGACAAGTTTGAGAAGTGCTTTTGAGAACAAGGGACTGACTGGGGAGAGGGCTGAGCTCGCCCCGAGTCTAAACGCTGAAGCGGCCGCGCTGGAGCGGGTTATTTCCCGCTCGCCCCGCGATTTGCTTCATAGACATGCGGCGGAAAGAAAACACGGGCATGATCTCTTTCAACGCTAAATTTCTATACCTCAGTCTACCTGGTATGGACAAATCAACTAGGATTTAGTTAACGTACTTCAGTAGAATAGAAGTACATAGCGATAGTAGCAGAAACTAAAGACCCGTTTCTTTTATAGATATCATTACCTAGTAATAGTAGGTAGGAGTAATAACCAGGTAGGCACCATAAATATACCTACCTACCTAGGTAGAGTGTGTGATCTAGTCTGGTGTTTTTCTTCCGCAGCCTGATAGGGAGCTCCGGGGTTAACAAATCGGATCCTCAACGGTCCAAGGCTTGCCGAGTTGGAGGTCCAGTGTTTGTCGTGAGCAGCGTGGAAAGTCGGGACAATGAGGCCATTGGATAGTTGCAGCCGGAGTGGTGATGCCTCGAGTACGGAGTTAAGGCGGATGGGCGGAGTAGGAGGAGACTTGGCCTCCAGATGGGCGATGTATGTGGATGGACAAAGAGGTTTATAAAGGGTCGAGGCGATGCTGTTGAGTGTTGAACATCTCTACCAGCACTTACATCTCTAGGTAAACACATACTTTAACCTACCGACTCGTATATACATCTTAGGCATTCTAAAATCCTCAGTACAGCCATGGCTCGCATCTGGTTCGTCACCGGCTCTTCCAAAGGCCTCGGTCTCGCCATCGTCGAAGCCGCCCTCGCAGACGGCGACAACGTCGTCGCTACTGCCCGCAGTCCATCTACAGTCAACCATCTCCTTGAAAAGTATGGCCCGGATCGCATCCTTCCACTGGCTCTCGACGTCTCCAAAAACGACCAGGTGGAGAGCGCCGTCAAGGCCGCCTTGGACAAGTTTGGCCGCATCGACGTCGTCGTCAACAATGCTGGCTACGCCATCCCTCGAGCGCTCGAAGACACGTCCATCGAGCTCTATCGAGATCAGATCGATACCAACTTTCTCGGCACCGTATACGTGACAAAGGCCGTAACACCAATCATGCGGAAGCAGCAGTCCGGCCGCATCCTGCAGGTCTCTTCCGTGGGCGGCAGACTGGCGACTCCTGGACTGTCGGCGTATCAAGCTGCCAAATGGGCCGTCGGAGGCTTCACCGGCGTCGTGGCCAAGGAGCTGGCGCCGTTCGGCATCAAGATGACTGTGCTGGAGCCCGGCGGCATGAAGACGGACTGGGCTGGCTTCTCAGAAGACGGGTTCGTCATCAGCGAGCCGTACCAGCAGACTGTGGGGGCTTTTCAAAAGATCCGCGAGCAGTACAGCCAGTTCCGCTCGGACCCGAAGAAGGTGGCGGATGTAATTGTCAAGATCTCCAAGGTGGACGATCCGCCGCTGAAGCTGCTGCTGGGCCCTGAGACGGTGGATTTGGTGAAGCAGGCTGCGGCTGAGCTTGCGGCGTCGGATGAGAAGTGGAGAGATGCGACTCTTTTGAAGATCTGAGATGAGTCGATGAATACCTCTATGAGATATTTGACTTGACTAGCGATCCTAAAGCGCATATAGAAGCTACCTATTGTTGTCGCCGCATAAAGTACCTATTTCGAATTGCCGTTCTAGCACATACGTCTTTCGCATGTGAATGAAGTGTAATTTTGCGTCCCAAGCTCAAGAAGAGGAAGTAGAGACAATGCTCATCAGTTGAATGGCGGAATATTCACTTAGAACGATGATGATCTCAGCATCTTACGCATTGACTATTTCTGCTGAGATGGATATTGGTAGGCAGCGTAGCATTATAGTCGAGGCGGCAACGAGCTGAGACGTTGAAGGCGATTGACAATTCGAAACCCAAGCTGTAATCATGCCCTGTATTCTCAGGAGGGAGACGAAAGCACATGTTCTTCAGCACCTGATATGGTCGTAGAATTTGCGGCTAAACCACGTTGATTTGCCGTGCGTCAGTCGGTGGTATTTTTGGGTAGTATTTGCTCTGTTTTACTTGATTCCCTAGATCATTTGCCAGGCTGCTCATCTGGTTCGCGGCTTGAATCGACTAATAGAGACATTGTCTCATCAGCGAACAAAATCACACAATAACGCTACATTGTCTCTGCGCACAACAAAAGTTGATCATTCGGTATCTGTTCGATTTCTCAAGATCGTACTTCTTGCGAAAGCACAGGTACATTGTGGTGACATCTGACGGATGACTGCCTCCCTCCCACTTGACGTTTGCGGTTGGCAGAGGGCAAAGTTTAACGAGAGAATAAGAAGCTGCCGTTTCCGCCCTGGATGCCATCCAAGATGATCTCAAAATACCCATCGCGTTTAATTCATTCTACTTCATTTGCAAATGAGACTCTTTACTGTCCTCGCTGTCTTGCCGGCTCTTGGTGGCCTTTGTCAAGCTGCCTACAGAGGCAATACCCTCCGACCGGCAGTTGAAGCTGACTACGATGTCATCATCGTCGGAGGCGGCCCGGCAGGCCTCAGTGCCGCAAGTGGTTTGGCCCGGGTCCGTCGGAACGTCTTGTTGATTGACTCGGGAGAGTATCGAAATGCTCCCACTCGGCATTTACACGACGTGATTGGGTTTGACGGTAGGTCGTCCTCTCCAGCAGGGAGCTCAGCCATATGCGATCAGCTACTCAACGATGGATAGGAGTCACGCCGGCATACTTTCGCTGGAAAGCACGCAACCAGATCCGAGAATATGGCACTGTCAGCTTAGTAAACGGCACAGTGACCAAGATCCAACCGCAGGCGGATCATTCTTTCTTCACAGTCTCCGCTGACTATCCAGATGAGCATAATCTTACCTTCACCGCTCGGAAGATCATCCTCGCAACAGGGCTCCGTGACTTGATTCCCTCCACGCCGGGACTCCGCGAGAATTGGGGCAAGGGCATATACTGGTGTCCGTGGTGTGACGGCCACGAGCATGCAGACCAGCAGCTGGGCATCTTGGGGCCTCTGGAGAAGGGACCCAGTGCGGTTCGCGAGATTATCACCTTGAATCAGGACATCATCCTGTTTGTCAACGGCACAGACACGCCTGATCAACGCACCGCCACGGAGGAAGACTTTCCGCAGTGGGAGGAGTACCTGAAGCTGCACAGCATAAACATCGACAACCGCATCATTACATCCATCGAGAGGCTTTCCAATGGAACCACTGGTGATGAAGATCCTAGCTTACCGTCTGTCCCCGAGCACGACCTCTTCCAGCTCAACTTTGAAACTGGCGACCCGGTGCTGCGGGCCGCTATCCTGACCAACTTTGAAACGGCGCAAAAGTCAACTCTGGGGGAAGAGATTGGCGTGGCTCTATACGGAGGCAAGCTCGCTGTCGATGCATCGCGAGGCTTGGTCACGAACATCCCGGGCGTATTCGCCATTGGAGATGCCAACTCAGACAATACTACCAACATCCCGCACGCCATGTACAGCGGAAAGAAGACTGCTGTCTACATCCAGGGTAAGATGCGATCAGACAAGCCAAGCATTAAACCCTACTATGGAAGCTAATTGTTGCTACTGTTAGTTGAACTGGAAACTGAAAATGCGGATGCAGAGCTATCAGTCCAGGCTACCAAGACGAAGAGAGGGTTGGAAAATTACATGCGAGCTTTATGGGCACGCATGAATGTGCCAGGCGAAGTTCTTTACGCAGGGGATTTTGATCAATGAAGAATGTGAGACAGTCGGATGCCTCTTCTTATGAGTAGTCCTATTTGAACAGTCAAGAATCTCTATTTGAACAGTAATGGTCTGTGCACCTACTGAATTTGCTGCGCCTACACTAGCACTTCCATGACCACACACCCCTTTACAGTGTGCCCTGATGGAAATGCCCGTAGCCCATACAACACCACGAACGTCAATGTCGCGATCTCTAATAGACTCATTATTATTGTTGTCATTAACCCAGAATTAAGGAGCGTGCCGGCGGCGACAGGCGCGGCAGCAGCAGAGGCAGCAGCAGCAGAGACAGCAGCAGCAGAGACAGCAGCAGCAGAGACAGCAGCAGCAGGGCTGATTCTGTAGTCGTGATGTTCAGCGCCCTCTAAAACGACTGCCAGTACGGAGTATGCTACACTGTATTTTGGTGTACAGGTGTGGTAGAAAGTACTAAGGGGGGTTGCTCTAGCTGGTGGCACAGACCACTACTGTTCAAATAGAGATTCTTGACTGTTCAAATAGGACTACTCCTTCTTATATTCGTATTCGGTAGGGTCATATGGTAGACATAGAACAGCAATACGTATCGTTGAAACAAGCAGTATCCGCAAAAGATATTCCAAGTGACTGTAGTAGTATTGCATGTGATCATTGTCTTCTTGATATTCAGAGCACAAGAGCATCTGATTTCGCAGTCCCAGAGCAGCTGGAAGGCTGTGGATCACGAACCTTCCACTGAGCGAGTATCCGCCGAGCTTCATCCCGCTGCGTATCCTCCAAAGCAAACTGAGAAACAATCGTCATGGAAAAGCTCGTCCGGACGGAGTCGCCGCAGAAGGGGTTGATCATATTTAGGTGCATTGAGGCGTTGAAGACGCCTGTCGCGTATGCCGAGATCGAGGCTTGGTGGGAATCGACCTCTGTCTGACCATCAGGCCCCATGAAATACGGGGCCTTGGAGAGTGAGATGATGAGGAGGATTGTGTGAAGAATCATGTGGGTGGCGCTGTATAGGGAGAGCATGCTCGCGGTGAGGGTTTCGTTGTTGGCGACCATCCACGAGCTGGAGAGCGGGTTCGTGAGGACGGATGTGGGAGAGGCGACGGTCATGTGGGCAATTTCGGGGCTGAGCGAGCATTCGGGGCTCAACGTGATGATTTCGCAGTGCTCTTGTCTGAAAAGCAGCCACCAGTCCTGAAGTTGTGCCAAAAGAATCATTGTTCTCTGCTCGATATCGGCTTTGCGGGTTGTAGAAAGGTCGTGGACGCGGTTTACGGAACGCCTGAGTGTTGCTCCCTTCTGGTTCAGGAACGGGAGGCGAAGCACTTTGGTAAACGAGAGGAGGATGTCGATGAGTCTGTCGTAGCAAATCTTGTGTTTTTGCTGAAAGGGGATAGAGAGCCATTCAGGGGAGGAAAAGTTGGCGGATCTATTGTGCATGATGGAATAAAAAGCCTAGAATGCACTTGGTCAACCAACAGAATAACCACATTCATGTATAGACATATGGTATGTTTTCTCACCTCTCGGACTCTGAGTGAGCGCATCACGCCATGAGCGAGGCCACTGACACATTTCTCTGGACCGCGTCGCTCCAGCATCTCTGTGGCCGCCGCATGGTGAAGAAACTCTACGTCCGAACTCGCGCCCTGTAGGCCCTCGTAGAAGGAGAACATGATTGGGACACAAATCTCTGCAATTTCCAAGACGCTCATCCCTTCCGACCTCAAAGTCTTCTCCGCTGGTCCTGATGCCGCAACATCTTTCTTCGGCTTCGATCCCAGTACCGTGGTTCGATAGCTCTGGATTCCAGCGAGATACCACTTCAAGGAGGCGACTTTTGCCCTGTCATCGTGATTCATTACGGCGTGATAGAGGAGTGCCGCCGCGTGCATCGCGTATCTAAGAGCCGACGGTAGCGCGTTTGTCGCCGCTAGATGGGGGAGCTCGAGGATCCATGACTTGGGCCTGTTGGTGGAGTAGCTTTGACGAGAGCTGAGGAGCTGCTGAGCAAACTTTCCGACGAAACAATACTCGTTGTACGCTGCCGCGTCCAGATGTGGAGGGATGGATGAGTTGTAACTGAAGGTCTTCCTGCCGAAGCAACTTCCGTCGTCAAAGTGGGAAACGAGCCGAGTGTTTGGGACAGTCGAATGGTCGCAATGGCTCCTCTCGCCTTTCTCTTCTATCTCAAGAAGATCCGCGCATGGTGCTTCGTCCCCATTGTCACACGTAGGGTCAACCGGAGTGGTCGGAAATACGGCAGAACGGACTGCCAAAGACCTTGTCTGCTCCACAACAGTGCCTTTTTGCTCTGAAGCATCATCTGGGGGAGTGGGCTGCTCTGTCTGCTCTGTCGGCTCTCCCGTCTTCTCTTGAGGGACGACTGTTTTCTTTTTCCTCCTTTGCTTCTTTGGCTTCGTTGAGCTGCAAGATACCTTCTCCGTCATGTCGAGAAAGACTGCACCGCGAATTGCTCCTGAGCAGGGGAGACCAAAACGAGCACAATTCTTACAGCACCCGGGCCTCTCGTCGCACTGCATCAGTTTAGTCAGAGTTGTGTTCTCCTGCAAGGCTGCATGGAAGCAGAAGCGAGAACAGCAGGAGACAGACTGGTTTGTCCTCACCTTAACACGGCGTGCAATGCACTGCTCACATCCCTTGCTGCGCGGTTGTCTTCGAACGATAATCGTTGCCATGGTGACTCAACCATTCAAGGTCGCCGTTAAGTGATGTTTGCTAGATAAGTCTGCCAGAGCCTGATCAGTCCCTCTTCCTTGTTACTCTCGAGAACTTGATGTTTCCAGATAGAAGAGTTCCAGAGAGTTGCGATAGTCCTAGTTCGCAAAGGAGGAATTAGCCGAGATGTCGGGTGACAAGAATGCTTGTCAGTCACATATTGCGAGAGAGTTCTCTCTGTCAGTGGAGGGCATCGGAAAGCACTGAGAAACAGGTCAGGGAAAGACAGGACAAAGAGACAACAGCGAGCAATAATTTGGAGAGCATGTTGTCAGAGTGAAACCTCCTGGTGAGCACGGTGGGGGGGTAAAATGCTCAGTGAGAAGCCACAGTGATGACGCCTCCGGGGACTGTCCTTGCCCAGGATGCTTGTCGAAAATAACAAGTTGCTCCGCCTCCGTATTTTTTTTGCGGGCTCTGTCTGGCAGATGGGCAGAAACTTGCATGGCCGGTTGCTGAACCGTCTCGCCGCCGTGCGGGTAGCGTTGAGGCTAAACTCCCCCGCAAGAACCCGAATACTTTTTTTCAGTGTCTTGTATCAGATGGCGAGAAGCTTTACGGCCGACCTTCAAGCTTGAGCAGAAATTGCCTATACGGTCTTTAACTGTAAGGTCTTGAGCTCGAAGCATTGGAATCTTGTGATGTTTAAGTGGAAGCACAGGAGAGACGTGGACTTGCTGCTCTGACTAATAAAGGCTGGCTGCTTACGAATATTGTACAGAAATAGCCCGGTCATGCGAAGAGACGCATAGATTTTGCCGTGCCCCTGCATTTCTCGGAAGAAAGCGGTCGGTAGGGATCGCTTGATTGGCAGACGCCAGGCTTGGGATGCTAAGACTACTCTCGTACAGAAAAGATGAGAAGTTCAAGACAATCTCCCATTGCATCTCAGAACCGTTTGTCAAGATTTGCTTAGAATTCCACGTCGGACATTAAAAGTCTACGCGCATAGAGTTATCCGGTTCCTCTTCGAACCCCCCTTTCATGACGATGAGTCCTGGAGGCTCTCGAATGTGGACGACGGCATCACTGTTTCCACTCAGGTAACATGTGGCTGCTCAGATAGCACCTCGACCAAAACTTTCCGATACTAGCTGAGTATTGCCGTTAAAGCGATTAGTAGAGATGACTTTATATTCATGGGTATGCCTTACCTTTGCAACTGGTCAGATGAACAGTGGCAGTATTCGAGCCCCATGGTATAGGGCAACGAGGGTATCTTCCACAAAGGCGGTATACGGTGCTTAGAACAAGAGTTAGTAGTAGAGGTGAGCCCATTTACACGATTGTATGAGCCTTGGCAGTGTTTGGAACTCCCTGAAGTGTCGTCAAAACGGCTCGAAACAGTAAGCAAGGCCTTTCAGCATCGAGCCGAAGATTGGCACAGAGGGCCTTTGTAGTTGACACAGCCATGGCGACAAAGTGCTTCCACTAGAAGCAAGTGAAGAGAGGTGCGAGATGTTTATATAACGAGGATCGCACATTGATCTTTGTTTCGATGGCGCTTATCAAGATATGAGTCAGATGGAGCGCGCTGTGTTATTAATACCTGGCCACTGCCTTGGGTACCTACAGTATGGTGGCCTGGAACGGCAACTCAAGTTTGCCAAGCTGAGTTTATGACCAAAATACCTTGATAGCCTGACATTGTCGGCACCTTTGAATATCCATAGCTGGTGCAGAGATACACATTCAAGTGAGCCTGAGATGCCTATAAAGATGACTTGTCGCGAGGGAGAAACAGGTGTGCCTTACCAATGCGACGCCTGTTTCTTAAAAGTGGTATATGTGGGTTGAGAAGCCTCTCGATCTCGACAAAGCTACACATTATCATCTTCTGGCCAAGCATTGGGTTGCTTTGGGGGCTCATCCCCTTTTAAGTGAAGTGAATCAGGACTCCATTCCCTAGTGATGGCGATGAGGTTGAAGATACCTATCCTCGAACATTTGAACTAACATTGTCATTTCTCAGTGTTTATACCTTAGCTTCTTCGAACCCTTCAACGGCATAGCCCTGAGTGCAAGTCGCGTCAAGGCAAATGAATGCTGTCACCAACTGCAGAAACGCCTCAGAGCTCGTGGCGGAGACGGTCGGTTGGGCAAGTTACCGAAAGCGGAAATTATCGCGACACTTGCATTAGACCTTCGCCTTGTTACCATAACTAGGAATCTTTCCTCGACTACGGCATTGCCCGGGGCTCAGCTGCCGATCGAGCGCGGAATTCGAGGCATATCAGATGTCCTATTCTCCGTGTTCTGCCTCCTTTTTGTGGGCACCTGAGCCCCGGAAAGCGGGAAATGTCCGCAGATGGTCCAGGAGAGGCGTCTTCTGTGGCCTCGAACTACTCGTCAACATCTTCCGCGTGGCATTAGCGACCGGTCGCCGTCGATGATTATTCTCTTTGTGGAAATTTTCACGGTCTCGAAGTGTCCTGGATGAGATATCAAGGATGCTTGACGTTATTCCTGTGGGATTCGGAGCCGGTCTCGGCAAACGGCTTCGAAGTCTGCCTGGAGATTTTGGCATCTGGGAGGCAGGAGTGGAAGGAGAAATGGGATAAATCACATATAATGCGAACGTTGCCCTCACGAAGCAATTGTGTTGATTCTCACTATTCGTCAACGTCTTCTGCATCTTCACTCAGCTTTCAAACGAACCTAAACGTCTCAAAATGCCCATTTCCATCACCATGCGTCCGCCGGAGAGCTTCCGGGACAAGGAGAGCGAGCTGGCGATGCGTATCAAGCAGCCCTTCAGTGTTGCGGCAGTGGGTGATCTCATCCAGATGATGCCATTCTCGAACCGAAATGACCCGGACATCCAAGCTCTTGTTGAGGTCATGCAAAAGGCCGACATGACCTTTGCCAACAACGAGAACACCGTCGTTGATCGCCTCACCTATCGTGGGCCTCCTTCGCACATGGAGGCAGACAAGAGTGTGGCGGAGGACTGGAAAAACATGGGCATCGACATGGTCACAAAGGCGAACAACCACACGTTCGACAACGGCGACCCCGGACTCATTCAAAACCTCGAGCAACTTCGCCGCGTGGGAATCGACTACGTCGGAACGGATTACAACACTGTTGAGGCTAGGCTTGCCCGCTTCAAGACGACGCCAAAGGGTATCGTAGGCTTTATCGGTGCCTATGCGGAAACCCAAGACTACTCTCAACTGGTCGGCGTACCTATGGGAGACCCCGTGCTTGTGACCCCTGAACAGCTCGAGCAAGTGAGAGCGATTCGCGATAGCATCATCGCCCGCCGAGACGAGGTTAGCAGACCGCTTGGCATGCCAAAAGCCGACCCCAAAGGATCTGTTCTCGTCTTCGGACGGCAATTCAGGGTCCACAATGCCAGCGTCGAGGCGGATGAAGAAGTAGCCGGCATCAAGAAGCGCCTCGAACACCACTTCGGATCCAAGGGCAAAATTACGTACAAGAACAACTCTCTCCGCCTGAAAGTCTTCCACAGTGTCACGGCGGAGCAGATGAAGCAACTTAAAGCTATCGCGGGTGTCGATCCCAACGACGGTTCCGAGACGCTGAACGCCTTTGATGTTCACTTCAAAGTGGCTTCGAAGCCAGGTGAGTATATCTACGAGATGGAGCCTCAGGATCTCCGTGACATCCTCCGCGAGGTCCGGTCCGGCAAGCAGTTTTCCGATTTCCTCAGCGTCACCATCCACTGGCATCAGAACCGCTTCTCGTTCCAGCACTACTCGTTCGACCACTACCCGGCAGACTTCCAGATCCAGTTCGCGCGGCAAGTCATCGACAATGGCGCCGATTTCTTCTTCGCCCACGGCGTGCACACGCTCAAGGGCGTGGAGATATACAAGGGAAAGCCTATCTTCTACGGCGTCTCCAACTTTGTCTTCCAGAACTCCCAGTTCCGATCCTGGCGCGACGATGCCGCCTTTCGCGCGCCTACTCCGCTTGAGGGTCCTATCATTGGGGACGGCGAGAGCAACGAGGGCCGCTGGGCGTGGCTGGATTTGCCGGAGAACAAGGAAGCTCTGCTGGTTACGGCGAATTACCTTGACGGAAAGCTGTCGCAAGTACGCATATACCCGGCTGATCTGGGGAGGACGCCTCGTCCTGGCTCTTTGATTGGAACTCCCACGCGGCCAGCCCTCAAGGTGGCCAACGAAATTCTCGGCCGGCTCTGCACATACTCTCAGCCGTTTGGAACGAAGATCAAGATTGAAGACGGAGTAGGCGTGATTGATATCGCTGATCAGTAGGATGGATTCGTGAGAATTGAGCGATTCCCTCGCTTATAGATAAGGTATAGAAGGATTGTCTGAAATGAAACATACATGTGTACACTTTTTGATGCTTTACTACTGCAAGTTGCGCAGGCATTGCTCGCTGCATACATGTAGGGTAACCGTGGTATGAGTCATTGCCTCCGGGGAATTCTGAAGGGATCGCGTACCCGCGTCGGAAGCGCTGCTCGTAAGCCGAGCACCTGAGTGAGAACGTGACCCTTGTTTACCTAAGGTAGGTAGGCTAAGAGTACCTCACGTTGTAGTAGTCATCAATCTGGATTCGAGAGCCTTATCAGGCCACAATTCAAGCATCGCATCTTCAAGGGGTGTCTGATCAACAACTTCCTGCTGGCTTCAAATCTTTCAGTATCTGGTCAAAGGCCTCACATCTCGACAGGACTAACCTAGTACCTGCATACTTTAGCACAGGTCGAGGTGCTGGCGCTGTGCAAAAGGCGATGAAATCCTCGAGCCACCATGTCAGCAGCTGACGATAAAGCACAGCTGAATGCTCCACAACCCAGTTCAAAGCCCAAGAAACCACTCTCTTGCCTCTCTTGTAAAGTCCGGAAGCTGAAATGTGACCATGAGAGACCGGCTTGCACGCGATGCGCCAAAGCCAACAGCGAGTGCATTTATCCGGAAGCTCGGCGCAAGCCGAAGTTGCTGCAAAGCAATGTCAAGGAGCTGGAGGCTCGCATAGGTATGTTTTGAGAGCTTCCCTTGCTCAGATGCACGCGTCTTCTGGAGCAGTTGGACCGCTGTAACTCACAAATACCAATAGCCCAGGTTGAAGGATATCTCAAAGAGGTTGGCCAAAGCCGTCCTGACACTACTAGCAAAGACATCCTTGTCGGCGGACTGGACAGCGAAGATTGTGTCAGTAGCAAAGACCAACCGAGCAACGGGATAGCGTGGGAAGACGACGCCGCTTTTCAAAACCTCAACGGTCTGCCCAGCACCTTTGCTGGCGAGGATCAGCTATTTAGCCATGAAGTGATTGGGGACAATGAGGCTCCGGAGGGGACGCAACCGCTATTCCGACCTGCAGGACTTGATAATTATGCTGGCGATTCGTTCGAGAGTGGCCAGCTGATTGATCTCGGCATGTCAGAGGCACTGCCGCCTTCTGAAATGATAGAAGATCTGTGAGTCTTCATGGCGCTATATCTTACCTACCTCTAGCGACAGGCTTCTCACCATTAGTACCTAGGCACACCTCCTTCTTCTCTACGCAATATCATTATATGCCGGCAGTCCATCCTGGCCGCTATTACAAAGCGTTCTACGGCAATTCGCTGAACAAGCCACCAATGTGCTTGCAGTATGCTATCTGGGCAATGGGCGCCTTGTGGCATCCTAAATACGACCGAATCGCTGATGTCTTTTATAAAAGAGCCAGACATTACGCCGAGACTGACGAATTGAAGGTGGGAATCTCTATCAAAGGAGTGGCCTAGCTATCGCTAACGCGCAGAAAGGGTGACGGGGAGCATTTTATCACAATAGCACATGCCCAAACCTGGGTCCTCATCACTGCCTATGAAGCCAGAGCTATGCTTTACACAAGAGCATCCATGAGCGCCGCTCGAGGCTCCAGACTTGTGCAAATGCTGGCTCTCGACAGGATAGATGCGCCAGATGACCTTCTCCCTCCGAGCCTGGGACCCCCAATCGACTGGACCGAATTGGAGGAGCGCAGACGAGTCTTTTGGATCGCTTTTTCCAACGATGCCCAGGGAAGTATAGCGACTGGTTGGAATAGCATCATTAGGACGGAAGAGGTGAGTTCCTCACTCCCATAGCCTGGAACCATGACAGGTCTAAACAAACACAGATAATGACTCGGCTTCCGGCTAGCGAAGCGGCCTTTGCCTCAGGCCAAGAAGAAACTGCACCTTTCTTGTATGAGGTTATGAAAGGCGCACCATATAGTGGCTTTACTGGGTTCCTCGTTATCAACGAGATGCTCAAGTCCATCATGTCACACGTTCATCTCATCAAGTCGTCCGACCGACCTGAAGATGCCATCAATGGTGCTTTCTGGCAGAGGCACCGGCGTTTAGATAACCAATTGTCCACCCTGTTCCTGTTCATGCCGGAAAGCTTCCGTCTTCCTGACAACATACGAGACCCTCTCGCTACATATATCAACCTGAACTTTCACGCATGCGTGATATGCTTGCACCACGTTGCTCTCGAGAAGATCGAAACCCACCAACTCGATGATTCGTTGAGAAAGGAGTGTCACAGTCTGCTCAAAAATGCTGCTGAGGAAATTGCCAGCATTGCTAAGCTGACATCACACCGCTCCTCTTTGTTTGTACGGGACCCCGTATCGACATTGAAGTACGAGGCTGACATACAATATAGAGCAACCCCCTGTGCGCCTTCTCCCTCTACTGTGCGACGACCGTCTACGTGTACCTCGCCAAACAGGACCCTTCCTCAGGAATCAACTCCAAAGACATGTCCAACCTAGAACTCATCATCAACGTCATGGAAGCCATAAGCCGCATCCACTTGATTACAAGCGCCTTCCTACAGCAAGCATGTCTCGACATTGATAAGAATGGCCTCTCGAGCATCATCAAGCTGCCCAATCTTTATCAATACCGGGACCTATTCGGCGGCCCTGCCTCTAGCATCCCTCTCATGGCACGGAGTCCAATATCGAGGCACACGCAGATGAGCCCTCCATTGCCTGGGCGGCTTCCCTTAGACAAACCTGTGGGACATTTGCGGCCGATGAATTTAAGGATGACAAAGTCAGTCCCGTTGCTAACGGGAGTGACAGCGGCCATGAGCCGGCTGGACATTACCGATTGCTTCAAGCCGTCTCTGGGTGCCATATCCCGAAATCTGGAGCCTCGTTCTACGGACAACACTCACAAAAGGAAACGACGGCCTTCGGCTTCTCAGTTCTCTGCACACAGAAGTGGTGAGCTCGTCGGGGAAACGGCTCTCAGTGACTACACAGGTTTCGAACATTCAATGCATCTCTCAATGGACAATGAGGGAGAACAATTAGGAGAAGGTTCTCGACTCTGTGGCACAACAAACACACCACATTTTGCACATTTGCCTCTTGGAGAAGCAGCAAGCAGGGGTGCGGAGTCTGACAGGAGCCACGGAGTTTCCAAGGAAGCTGAGGCGTCTCAGTGTCCCCTTGATATGCCATTTACAGCGTGGCAAACCATTGACAACGAGACTCTAGCCTTTTCCGAGGTTACTGCAAGAATTCCTGATATGCATGGCGACGAATTGGATTTCATGGGAAGCCGGGGGTTCGGACCATGACAGTCTGTTCATACTATGTCCGATGCCCCTGGATGACTTACTTCCCTGGATAAATCAAATCTTCACTCATAACCAATTGGCGAACTGCGTTTTTTTTTTTTTTTTTTTCAACATTTATGTGATTGGTTTTTCACGTTACTGAGTGACTTTATCTGCATAGCCCTATGATTCTTTCTCCCAGATTCGACAGCTCCCCAGACATATCAGATACAGTCTTGTATGTGAAACGTGACCAAACCTCCATTACCGCCTCAGTTTTCGACCGCACCGCCGAAGAATCATTTCGGTCTTCGGACTTCTCCTTCAGCGACGATGCTTGTGGGGAAATGCCCCCTCCAGCGAGTCATCAGCAGCTCAGTGTCGGTTTCATCCCTGTTCGGCTCTCGGCCTTGCCAAACAGCGAGTTGCGGTCCTAATCTGACGACATTGCTCATGCGATTTGATATAATGCAACAGTGTACAGAGTCATATAAGAGGAGAAGCAATAATGAATGGAGACCTCAATTCAGCAAGAAAGAAAACATGGACGCGCATTTTCTATCAGGCAAACGGATCGTGGTTGCTGGTGCAGGAATCTCGGGTCTCTCCTTTGCCCTCGCACTTCGACAGCTATGGCCAACTGGTCTCATTCCTCCTAGCGTTGTCATTTACGAACGCGATTCCGCTGCTGTACCAGCTGGCCGAGAAGGCTACAGTTTATCTCTCGCCGGATCTGATGAAACTGGTGGCCTCTATGCAGCTCGCGATCTCGGAATACTCGACGAAGTCCTCAAACACGCTACTCAGGGGCTCGATAATCCATTGGCCCTCACGGTGTGGAACAATAAATGGACTGAGCTATTGAGTGTCAAGTTCAAGCCTGCTGCCAGCCTTCCCGTTGGGGGGATACGAATCGCCAGAAAAAGTCTTCGAAGCGTCTTAATTAATGCTGTCGGGCCAGACCAGATTCTATGGGACACGGCATGAGTGGACGCGGAGAGGCTTGCCAACGGGACGATGCTGGTACACCTCTCTGGTGAAGGCTTATCTGCAGGGAATACAACCACCAAATGTGATCTCCTCATCGTTGCCGATGGAGCATCTAGTAAGGTTAGAGCAAGGCTCCGCCCTGACGACACGCTGCAATACGTTGGTGTGAGGCAGAAAGGGGGCCTGGCCGTCTTTCCTGATGGCATACCAAGTCTAGTCGATAAGAAATGGGGACTACTTCTCTCTTCAGGCAAGGGCGTGGCCTGCTTCCTATCACCATGTGACGCAACAAGTGTGGCCTGGGGCGTTAGTTATTGGTCTCCAACGGTCGAGGAGCCGCTGAAGATACAAAGTATGCAGAATGCGCAGTCTGGCAATTTGTACTGCTTGATTGAACAACAGCCCTCAATACCTATAGGGATCAGATCTACCATAGGCAGCCTGTCTGGGAAGAGGCAGTTTATGCAAAGGAGGCAAACAGTTTGAGATGAAGTGTGCCGCCACGGAGGGCCCGAGAGCTGCCACAAGCAATATAAACCGCGTATCACTTGAGTATCACTTATAAGTAGGTAGAACAATGCTCAGGCATAAAAGGGCACTAATAGCCATGAACCCGAAGGCATTGAGTCATCCAACCTGAGTAGCCGTGATCTATGGCAGAGGTAGATGATTGATAGCTGCAAAACGGGGGCTAGATCTCGAGAGCATCTTTTCACTTCGTCCCTCGGGCCCCAGGAAGCATCACAATTGCCCACATAACCACCCTTAAATAGTGATACGCGACTACATTGACCATTCACATGCCTCCCGTTCCGGAGCCTCCTCCAGCCTGTCGCCGAATCGTGTCCCGCAGCGTATCATACATGCGTCGCTTCTTCTCGAGCGCCTCGAGCGCACCGCTGCCCGTGGTCTGTCACTTCCCCTGCGAGGAGCCTGCGGGCCCAAAAGCAAATTGCAGCGGCCGATTCAGAATCTGAGCCACAGACGACCTGACGGCCCCCTGGCTACGGGGCCCGGAGCCGCGCCGGTATTCGGGATGTACAGAGAACCCACGATCTAGCAGTGCCGGACGGATCGGGTCGCTGGCCACAGATGCCTGTCGGCAAATGTTTGATGGTACTTGGATACCGGATGCCTCGATTTGCCGCTGTTGCTGACCGTACGAAAGGGAGCGGGACGGACCTGCATGGGACTCGCCGGAAGTCTCCGGAAAGGGATCAATCTCAGATAGACCCTCGACGACATTACTGACAACTTCAGTTGGAAAGACTTCCTTAACAACCTCCTTTAACGTCTTGCCAAAGGAATGTTCCACAACGTCATTGACCGTGTACGATCCAGCGCGTCCGATCGCCGTCTTGAACTTAGTCGCGGCCTTGAAGCCCGCGGAGAGCAGACTGCCTCCCAACTCGCCCAGAACGCCGTCAAACAGTCCGTTGAGCGCATCCACTGCGACTGACTTCCACGACGGCTTGCGGCCTGCAGCGAGATCGGCCAATGGACTTATGGCCATGTCCGTGGCAACGTCGGCGGCTATGTCCACGCCGACCGCAATGGCTGTGCCAGCACCCACAGTTAGAACGCCGACGAGGATGCTGACAACAAAGCCGACAACGAATTTGAGAAGGTCGCCCCAGTCAAACTGCAGGCTGAAGAAACTGAACCGCCCACTAGGATCAATACGGTTGATGGGGTCTCCAGCGCAGTAGGCATAGGGGTTGATCTCGCCGGTAGAAAAGGGGCTGCCTGGGTCCGGGACGTGGAAGCGCCGGAGCACCGGGTTGTATGTGCGGTAGCCGTTGCCGAGATGGTACCATCCCGTGACGGGGTCGCGATACTGGCCGTTGAAGGCAATGGCGGTGCCAGTGCTGAGCAGTGGGGGGTGCCCGTAGGAGTTGTATGACTGCTGTAGAAGGGTCTTTTGATCAGGCCCAGTCCTGTTGAGGATTGAGCCGTGGCCATCGGCTACCCATAGCTGCGCTTCTGCCTCGTTGCTGTTGCTATCTGCTTGAGATACCTGGCCCCAATAGCCTAGATGGTCTGCCAAGAAGCTCGTCTGGGCGCCGCCAGACACGATGCCAATGAGCTGGTCTCCCCGATAGAAGAGGCGCGTATCTGGTTGACCTGGGATCGATTGGCGGACGAGGCGGCCGGCTGCATCGTGATCGTATTGGCTCATCACTCGTCCGCTGCCGTCTCTGACACTCTTCAGGCGACTGTGGCTTTCATAGTCGAGCGTCTTGCCCTCCTCGTCCCGCGTCAGGCAGCCATTGGCATTGTAGGCGAGGTTGGTTTGAGAGGGGAAGTCGGGATGTGTGTGGGTTATTTGCGTTAGTTGGAATGCGTCGTCTTCATTGTCGTAGACATAAGTCGCCAGATCTTGGCTGCCGTCACTGAAAGTGGTGGTGACAGATCGGATATTGTCCAAGTCGTCCAAGTCGAATTGCTGCTGTTGAATAGGGTGCTCCTTTTCGTCGGTCGGCATCTGAGCCTCGTCCGCCGTGCAGGTAAACTTGGTCAGCCGGCTGTGGACATCATACTCAAAGCTCTCGTCTCTTACCGTCTTGCCCTCACCACCACCCTCGAGATGGCGTGAAGTGACGATGCCGGTGTGTTCATATGACTGGCTCAGACGGTAGAGCAGCTGGCCCTGTTGGCTTACGGCTCTCTCTACTTCGCGGCCAAAATCGTCAAAGGTGAGAACTGTGGAAACACTGATATCATGCCCTGAGTCTGTGACGGTCGTACCAACGACGCGATTTCCTGGACCGTATGAGTAGGCCAACTTGAGTGTTCCCAGCGTCAAGTTGCTCAATCGGCCGGCAGCGTCGTACTCATGAAGTTGGTGCTCCTATGGGAACCTCTCCATTGGACTTCAGGCTCAAGATTTGATATCTCAGTGTAGTATTCCTTCAAGCTATCTACAACTGAAAAATTTGTTCTGGTGCTTCTAATAAAAATATCATACATCCACATTGATGTGCTAGATTCATGAGAATCCTTTGTGGAGGCGGCAACTGTTGAAGAATTTGGCGACTTCGCCGACAATTTGCATTAGTGAGCTCACATTAATCCAATTGTAACTCAGAATATTCCATCTCATGAGCTAACGCCTCTCCAATCCTTCTCAGAAGGATTACTCACGCTTGTGAGAATGTCTTTGCCCATTTCCTCACGCCATAGGTAGCTACTCTTGTGCAACGTCCTCAACCGTTAAGTGTCTTCTGCAGTCCGGCCCCTAATACTGTCCGAGCAAAATATGTCAATCATGGATCCTCCACTCCTAAGTGGAGAACGCCAGGGCAGCCCTGATGCTCCTCGATCACATTCGAGTGATCTTCCGCGTGGCGTGTTCTGCCATGCGGGGGTAGGTCGGAAGTGCCCGAAGCTCACAATAGCCATTGAGGATACAGACGGATAAGAAGAGTAATAGTAACAAAGGAAATACCCATACAACAGCCGGCATCCGCTGGTGGTCTACTTCACTACATACATATGGTCTCAAGTGTTCACTGCCAGACAGATATATAGTATTGGGTCACTGCTACCGATAGTTTGTACCACTTACTTCCAAGGCATGGAGAGTGCGTTCCTTCGAGAGGCGCACGGGCGCCTAGTCGTCTACGAGGTAGCCTACGACAAGCACGTTTTGATGATCGCACTCAAGCGAGGATTTACCTACCCTTTAACCTTGATGTCGATTTTAGGTCATGATTGGAGCGTCTATATCTCCTAATCTCTTGGAAGCACAACTACTTGCCTCGGATCTTGATTGAGCCAGCGGATGAAGCTGTAAATCATGTAAATCACTCGGCTCCGGTGACATTCAGACGTCCTAAGTTCACTGTCGCATGAATCACATCATCTAGGGCATGGATTCATCAGGCGGCTAACTGGAGTGTTACCACACCCAGAGCGTAGTATGTCCCGCCCAAACCGCTTTCCAGTAAGGAGGAGTGGTGGGATAATGTTGGGTCAGTCAAGCAGAACCAATTTCTATTCCCTCAGTCCCTTACTTGCAGCTGTCGACACATCCGATATTATCGAGCTCGTCGATCATATCAGGTACTCAATTCATAGAGCGTAAAACTTTCACTTCGAGTTCCCTCGAAGTAAGGAAAGTCATGAACTTTTCTCCAAGCTCGCCACAAGCGGGCGTCCGCTCATTCCACCCCTGTGCAACCTCATCGCGGGGAAGAGCTCAGATCCATCCCGGACTTGATATATCGGTGCCGACTGATCCGTTGGAGGTGTCCAAAGCTGGCTCACATGCCGGTTGGTGGGTCCTCCAGCTGCCGGCAAGATCTTTAGCTGCAGTCAAGCGCAGGGGTCGATGATACTGTACATGAGGATTAGGGCTGCTCGATATCCCTCAACCCTTTGCAGTGATAGAAACAATCTTTCACTGTCAACCAAGAAATTTGAAAAAAACTTGAAGTTGAAACTGGCAAAACGAGGAAATAGTCTACCAAGTTCATGGGGAGCAAAATCCAGTCAAAGACGATGCGAATACCTTGCCTACCTACGTAGGGCCTGGGGCGTTCTAGCTTTGCATACCTACCTAGTATATCTAAGAGATATAGATCTATCATATGCAATAGTGACTTTAGGAAAAGCTCCGACTCCAGAACTACACACCATTCGTGATCAAAAGTCCCTTCTATTGTCAAGGGTCAGAACTACGGGAATAAGAGATCCAACCCTCCCGGTTGCCAAGTTATTCGTTCATTGCCAAATCTCCATGCAGGCCATCATATGCGCCGGATCGGCCTTTGAGTGCAATGGGAAGGAGGCAGCTTTTCAATATGGAAGACGGCTTCTACTGGGTGCTTGGCATCACGGAAGCTGAAGGAGATGGGCCAGGCCAAACTTGATTATGGGGTGGTATCGCATGTTATCTTCGTCCCATTGCAACGACCTACATACATACTCCTTTTCCGGTATTACCCCCACTATGCATTGATGGCGTTACTAAGCTTTCTGGTTGCGTTAGCTTGATAAAACATTCCCACGTACGAAGCTACCTCGAGATATGTGAAGCTGAGTGGTGCTCTATTAGTCGAGGGAAGATGAAATCATCCAGTCATATATCATCATAGGTATGAAGCGCCCATACGGGTAAGGTGCCGCTACTACGCGAGCAAGTGGCTGCAGCAATGCCTTGGGAGACGAATCGGAGTTGATGTTGACCCTCTCTTCCAGTAAGTAATAAAGCAAATCAGGAAGCTACCTACGCTTCACCCACGTACCTTATGCAAAGCAACTGATCTGGGTTAAAGAAAGGCTTATACATAGCTCAGCGCTCCGGTAGTGGATGAGCTTGCTACCAATTGCGTGAAAATTGCGAAAGAGCATGTCTCGATCCCAATGCTTGATGAATGACTTAGCCGTACGTGTAAGAGCTTTATAGAAAGTAGATAGCCCCGTAACCTGTGTACACATCGAGCAGCGTCCCGCAACCAGGTCATGTTGAAGATGTTACATATCTCTTGAACCAGGTAGAAGTGACATGTCAGCTACGAGACCTGGTGACTATTGAGAAAACGCCAACAAACGCAAGCGCTGAGTTTGCTCAACAACGTGAGACCAAAGTTAGTTTACGTAGTTTACGTAGCTCACAAGGCTCATTCAGCCTCTAGTCCGATATTCCTAGACGTCTGCAAAGCTTCAGCTACTGAGGACACCATTGGCTGTCTTCTTCTCGGAGATGTTCTTCGCAATAGGCAGGTCGCAGAGCAAGACATGCTCAACCCTCTCAACAGTTATTCCTTTTTCTCAATGGTGCCTTCCTTCTGGTTCGACCGGCATCTAATGACGTGTAGATATGGCTAAGATATCTTCAAGCTTATGCGAAAAGTGTCTCCCGCTTCCCAGGAAAATCCTACATTCCTATTTCGATCACCACCTCCGATTGCATCTTCAAGCCCTTGTTTTCAGCAATGAGAACCATTACAAGACGAACCGGAGCAGTGTACACCCATAGAATTGTAAGTATATAAAGACCCTCTCGGAACCTCCTTCAACTCATACCTATACAGGAGCAACAGCTGTTCGCCCCACAGTCCACGATCGACCAACATCTTCATCCAAAGGCTTTGCCCGTGTCAACTGTCTCACTTCCACCCATCTCAACTGCACATCTTCATCCGAAACCATCAAGATGAAGACCCTCGCTTTCGCCACAAACGTCCTGCTGCTGGCTGGTGCCGCTTTGGCATCCCCTCTTGCCGCACGCAAGCAGGCGGCTATGGATGCTATCCGAGCCAGGAGTGCTGCCCGCCGCTCCAACAGGTTCCAAGCCGGCTCATCTAAGAACGTCAATGGAACGGCCGATGTTGAGTCTACGAACTGGGCAGGCGCCGCTATCACGACTTCGGGCGTTACCGAGGTCAGCGGCACCTTCACGGTCCCCAGGCCCAGCGTCCCAGCTGGTGGCAGTTCTCGCGAGGAGTACTGTGGTGCTGCTTGGGTTGGAATTGACGGCTACTCTGATGCCGACCTCATCCAGACTGGCGTCCTTTGGTGCGTCGAAGACGGCGAATACTTGTACGAGGCTTGGTATGAGTACCTTCCGGCCGCGTTGGTTGAGTACTCTGGCATCTCTGTGACGGCTGGATCGGTTGTCACCGTTACTGCCACCAAGACTGGCACTAACAGCGGCGTTACTACCCTGACAAGCGGTGGGAAGACTGTATCGCACACCTTCTCCCGACAGAACTCACCCCTGCCCGGCACGAGCGCTGAGTGGATTGTCGAGGACTTTACCTCTGGCAGCTCGTTGGTTCCCTTTGCAGACTTTGGATCCGTTACCTTTACCGGAGCCACCGCTGTCGTGAACGGAGCAACTGTGACAGCGGGCGGCGACTCTCCCGTCATTATCGACCTGGAGGACTCAAGGGGAGACATTCTCACATCAACAACGGTCTCTGGCAGCACTGTGACTGTTGAGTATGAATAGATTCAGGACAGTTTAGCGCTTTTGGGTCTTGGTGGAGATCGTGCCACACTGTTCGTCGATGAGGGAGATACTGAGGAGCGCCTGCTCAGATCTAGAATTCATCGGGAGCAACAACATGAGGTTCGAACTAGAATATGAGACCAAGTGCACGCGACCATAGCAATGAAGTACAACACGAAATATATGTACTTGAGCACTGAAGCATTACAATAGAAAATAAGTGATCTGTCATTGTTGAATATCTTATATACTATGTGCTGTCAGACGGAGCATTTGACTGCAAAATTGTTGGTTTTGCATTGGGCATTTTTCCATGGCAATAGCAATAGCTAAAACTCAGCCTCCCACGTCTCTGCTACTTATACTCATACAAAGCTATTTATTGTATAGCAACGCTGTATCAAGAAGCATGTAGTACTAATAGGGTACAGTTTGTGTCATGTCATTATATCACTGAATTGGGAGATGGAGCAGATATACGCACCACAAAGGTCACTCATTTTTCAGTTTTCCAGGATTGATTGTCGTGCCTATCTATAAAACTTGTTTCGATGGTATTCTTATTTTAGATGCAGCTTGACAACATACATAATACAGTGAATGACGGATTTACTACGGGAATCATGGCTCGGAGCCTCACTGACTGATGACGAGGCTCTCACAGCTAGAGAAGGGTAGGTCATACGTCTCTGAATCACGATGAATATCCAGAAATAATCGCTTCCTATGAATTGCACAACTCCATAGGTAGAGGTGCTCATGGGGATTTGTTACTGAGCACGATATAAGCTGGACGACCACGTGCTAAAGCTCGGGCCATTCGTCGTTGATATAATTGCTCTGCGTATACCAGGAGCAGATTCTTCGCAGATTACTTGATATAAGTACTGCTCTAGTTACGCCCACAAAGGCGAGAGATAAGCATACGGCAGAAGCTTGCAATCTACGACATCATTGAGCTTGGAACAACGCAATGAGTAGAATTACTTTGACTCAAGTATTGGGCGGTATGGTAGGCATTGGATGTCGTAAGTTACACATACTCTTTTACCAATGAAGACAGCGGGTACTAGCCTACATACTTTTGAGTGAGTCACAAATGAGGGTGTTGTATGAAGCATTCGCCATCAAAAGCTGGACATGCGTTGTGGCTAATGAAGTAGAAAAGGGGGTCTGCTGGCGTGTCCTGTGGTTTGCTTGTTATGCGGGACTCAACAATGGACGCAACGTCAACTTATTCTATGAGCGAATAGCTCTGACATGATGCTCCAGTGCTTGAGGCAGACAAAGCAAGTCAGCAATGACAAGGGCTTATGATTGGTGAATGATACATCAGCCTTAATGCGCTTATAACAACCACCAGGACATAATTGGTTCGTTTTAGTGATCAACCGGACCTTTCTTGTCAAGCAAAATCCGGGCAGTTGGTAACTCGGCACAATCCACTTGAGAGCCATGAGTGTCAAGAGGCATCTGGATTAAAGAGCACCCTAAATGGCTATGTCGAAGAGCTCTCCCGGTGAGCTAGATGAAGGGCCCGATGAGTACATGAGCGTAGATGGCAGGGGAATGTGAATGGCAAGACAGCTACTTTGGCAGATGGGAAGCAAGGAGGGAGGTCGGTATACCACAACTCTCCCATTCATCTATTGCTTCACCAAGGACCTAATCTTTCTGCACCGACAACTGCCGCGTAGCATCCCCCCACATTCTGAACAACGCCCGCAATGCTCTGCTGTCATCTGGCGTGATCTAATAACGGACCGTTGCTTTTTACCCAGTTATGCTTATTCGACATCCAGCCATAGCTTCCATGGTCTGCCTTATTAGGAAGTTCATTGTTCTTGAGAACCGATACCTGCTTACGCCAAGCTAATATGCGTCATCATTCGTGTCTGAATACGAATCGCCACCGAAGATGCAAAATATTTGCTGGGCTATATAAAGAGCTAGTTTTGACCGTCTGTTCCAAACATGTGGCCCAAGAAACAATAACAATCCCTCCATCAAAGTAGTCCAGCGACAAGTCCCTAGCCTTTCAATATGCTGTTCTCACGAGACTTTATTCCCACCATCTTGGCTCTGGCCTTGTCCGCAACGCGCGTTGAGGCCACAATTGCTGTCGGGACCGCCGCAGGATTTAACGGTAAGTTGTGTTCAACCTGATGATATATCTTCCAACTGGCTGCAGACGTTCTGACGGAGGCCTCTTTCCTACCTATTAGTGATGTGGGTTGATGGTGCCGACCCCTGCCGCTGGACTCGTATCAACGATCAAGGCGAGAACCCATGCGGCGTCCATCTCGCCAACCCGCTCGATAACGGGCACAAGTACGTGCTGCAGGGCTGCGGCGGGCCAATCTGGCTGGACAATGATGATGGCTCCTTTAACAGCAACTGCCATGATGCCCCGGCCAACCTCGCCTGTAACGTGCACCGGAGCCTCCTCTGCTACTAGATATACTCAGCCCGGTAGATATCTTTTGTTGAGCGGATGAAAGACAATCAAGGAAGTGTAGTAGTACACAAGAGTTGAGCGTCAAGCAAACCTGTAGCTAGTCAGATGATTCTGAGCTCTCTTCCGTTACTGAGTGCAGTACGGCACCTGGCAGTGGATATTTTACGTTGGAAGGGTGATAGTGCTTAAATAAACCTCGCTTGAAGCTTTCATATCCCCATATAAATGGTGATACTGCCAAACATGTGATTTCCGGCATATGAAGTGACTAGGGGGTCTCCTTTGAGGCTACACCTCAACTGACAGGAGGTCGCTTAACCCGCCGCCAACAGTTCACTACTTTAGCAGCTGTCGACCTACACTATTTGCGTCTACCATAGTTAAGCATAGTCAGTAGTCGGTTTGGGTAGCTGCTGGCTGACCCGGTTTGAAGCAAGAGTCAGTAGTTCATTTCATGCAGTCGAGGGGCTTGTGCGCCTAGTGTAAACACGCCGCCTTAGCGGATCATACTGTACTACATACACGTCGTTCAAGATTGGGGGTTCCTTTGAATGAGCTTAACCAATCTGTGAAATGACCACTTGCGTGCGTGCTGGGGTGATTTACCAAACTTGATGCGGTAGGAAAACATATCGTACGTTCCATTTTTGGTTCCATTTTTGTTTCAAACCTTCAACCCCTCGAAGACCTTCTCGACATGTCGCTCCACTCTGGGATACACATCTTGATATGCGCCAACCCCCATCCAAGCATCAAGATGCCCTTTGCCTTGGAAGAGCTCTCTCTCGTACCATTGCCTCCCATGAGCATTGCATAGCGCAGTGTATGAGGTATCCGTGTTTTCCGCGGTGAAGACCATATTCTCTGCGCCGGACAGAAACAGTATGGGGATCTCTTTGAGGCGGCTCATGTTCTCTGCTCTTACCAGGTTTGCATTGGGGTTGTTTGTCGTGACTTTCTCGATACGGCCGCAGTTCGTGAGCCACTTGAGAGATTGCATCGAGGTGCCCCCAAGAAATTGATCGAGCTGGCTATGTGTAGCTTCATTTAGGTTCTTATGGGTCCAAAGTCTTATTAGGCAATTAGTATAGAATTCCTCGTTAGAATAGAGAAAAAATTCGGGACAGAAGGCTATGTATTTGATGACTTACCGCCCAAATACCAACTCGCTTCTATGGCAAACGACCGATCGGCAAATCTCATGACGGTTGCCAACAGGATAGAAACGTAGCATTTGGTTCAGAAGCTGCTGCGTATATGTGTCGCTCGGACTACTACAACAGTCCCAGTACGAGCCGACGAGACTGCTGTAGAGGTCCACCGGGAACGCAGAGAAGAGGTTGTTGATCTTGCCAAATTTAGGATGCATGAAGACCATTGAGCAAGTGATGCCGCGAATCCAGTGGCCGGGAATAGTTCCATCCAAAAGGCCACAAGCAAGAGCGAGAGAACCGACGCAGTGTGCAACGACATACACCTTGTCTCCTCCTTGGGTACGTGAATGGCTGACTTTGCGAATATGAGCCAGGGCTGCGTGAACGTCTCGCCTTGCATCATATGGTGTGTGGTCTTCTCTGGCTAGGGGAGTCCGGCCCACCCTATGCGTGACACAGTAAACTCTGTAACCGGCTTCGCGAAAGTAGGTGACGGCATTCTTTCGAATGGTTGGGAGCGCAAATATCGTATGGTCAACTGCGGCTCCTGGTATAAATAGAATTGTCGGCGCCGTGGAGGCGTTCTCCTCCCCGTTCTCTCGCAGGGGATTCCACATTAGCATCGTTGTTTTGACCCCGTCTGTCGCTTCTAGTGATATGACCTGGGATGCTGTGGCAGCGCCAGCCGCATGATTCACTACACCACTTGGCCATTGAAGGGCGCCCAATCGTGAGAAGAACGGTGTAGCCAACTGTTTGACGAAGAACGAAAGGAACTTCGTGGTCGACGTCAACCCACCCCATACTGTTGGCGCGGTTGTTCCGAATGTCATGAGCTCCCTGTAGAAGTCTGCTGGCTGAATGTGCAGTGTGCCACGTCCGACCACTTTGGCCTTGCTATTCGTGATGGTCACGTACAGCGTGGTTGTTTGTCTCCAAACCTCCGGAATGTTGAGATATGCAGCTGAGTTGACAACTTTGTATCCATTGAAATGGAGCGTTTTGCCACTGGGAGACACCATGTCAAAATCATACGTCAGGTTTGCAGTATCGGGATGTCTGGCATCTTGATTAAACAGCCGGAAAGTACCCCGATGAACAATGAAGGTTCCCCCAAAGGCACTGCTGCAGAAAGTACCCGTCAGATTGGCCGAATGGCAGTTGTTCTGAGTCACTATGGAAACTGGTTAGCATCCATGAAAAGAAGATGGCATTCTCAAGGGATACTTCTCACATTCGCTTGTGTCCCAAGATTTGACACTCAGAAAGAATCTTGCAGATTCACAGTGGCTACGCGCAATTTTGGTGGCAACCTCAAAGTCGCCCACGTCCTGTCCAGCGTGGATGAATCCCGACATGACTTCAGAGAAGCCGACTCCAGAGTGGCCATTTTCACGGGCGTTGGTGATTCTGCTCGCCAGCTTTTCTATATCTGGCTCCGTCGGCAAAGGGAATGCTGGTGACCCATACAAATCTAGTAGCCCTGGCCGCTCGTTAGACCCAGCATTTGGACATCCGGCTTGCGTGTCACATACCATTTTTCGTGTCCCAGTCGATAGCGATCCCGTATTTCTGACTAGCCATCTCGACCGACCTCTCAGCAAGGGCCGTTATGGTGGCAAATGGATTGACGCCGACAGCCGCGGGGACGATGGCTCCGTCACAAACGACCAAGCCTGGGTGCACTCGGTCTCCATGTCCGTTGAATATCTCCCCGTCGCTGTTCGCGACACCCGCTTTGCCTGTGCCATCGGCACTCATTCGAGCTCCACCACTACATGGGCCGTTAGAGACAAACTGTGAGAGCTGGAATATGATACCATACATTGGATGGACCGTGATTTCCTGCGATCCTAATAGCGTCCAGGCGGGATTGGCGATGAAGTCGCCGCCTACGGAGGCCGTCATTGCTTCGAGGAAAGCGTGAATACGAGACACTGACTGAGAGCGACCGACGCCGGAGTAGCTCAGCACAGGCTTGCCCTCTCTGAGCGTGAGGGAGCCTTGGCTACCTGTCAAAGGTGGTATGTGAGCGTCACCCCTTACTCACTGTTATTCATTGACTGCTGGTAGTCTTCACTTACTGTCGTGAGACATGATGAGGTATACCCCTGTTCTTGATACACTGCCTTTGGGGGCATAGGGCCCAAGAACTTTGCTACCCAACCTTGCTGCTGCTTTGACCCAAGCTTGGGCGAGGTTATAAGACGGCTTTATCTGATCTGGCAGATACTCCAGGATCGGAATCATCAGCGGACTCAGCGCCTGAGGAATTGCGCAGTCCTCAATCACGAACCCCTCTAAAGGATTCTTCTGATCGCGCAAGTCAAGCACTGACGTGATACAAGGTCCAACTGGCCGTTCTGGTGTAGGACGGGAGTGAGCGAGGCAGTTTGCCTCATAGTCAGTATTGTATCTATTCCATGCTTTCAGGTTAGTAAGGGTCTTTTTCTCAGAAATGGAAGGGTGGAAAGACTGGCCGATACATACGCAAAACCCAACATATCGCCGTTTCCGCTCATCTCGGTTCCAAGGTCATCACTCATGTTGAGGCCCAGCTGCTTACTACGAAGAAGGATCTCCGTTGTTCCAATGCTACCGGCACCGAAAAAGACCAATTTCTTCGCATGAACCCACATCAAGTCGTCGTATGCACCCGAGAATTGTCCTCGGTTGTCTGAATTCCACGCAAAGTGTACGATATACCCTTCACGTCCAGGGGCCTTTGTGACATACCGCACCTCGCACTCGCAGAAGATCTCCGCCCCCCAGTTCCACGCATCACTGAGGTAATTCACCAGGATGGTAGATTTGCTTCCATCGTTGATGCCGGTAGCGTCCATGCCTGTCAGAGATGATGCTCGCATGAAGACGCCAGAGCTATTCGGTCCATCATGGAACCTGGTGGTTTGGCTGACGCGATAGAACTTGTCTCCGACGCCCATAAGCTCCGCTTCTCTCTTGAGTAGATCGGCCTTGAGAAGGTTAGGATAAGAGGCTGGGTACTGTGCTGGTTCCAGAACGTCTCTGGCTCGGTTGTAATCTGTCCTATGTCAGTATGAAACACTCTGAAGCTGCCGAAGATTGAGGAGACAGTTGGATAAGAAGCTAAGCATTCTCCCATGAGACCTCAGAATTATGAAAAGCATGAGGCTTACATCTGGTCCATGCTTCCACTCCTCTAAGCTCCTTTGGCCAGATGTCCATCTCCAGAACCGCAGGAGTGGCCTCTAGAAAGACGTTTGCATTAAGCAGACTTGTACCACCCAGCCCATTACCCATGAACACATTTTGCCCATCTCCGACCACGAAATGATAGAGTCCGGCAGGGTTGCCACCGTCTACAAGCGGGCCTGGGATACCTCTCCTGTCTCCTGGTGCGAATTCGCCACTGACACGGACCTCTTTGGCAGCATCGTTCAATGTTTCTGGGTATTCGCCAGGCCACCTTTCTTTTCCCCTCTCCAAGACGCAGACGCTTTGTCTACCTCTCGCCATACGACTGGCTGCAACTCCTCCCCCATAACCGGTTCCAATTACCACAACATCGTAAGAGTTTCGCATAAGCTCAACAGGTCGTGATATTCGAGGAAAGGAACGTGGCGTTTGTCTTTCCTGTCCATCGTCATGTGCCGGTCGGTGACTCTCTCGTTGGCGTGTCCTGTCTTTCCTCTCTGTTGATGGGCCATTTACCTTGTGTGAAGTGGTCCGTTCATGGGACGAGGAGGCACTTTGATGATCCAAGGAGCCATCATCAGGACCATTATTTCTCGCAGCCGGAGCTGCCTTGTCACCGTCAATTGTATCGGCGTGTTTCTTTAAACCTGGCATCACGTGTTACCGAATGCCAACCGTCTTGAAGTGGACTGTGGATAACGGAACGTCGGTAGTCGTATGTAACGGCGTTATAACAGCTCAGATTCACAGGCCAGATTGAAGTACAAAGAGGAGCGAACAAGGTGGTTATTTATATCTGTATTAGGGCAGCCATTTCCTATCCTGAAGGCAATCTCAAGCTTGATGTATGTTCGCGGTCAAGTCCCTGGAGCTTTTGACATTCTCCAGATGCTCGAGTAGTTGAGGGAGGGCAGAAAGCTGGCCATAAGCTATAGCGATCTCAAAGAAAGCAGCGCCGAGCCTTGTTGCGTCGTCGTTACACGATGGCTGGATGCAGGCGCATGGGCTGAGAATGCTTGGCTGCTGGAGATTGTTGCAGCATCTCGATCTTTTGCAAAGTCACGATAGCCGTCATCAGATTGGCGAGCAAGGGGAGAAAAGTAAGTTTCGATAAGTTCTCATGCTAAGTGTACCGGGAGTGATTTTGTGCTTGTTGTGCAAATTGCTGGGCAGAAGGTTTGAGTCTGTTGCAAGCCACGAGCAACCATTGTTCAGCCTGGCTGATTCAGCCGCAAAAGCAAGACGACGAGTCTCTTATCATTCAGAACTCAGTCATGGAATGCAGCCGGCACGGCTATGAAATGTAGCTGAGTCCTGAGGCATGCAAAGTAAGTCAAAATGACATATTGCTGATGTCCTATGGAGAGACACTTTGATTGGTGCACAACGGAAGCATGCAATAACCTGGGTTGTCTGCTGCATCAATAAAGGTGTTGGTTGAAGTAGTTGGGAATTACTTGGGGGAGCCCGACTGGGGACAGATACATACAGCACCATCCCGATCTCATGTCCCCATCGTCTCTCAGCGTACCAGATATTTGAGAAATATCGCCTTGACTGTACTCAATTGAGACGTTACAAAAAAAATGAGTCATCAAACAATGCCTAAGAACTATCCCAGCTTTCTACATTCGCAAGAAGGTGAAGAGACGGAGCTTCCGCTCACGTATACAGGATCTCCTTGGCAATTATTTGCTTCTGACGTTCGGCTGTTCTTTGCTAATATACTGTATATCCCGTTCATTTTTCTGCCCCTTTATCCATGGCCGTCCGGGCCATTAGACGAGCTCTATCCAACATGGGCAAATATGATTGACATTGCCTTGCATTGTTTTCTCTTTGTAGTGCAGCTATCTTTCCTCATATCACTTCCACTCCTGATAATCTACCCTGTTTCTATATATGTCTTGTATATTGCTATCGTCCTCATTCTTAACGCTCTTGTCTGCTTCCATTTCAATCGTGGCATTCCGGCAGAAGGCCTTAGGTCGACAGATGATGAATACTCACAACAATGGGAGTCTCATGATGATGAGGCTTGGATCTTTTTGAATGGAATCTGCGTAGGGTAAGTATCCGTATCAAGTATGTTCCCCTGAAACGACCGAATATGCTAATCCTTTCCTTTCTCATTCAGAAAACACTGGCTACAAAGCAACGTTGATCGACTCTCTCGTAATTTTCACCGGCCTGTGGTCGGAGTACATAACAAGACGTTGGTTACGCCCTCGTATCCCCTCTCCCGTAGTCTCATAAACCTCACCATCTGCAATGGAGTTTCATGTCGCAACATTTCTAACTGATCCCAGTTACGGCGTTGTCTTTGATCTTGTACAATGCCTTATCCAACGTGCATTGCTCTACGCCACCTCAGACATTCGAGACTGCTATGTCAAGGTTAAGAAAGCACTCTATCAACCAGGAGTGAAAAAGGTAGTGCTTATCTTGCACTCTCAGGGGGGTATCGAAGGTGGCATGATACTGGATTGGCTGCTCGATGAGGTTCCACAAGACCTTCTGCAGATTCTCGAGGTGTATACTTTTGGTTGCCTTGCGAATCACTTCAGCAACCCGTCTCGCGGCATAGCATCACCTGGATCTTCAGCGAAGCAAAGTTCAGCAGGCGAAACGGCAGACCAGCGGGCAATTCCTCACATCGAGCATTATGCCAATGCCTATGATTTCGCTAGCAGATGGGGTGTGCTGGCCTTTACGAAGAAAAAGGTCCAAAATCATCTCGAGAGCAGATTTATGGGCAAAGTGTTTGTTAATCCAAGGGCAGGCCATCAGCTCAATCAGCACTACCTTGACTCTATATTCCCCTTGGATTCGGCCGGACGGTTTACCCGGGAGCCGGTCGAGGGAGATTTCATGGACATGAAGTCTTGTGCTGAAACAGACGACTGCACGCCTGATTTGATGCACATCGGGCGGAGCGCACAGGAGGCAACGCTCGAAGGCCAAGGGAGAGATGGCCTAAGCAAGTATGCGAGTGTCAAAGAGAACTCTGGGGAGGTGGAAAAGATGTGCCATGTGAGCAGGTTATGGCAGTATCGAAATGGAGGATGTCCAAAATCTTCACCCTAATATAACCAGCACGCCTGTACCCAGTTTGCGCAATCTGTTCGCCCTATGACTTTAATTTTACTTCCCAATATTAACACGCTGAGTACCTACCACCATAAACTACTTAAGAGGGATGTCTCATTTGTTCTTCAAGGTATGTATCGTCCAGTGACATCTCATAGTCATAGGGCGATTACTCTTGACTTTGCTTTGAAGCCATTTCTTTCTCAGTCTTCCGCATATTCTCACGAAAGCCTGCGCAATTACCTACTCCAGTTGTTGTCATAGGGCATCATAACCACGACCCGACGTCTAAACGGCTGTAACAGGCTGTCGAGCGACACCCGGGAAATCCCCAAGCTGTGCTGCTTCTTCTCCGCAATTCCCCCCCTCGTCCGCCACCGGCATTGCAAATTTGTTCCTGGCTGCTCCAACGGAAGCCAATCATTTTCTTGCATGATTCATCCGCGAGTTTGGTTTCACCGAAAAGCCTTGTTGGAGAAGTGAGAGTCATGACTCGCGCGTCAGCTGTAAACCAACCACCCCAACACGGACCGCATCACAGTGACCCTCACCAAAACATGTCCCTCCATGTCATGTCACGGCGAAACTATTTCCAAGAATCTTGCTCCGGATCCCCACTGCCAGTGCCCATCGATGTGGAGAAATCTGGGCTCGTACAACTTCCGAACGGCTCTTGTTCGCTCGGCTGGCCTCTCCGCGTTATTCCCCCACACGCGCCGTTCGTTTGCTATGGGGTACATGGGTGCTGTGTGCGCTGATCTCGCCTTGCAAAGGGCGCTTTCTCCAACAGTAACCCCATGCACAGAAAACTCTCATTGGATCTCATGACGATGTTCCCCCACATAGAACGTGGAAACCCTTTTCGTGCTCGTACTAACTGGGGGGGAAATGCGGAGAGCGAACATCGTGGTCATCAGGGCGACTGTCACCCTGCAGTATGTGCGGTCAGGAATATGAGACCCGGTTGCGTGTCACCGAGACACAAGACGTGGTGGCATGGGGGAAGAAGTTATATAAAGGCCCGCCGATCCACTGCTGCCTGTGCGATCCGAGCTTTGGGCACCATCGTGAAGTTGCATTGTGGATTCTAGGAGCTCGATACAACGGTCAACTTTGCGAGATGTCGTCAAATCCAGCAGGCGGCGCTGCGGTGCAGCCCAAGAAGGGCGTGTTCCGTCAACTTCGGGAGAACCCATACATCTTTGGTCTTTCAGCTGTATGTTTTCCATTGATCCAACCCATGTAGAAACATCTCGCTTACACGACAATAGTTTGCATCTCTCGGTGGCTTCCTCTTCGGCTATGACCAAGGCGTGGTCTCAGGTGTCCTCGGGATGGAGAACTTTGGTGCACTCTTCCCGAGGATCTACCTCGACAGCAGTTTCAAGGGCTGGTTTGTGTCCACGCTCCTTTTGACAGCCTGGTTGGGTTCGTTGTTGAATGGACCGATTGCGGACCGATTCGGCAGAAAGGGATCGATGATGGCCGCTGTTGTGGTGTTTCTCCTCGGCTCTGCTCTGCAGGCTGGCGCGAGCACCATTGGCATGCTCTTCGGTGGTAAGTCTCAAAGCTCCCTGCTGCCATCTCGAGGGCCCTTGTAACACTTTGCATAGGACGAGCTGTCGCAGGTCTGGCAGTTGGTATGCTTACCATGATCGTGCCTATGTACATGTCGGAGGTCTCCACGGCCGGCATTCGAGGAACTCTTGTGGTCCTCCAGCAGTGTAAGTCTCATAATCCCCCTCTCGTCCAACACACCCGCCATCTTTCAATCTGCTAAACGCAAATTCTCTCACAGTGAGCATTACTCTGGGCATCCTCGTCAGCTACTGGCTCGAATACGGCACCCAGTACATCGGCGGCACCCGTTGCGCCCCCGACATTCCCTACTCAGGCGGCACTGCTGAGAAACCGACCTTTAACCCCCAAAACGACGTCGGTCCCGACGGCTGCACTGGACAAAGCCAAGCTGCATGGAGAATCCCGTTCGCTCTGCAGATTGTTCCTGCCCTTGTTCTCGGCATTGGAATGATCTTCTACCCCGAATCCCCGCGTTTCCACCTCATGCGTAAGAACGAGGATGCAGCCCTTCGCTCACTGGCTCGCCTCCGCCGCGTCCATCCGGATTCCGATTCCCTACGAGAAGAGTACCTCGCTATCAAGGCGGAGGTCATGTTTGATGAGTCTCACACGCGGGAAAACTACCCCGGAAAGAGTGGTGTCAGCCTCTTCTTCGCTGAATACTACGGCTTGCTGTCCAACTGGCCTACGTTCAAGCGGGTGTTCATTGGAAGCGCCATCATGTTTCTGCAGCAGTTCCAGGGTTGCAATGCGTTGATCTACTATGCGCCGACCATTTTTGGACAGCTGGGACTTTCGGGTAACACGACATCGCTTTTGGCTACCGGAGTGTACGGAATTGTCAACACTCTGAGCACTTTGCCCGCCCTCTTCCTCATCGATCGCGTCGGAAGACGACCCCTTCTCATGTGCGGCGCTACCGGAACCTTCATCTCTCTCATCATTGTCGGATCTATCGTCGGGAAGTATGGCTCTGCCCTTAGCCAACATGCCGCGGCAGGCTGGGTCGGAATCGCATTCATATACATCTACGACATCAACTTCTCCTACTCCTTCGCCCCCATCGGCTGGGTTTACCCCTCGGAAATCTTCAACCTGGGTAGCAGATCCAAGGCCATGGCCATCACCACTAGCTCGACCTGGATGTGCAACTTTATCATTGGACTGGTCACCCCGGATATGCTTGAGACTCTCAAATGGGGCACATACATCTTCTTTGCGGCCTTCTGCTTGATTGGATTGGTCTTTACATATTTCTGCGTACCGGAAACCAAGGGTCGCAGCTTGGAGGACATGGATCGCGTGTTCGGTGATGAGACTGCTTTGAAGGAGAAGGAGAGGCTGTTTGCTATTGCGGCCTCTCTGGGTCTTACGGCGCCGATTCCTGCGGAGAAGACGGAGGCCATTACCGCCGAGGCTGAAGAATATGTCTGAGAAAGTGGAGTGTCGGAGGATGAAGTTGAAGTACATGTAATCGGTCACTCACACATAGTTTAAGGTTGGCGACATCCATTGTCACCGTAATAAGAGAGAAAGCAATATGTAAACAGTGCTGGAATGTGATGTCTTCTTGTTGTTGTTTTCTCCCCCCCTTGTGACCGTCTTTGTTGTTAGCAGACGTCAGCTACAAAACTCCACAGCGATTGCAGTCAAGGCCTCTGCGACCTGCTTTATCGACTCAACATCTGCGTATTCCAACTTTCCATGTAAGCCTTCACCCTGGGGCCCCCAGAGCAATGCCGGAATCCCAGCACCATCTAGTAGTGCGCAGTCAGTCCAGTAGGGGGCGCCCAAGACAGCAGGCTCCCTGCCAAGAGTGTTTCCCACGTGCTTGTGGACGAGTTTCGCAAAAGGGTGGGAAAGGTCGGCCTTGAAGGGAGACCGGTGAAAAGTGGTGCGAAGACTGTACGTGAAGTTGGGGACTGTTTTCGTCAGGCCGTCGAGTATCTCTTCGAGCTCTTTCCGTACAGTTTCCGGTGTCTCGCCGTTCACGGTTCGCCGCTCGAGCTGGATCTGAACACGAGAAGGGTATGATGAGACTTCCTCGCCGCCCTTGATGAGGGAGGCGTGAATGCTACCTGGGCCAAGGACAGCATCGCCGCTTTGCGCTGTCAAATGGCTTGCATGTTTATCCAACTCAACGAGGAAATAGCCTGCCTTGCTAATGGCATCAATACCGAGGTCGTATCTCGAGCCGTGCGCTGCAAGGCCCTGAATGTCAACATCAAACCATACAAAGCCCTTGTGAGCGTATAGAATCTCCATGTTGGTCGGCTCACTGACGATTGCGCCGTCAGCTGTCCAGCCTGCCTCCAGTACCTGCTGCGTGCCGATGCTCTCAAACTCCTCGTCTGCCACGCCTGTGAAGATGACATCTCCCCTGAGGCTGTGCTTTTTCGCGTTGGCTAGGGCAGCCATGGCAGCTGCTACACCGCCTTTCATGTCAGCGGCTCCACGGCCATAGAGCTTGCCGTCTTGGATGTCACCGCTGAGGGGATTGCCTTCGTATCCCATGAGGGTCACGGTGTCAATGTGCCCGTTGAGCATGAGGCTCTTGCCACCGCCGAGTCCGCGGACGATGCCTACCACAGAAGGTCGTCCGGACGTTGGCTCAATCCAATGAGACTCAATATCACGGTGCTCCATCCAAGCAGTGATATAGCGAGCAATAGCAGTTTCTCCAGGACCGGGAACCGATCCAAGGAACGGATTGGCCGAGTTGATCTTCACCAACGTCTGCGTTATTTCGACGGGATCGTCGCTCGCCACGCTGTGAGGAACGTCGTAGTCTCGTGCACCCTCTGTGCAAAAGATTACTACGACGGAGTTCTTGGTGAGACCCAGCCTTTCTCTATCCGCTCGCTCTAATCTCCTGAGCGCAGCGATAGGTGCGGCTCCACAGGGCCCTGCAGACACACCTTGAGACTTTAGGTATTCGCAAGCTTTGTGCGCCTCATAGTCAGATATTGTGAGGCTGGCATCGACTCCGTGTCGGAGAACAGCCCAAGATATCGATGAAGGCGTCCCGCAATCCAGCCCTGCCATTATGCTGGGGGACTTTTCCGACGTGGAGGAGGACTCGCCGCTTCTGAGGCTTTTCCAGAGACTGGCGGATGTATCAGGTTCGACGGTCAGGACTTTTGTTTGTTTTCCGGGCTTCTTGAAGTGCGTTACGACGGCTTGCGCAAAGGACCCGACTCCCACCGGCACAACGACGAGGTCAGGGGTAGTACAGCCAAGCTGGCCGTCGATTTCCAGCATCATGGTGAGGTAGCCATCGACGATCCACTGGAGGTTATCAGCGTTGGATACTTGACAAAAGGCTATGCATAACACGATGCACGCACCTGCGGAATCTGAACGTAGTCGCCCGAAGCAAAGTCCTGGATAACAAGGGCGGTATCGTCTTTAGCAGCTGCCACTCGAGCGTCAACAACAGCATCGTCGTAGAAGCCGTCCGAGATGACGACGCGCGCACCCTCTGACTTTATCAGATCAATGGTGCTTTGGTGCATGGTCGTAGGGACGTGGATCTGGGCTGGGACACCCAGGATGGAGGCCATGCGGGCAACGGCCCGGCCATGATTGCCGTCAGTGGCCGCGTAGAGTGTGATATTTGAAGATGCCAACTTCTGCTCGACGGAGCCCAAGGAAGAGTCTATAGGAAGATCAAGTCGCTGGGCAATGGCCCGAAATGTACCCCATGAGGCGCCGAGGATCTTGAAGGAGGGGAGTCCGAGTCGACTTGTCTCGTCCTTGAGGTGGATGGATTGCACGCCGAGCTCCTTGGCTAGGTCCGTGAGAGGGATCAATTGAGTGGGAGAGTAAGCCGGTAATTGTGAATGGAAGCGGTATGCCAACTGAGGGTCATCCGGTGAGGGCGCCGTCCATGATTCGGCCAAGGGATTGAAGTAGACGGGGCGACGGCTCATTATGTGAGGTCAAGGGTTGGGGGGGAAAGGGGATGAGGTGAAGGTTACGGGTACACGGCAATGAACGGGAGAAGTAGGGGCAAGGGGACAGACAGTGTGAGGGAATTGGATTGCCCTTTTATCTGGCATTTGTCAAGATTGACCTGAGTAGCGATGTGAGGCGCATTCGGCTCCATTCACTCATCTCTGAATATCGCTAATGGCCGGGATGAACTAGGACCATCCTCAGCTTGCCTATGGTCGTGGGTCGTTGATCGAATGAATGCTAGCGACGACAAGTCTGCAAGAGAAGCCCAACATGGTAAGGGCAAGGAGCAGCTTGGCAGGCAACCGGAATCTATCCGATGCGCCGGCTTCTTCTGTGCTTTGACCGGTTTTGATTAGATTTTCCATGTTCTGCTCAATCTATCACGAAGCGTTCTCTCTTTTTTTTTTTTTCTCGCCTCCGGGCTTTGTCATTCGACCTTCCATGGGTCGTGGTGATGCCATCGTCGTGCTGCCCCTCCCACATGTGCAGAAGGCGCCGTATTAACTCAACTCTTATCCCGCTATAGCTCCAGCCAGAAACGAGCCTAGAACTTCAGGTTCACTGGTCCCGTGGCGCGTACCTGATACCAGCACATTCAAGCCCAGTTCAATGTGCTTGACGAGAGCAAACTACCTACATGTAGGTACAATGTCATCAGAAGGCGCTGTTGGTGTGATTTGCTGCGTATCAACAAGCTGGAAGCCCCTCTTCATGTATGAGAAGGCGTTTGCGTACAGGAAGGCGTGTCTACTCTCCATCAGGTCAGAAGCAGAACTCCATCCGTCCGTATGAACAGTCGGTAATTGATCAATAGCATCCTCGCCACTCACCATGCCTGAAGCTGCCGTGTTGGTAGTATGAGAGCTGGAGCGATTCTTACCTGCACCAAGAGGTACACGATATGTGCCGCTGAGGTGTCCTGGGCTCCCAGCTCGAGGAGGTGTGCCGCCCTCCCGTCCACTGTAAATCTCAGTCTCAGGCCCTGAAGCCGCCGCCTGTAGCTGCCCTGAGGTGCCTGTAGATGGAGGGCGCAGTATAGGTACATGTACCTATACCTAAGAGAGCGGACGTCCAGTGAGACGCACGTGCCTGGCCCCACTCATTCTATCCCAGAGATACCGCACCCCCGAAAAATCGACGCCCTCCTGCTACGAGCGAAGCAAATGGGTCATGTCACCTCTTAGCATCTTCATCTCCCCAAGCGTGCGCCTTCTCCGCTCTCCGCCAACCGCCAACCGCAATTCTGTGCTCGGACAACTGGGCAGCTGAGGTGACTCAAGAGGGACAAGGGCAGAAGGAACCCCGGCCGGAGATCGTGACGGGAGACCCGCTGCAGAGGCCCGAGTCCGAAGTTGCACGCCGTGGTTGGTCGATCCAGGCGTTTGATGCTCCGGCAGCCGGCCAATCTGTGTCACTGAAGCGCTGCAAGAGAGGCGATCCACGCACAGCGAATTGCGCAGACTGCCGACCGCGTTGGAGCCGCTAGCCTGTGCGAAAAGCCCTGTACACGAGACAGTCGCTGCTGGTCGAGGGAGCTGCCTGCCTATTGTCTGGAGCTACACGGGTGTAGCCAGACGTCGGCTGAGACACAGGGCGGCGGTCTGCTCGCTTCAGAGACGAGGTGGTCGTGAGACGGCGAGCGCTTACGCCAGCCACTCTTTGCTCTGGTCCCTGGCCCTAGACCCGGACCGGGACTGCCATGGATGACGGGCTGTTCCTGGTGGACGATGTCGGCAGGCTGATGGACGGCCAGCACCGCCTGATGCAGGCTCAAGAGCCTCAGTCTCAGTCTCATCCTCAACTGCAGTCTCACTCTCTCACACACTCTCACTCCTTCGGCCGACTATCGGACCCGCCGGCTTTCAATGGTCCGTTCGAGCAACAGCAGCAGCAGTATCAGCAGCAATCCTCGGATCAAGACCCTCGTCAATTGCAGACCTCTATTCGCATGGACCAGCTTGGTCCCTCGTTCTTCTCCCCCTCGGACCCTTATGCCGGTAGTCCTTATACCAGTCCGGCCGGTGGGAACTCCGTGTTCACCGAGTTTCAGTATGAGCTCGGGTCCGAGATGCCCAGTGGCCCCGGCTCTTCCTTTGACGGAACCTCTCCGCTGCCGTTTGGTCCGGGCCCAGCGAGTCATGCCGAGCATCTCTGGGATGCAGAGCTGCAACAGCCGCAAGGGCAGCAGCAGCAGTCGCCGCAAGACATTGCGAGGAACCTCAACGTCATCGACGAGTTCTTTATCAAGAATGGTGCTCATCGGCCCCCAGTGCCTTGCAACTACTGTCAACGACTCAGACTCCAGTGCCTCATCCTCCAGACCACCGAGGCCAACCCGAACCCCGTCAGCTCCTGCTCCAGCTGTGTAGCGCTCTATCGCGATTGCAGTCTTGCTGAGCGTGGCAAGAGAGAGGCTTCCGCTTACGAGACTCTCCTCCCGGTCATCGGCCATCTGCATGGTGTTCGCGAGGAGACTGACGGCTCTACCACCCTTGAGGGAGCCACCAGATGGCGCATTGAGCGAGAGGCTGCTCCAGCCCCGACCAGATCATCGTCGATAGCTTCGTACAAGCGAAACAGCACTCGCTCTGTGAAAAAGACGAGGGTCCTGAGAAACTGGTTTGCCACTCATCAGGAGCACCCGTATCCGTCTGAAGACGAGAAGTGCATGCTATCCGAGCAGAGTGGCTTGACCAAGACGCAGGTGATCAACTGGTTCGCCAATGCCAGACGCCGCCATCGCCTGACCGCCCAGTCTCACTTCAACAACAGCAGCAAAGTGTTCCTGCAGGGGTCTCCAATGCCCCAGACATTTCTTGCCGGCATGTCGCCGATGGAGCGATGGCGGCACTCGCCCCCGAACGAGGAACCGGTCTCGGCATCGGCCATCGAGAATGCCCTATCCAGCCAGATGCATGCAGGGGGCCGGAATGGTTACGTTCACTCCTTCGACGGCAGCTACGCCACCGACGGTGCCCCATCTTCGGCCAGCAGCGAGTCGGCCATCTTCAACCAGCATCCGTCAGGTTTCTACGAGGCGTCCTCCAACTCTGGGTCGTCTGCGTTCTCCATGTATCAGTCCGACGATGCAGGCATCTTCTCCCTATCGGCACGCAGCTCCATCCACGGCAGCGATGGCGATCTTATAGCTGGCCCTTCTCAAGCAAGGGCCGCTACAAAAACGGCAGCCGATCGTGGTAGGGCTCACATGTTTCAGTGCACTTTTTGCCGTCAGAGCTTCAAGAAGAAATACGACTGGGTACGACACGAGAGGTCCATCCATCTCCCTGGCCTCGACTCGTGGATATGCAAGGTGCCTCTCCCAGACGACCAGTCACACGTTGTGTGGCGAGTGAATCATAGTGAGCCAGAGTGCATCTTCTGTGGTCAGACATCACCCACAGATGAGCATATGCAGTCCCACGAGTTTCAGTCTTGTGCAGAGCGGCCTGTATCGGAGCGGACCTTCACTCGAAAGGACCACTTATGGCAACACCTGCACAAGTTTCACCGCTGCCGAAAGTGGGATGGATGGAAGCCAAACCTCCATCTCTTGGAGCACCGACAAGATACGTACGAGAGCGTATGTGGCTTCTGTCAGCTGCAGATGCATAGCTGGGAGGAGAGGGTCCAGCATCTGGCGTCTCACTTCCGACGAGGCACAACCATGGTTGAGTGGGCTGGCAGCGATCTCGGCAAAGGCAGAGAATCCAGCCTTCCAACCTCATGAGGCTGTGTTTGTTTGTTTACACTTGGAGTTTGCTCATTCTCTATGCTTTCTTTGCTTTCAATATTATAGATTTGTGGCTTATACCTGGGAAAGGCTCAAGATATATAGAGTATTGCTATTCGGGCTGTATAAAATTGCTATTCGGGCTGTATAAAATTGCTATTCGGGCTGTAGTGTAAGTACCTGTTAAATTTCACTTAAAACACTACCTTTTAAACCCTAAATGATACTACTAAAATAAAATAAATAATAATTTTAAATAATAGTTTTAGCTTATTTAATAGCTATATTTATAAAATATAATTTTTTATAATTTTTATAGCTTTTATATAACTAGAAAAAGATAAAAGAATATTACTATATTTTAAAACTAGTTTTAAGGCTATATATTATATAAAATTAAGTAACTTTGTATATTTATATATAGCTTATAATATAAATATTATTATTTTTTTAAGTGCATACTTATATAAATAGTACTTAGTAGAAAAAAATCTAAACTTAACTTAGATTAGCTTTTTAAGCTATTATATATTAAGAAATTCTATTTTTAAATATAAAATATAAAACTTAACTATATAAATAATCTAAAACTAGTTTTATTTTTCTTATAGTATTTTTTTAGAATTTTATATAGATTTTTAAAGATAAGAGGTATTTTAAAAGGAAGTAACGCACAGACCCCCACTAAGCTTAAAGAGGTTAGTTACAGCCCGAATAGCAATTTTATACAGCCCGAATAGCAATACTCGATATATATATACCCACTCGCTATTACCCGTCAATAAACATAGATGAAATCCTCATTTTGCAAATCCGTAACGTCTTCAAAGGCCTTATTGCCGACATTCTCATCTCCCATGTTAAGCACCTCATCGTCATATTCCCTCCCGCCCTTCTTACGATCCATCATGCTGAGATCGCGAATCACCTCCGGCTTGCCGAGCGCCCGCCGTCTCACCGCCTGTCTCCTGTTTAGCACCTTGATCCAGAGCATGCCCACCACAATCAAGACGGCCAGCACCACGAAAAGCGCGAGGTTCGAGCGCAGGCCGCGGTCGTAACGAGGCTTCTCGCTGGGCTTGAAGAGCTGCGGGCCGACGATGTTGCCGACACTTGCTCCGACAAAGAGCATTCCCGTGGTAACTTTTCGCTTAGTATCACCAGCTGTATTCTGGCCTGACCAGGAGTAGATTAAGGGAGATATCCCGGGGTACACAGATATGATGTAGTAGCCGACCAAGAGGACGGCTCGATCGGAGGGAGCGCGGCCGGTGACGAGGAGGATGATGCAGCCTGCAATAGGGGGAAGGCAGAGGAATAGAAGAACGGCGGATTTCATGTGTATCTTGTCGGAAACCCAGGCTCCCCCCAGGGTTGCAATCATCTGGACGGCGCCAAAGGGGATGTTGAAGAGGATCGTGGTGAAGGAGTCGAAGCCGAAAGACTGGATGATGAGGGGGCCGAAAGTTGATATGCCACCACTGGGTATACTATTTTATGAAGGATTAGTGTTGATCATGGCAGTGGAAAGATGGAAAGACTTGAAGCTTACGAGATGGTGAGCATGAGACAGAACCAGAGCCACGTCTTGGGATCAAGCATTGCTTCGCGGACATGCTCCCACTTCCAGACGCCGGAGCCGATGCCCATTTGGTTCATGCGCAGGCGTTCAATAGCAATGACTTTTTCGTCTTCTTTGAGAAACTTTGCCTCCATTGGGGAGTCTGGCATAAAAACACTGCGTAAATGTAAGAGGTGTGTCTTCGAGAATTGAGGAAAGGGTGGCGGCTCAACATACTACATGACCAGGGAAAAGGCGACTGTGATGCAACCACAGAAGAGGAATATGATTTGATAGGGTCGAAGGGTGGATTTGATGTGGCCCAAGCCATATGTGAGAAGACTTCCGAGCTGTGGTGGTGAATGTTGTGAGCAGTTGTACGCAACCGGGATCCGGCGATCCTCTTACCATGTTGACGACTCCAAGCATCGCATACCACGAGGCATTGCGAGTTGTCTGCTCCTTTCTACGATACCACATCTGTACAACTGCAACGAATGTTGGGGCTATTCAGAGCTCTTAGTCCCGATCATTTCCATCAACCATCTTCATCAAGTCAACTCACCAACAGAAGCCTCAAACGCTCCGAGCAACAACCTCGCAGCCATCAGCCCCCCAAAGCCTTTCGCCGCCGTCATTCCGCACAACACGGCCCCCCAGCAAAACACCATCGTTGCACAAAACTTTCCTACCGGCAGCTTCACCAGGGCGTACGCCACCAGCGGCTGAAACACCAGCTGCGCGACGTACACCACGGAGCCAAGCCATGAGAACTGTTCGCCTTCTAGATGGGTGTCCTCGATGAGGCCAAAGACGGATGCGTACGAGAGGGTCGTCTTATCGAGGGACTGGAGGCAGTACACGAAGAGGATGATGGGGAGGAGGTGGATGTCGATTTTGCGTAGTACGCGGGCGTTGTCGCTGGGGGTGACGATGATGGGGGATTGGGTGGCTTGTTTGAGGAACTGGGCTGCTTTATCTCTGCCTGTGAGAGGGATGTCGGTGATGGGCTTGGGGGCGGGGGTAATTTCGGGGGACGTGGTTTGGGGGTCCTGGGCTTGTGGGCTTTCGAGATGGATGATGTCGGGGTGATCTTTTGGGGTAGACATGTTGATTTGACGACTCTTACTGATCAAGGGCGAGTAACCTTTGTCAAGGCAGGCGATGGTATTGCTGAAGCCACCATTTGCCTTCAAGGCCACACAGGTGGGCAGTTCAATACGATATTTATATGGCAACCATCTCACTTACTTGTCTTTCGATCTATCACACGACTAATAGGCTCTTGAAAGCACCAAAACCCCATGGGGCAAGACGAGATCGCTTGCAAGCAATTCGGGACAGAATGCGGGGAAGTATTCGCGAGGTGTAATAGGCTGAGCGGACATGCTGGTTTTTCTCCTTCGGGATTCACTCGTCTTTCTCCGGTTCTGGTTTGCCCCTCAGCGGAGATTGTAGAGATTCGCCCGCCTAATGTCACACCTTTGGAGGGGATTGCAGTGATTCAGAAGACACTTGAACGTCTCGTGTAAGCTTTGCTTCCCATAGATCGAGAGCTTTGAAGTCCAGTAGGCGTCTATAGAGCCCACGTTCTGTCCTGATCCACTCATCTTGATCCCCCACCCTAGTGAAGAACGACCAGTGTCATGGCTCCAAGCATACACGTGTAAACACAGATATATAACTCGGCAACACCCTCTGTCCAAGCCTCTCAAATACCACACTCATCATTCTATTCCTCAAGGTGTCGCTCGTTATAAAGTGGTTGAAGTTACACAACCCCTCATTACGATGCCTCAGCAAGAGCGTGTCCTGTCTTCTTGGTTGGAGGCTTCATCCTCAGAGAAGCTACTACAGCTCGACTCGGCAGATCCCCAACTCCCCTTTCGGTTCACATTTGATGCTCTACGCCCCAACGTGTTTCGGACGACCTTCACGTCCAAATCTCATCCTTTGCCTCCTCATCCCAGCGTTCCTCCCCCGGAAAAGCAGACAGAGGCTGCCTGCATACATGTTTCTTCTACTGGTACGACAAAGGAGATCAAAATTGGCCCAGTCACCGCTACAGTCGACTGGACCGAGTCCTCCCCTATTCTTTCAGTCTTTCTTGATGGTGGCCGAAATGGGCCTCTGCATGAAGACCTGCCACATCGCTCATACGTCGTCGACGGCGAGGGCATCGCTCATTACTCGCGCTACAACAAGGATACCCTATATGTCGGCCTGTGTGAAAAGGCAGCGCCGATGAACCTCGCTGGGAGAAGATTCGAGCTTTCGGCGACAGACAGCTTTGGATATGACGTTTATCGTACCGATCCTCTATACAAACACATTCCGCTCCTCATCAATGCGACGCCGAGTGGCTGCCTGGCGACCTTTACGACATCTCACTCCAGAGGCTCGTATTCTATCGGCGCTGAGATGGACGGTATGTGGGGTCGTTACAAAGTGTATCGGCAGGATTACGGAGGACTAGAAGAGTACATCATCGTGGGGAAAACTCTCAGGGACATCGTCAAGACGTATGCGGATCTTGCAGGCTACCCTCTTCTTGTCCCGAGATGGGCGTTTGGGTACCTCTCAGGAGGCATGAAGTACTCGATGCTTGACGATCCTCCAGCCTCAGAGGCATTGCTCGAGCTTGCGCACAAATTGAAGGAGCACGATATTCCCTGCTCGGCCTACCAGATGTCGTCTGGCTACACTGTGGCCGAGAAGCCACCCAAGACACGCAACGTCTTCACGTGGAATCGCCACCGGTTTTCGGATCCAGAGGGCTTCGTCAAGGAGTATCACAAGCTCGGTATGAGGCTGATCGCCAACGTGAAGCCGTATCTCATTGGCACTCATCCAGAGTACGAGAAGCTGAAAGCCGCAAATGCGCTATTCACTGATCCGCACACGAAGAAGACAGCGGTAGCACGGCTATGGAGTGCCGGTGGAGGCGAGAGCGCTGAGGGTGGCCACATCGACTTTACCTCTGCCGCTGGCTTCCAATGGTGGTACGATGGAGTCAAAAAGCTTAGAGAGCAGGGCATTGACTGCATCTGGAACGACAACAACGAATACACAGTCACCGACGATGGCTGGATCTGCGCACTGGACCAGCCTTCTCTGCATATAAGAGACGACGTCAAGAACAGGCCCCAAATTGGTCTCTGGGGTCGGAGCCTTCACACGGAGCTCCACGGTAAAGCCTCTCACGATGCACTTGTTGACGTTGCTCCTGATGAGCGTCCATTTGTCCTCACGCGCAGTGCAACAGCCGGCACGATGAGGTACGCCTGCAGCTCCTGGAGCGGCGACAACACCACCAGCTGGGCCAGCATGAAGGGTGCCAATGCTCTTGCGCTCAACGCGGGCATGTCGCTGCTGCAGTGCTATGGCCATGACATCGGAGGCTTCGAGGGTCCTCAGCCATCACCTGAGCTGCTCCTTCGTTGGGTCCAGCTGGGTGCCTATTCGCAGCGCTTCGCAATCAACTGCTTCAAGACGATCAACGAGAACAATATCGGAGACGTCATTGAGCCGTGGATGTACCCTGAGATTACGCACTTGGTTCGCAAGGCAATCAAGCGTAGATACGCCATAATCCCTTACATCTACTCCCTGATGCTGGAGAGCCACCAATCTGCTCTCCCGCCACAGCGCTGGACCGGCTGGGGATATGAGCAAGACCCAGAAGTCTGGAAGGCGCCCATTACCGAAGGCGAAACGCAATACTGGCTCGGCAATGCCCTCCTGGTAGGTGGCGTCTATGAACCCGGCGTCACTCAAGCACGAGTCTACCTCCCCAGGTCTTCTGACGACGACGAGGGATATCTCAACCTCAAAGCTCCCTACCAGTACTTGGAAGCCGGACAATGGGCGACCATTGACGCCGAGTGGCATGGAGCAGGTATTCCCGTGCTGGCAAAGGTGGGGACGGCCATCCCAGTTGGAAGAGACGTGCAAGTCTTGTCCCCTGGGGAAAAGGAGAACGTCGCAAATCTTCCCCTGGATGACTACAGAGCGGTCGAAATCTTTCCTCCTCGACAAGGTTCTCACTCTGCAAAGGGCTATGAGACTATATGGTACGAAGATGACGGCGTCTCGGCTGTCGCGAAGAATAGAATATCCAAGTACAGCATCGTCTACGCGGTCGAAGGAACGGAGATCAGGGTTCAATTTTCCAGAGACGAGACGTCGGGGTATGTGGCGCCTTGGGGAAAGTTGGTCATTGTGCTTCCTCCCGGTGATGCGCGTAAGGTTGTTTCGGCACAAGATGGCGTAGAGGTTGGTGTACTGGGTGCGGATGAGGAGGGACGGAAGAGGTTCGAGCTTAACTGCTAGAGTAGAGGCCTAGGCGGCTACCTGGCTCTCCACAACGGAGAAACCTGCCTGTACACCGTCCCAGAAAACCGGAAGTTGTTTAATATTAGGATTTGGTAGCCTGCGCTTGTTATGAAAGACACGCGGTGCTGTCAGGGTCTTTATAGGTTGTGCTTTGAGGCAAGACATTCTGCTATCGTCTCTCACGCACCAGGCTGAGACACAAGAACAATGATTATTCCATGATGTATCTGAAAGAACCATAGACTCGTAGTTTAGCCCAGAGCCGCCGCAGCTTCGTGATGCATGCTGTATTCGGGTACCTAGTAGAACGATTGACATAATGCGGAGAATCCGGCGAAGTGTCGGACCCGGACTAGTAAACTCGGGGAGCCTCCCCACGAAGCAGAATTTTCCTCTCTCATCGTACGAGTCAGCGCCATGGCCTGCTGAAGCTGACCCCTTTCTATGCTCCGTGCTCTAGTTGAATATATGTAGTAATGGTTGGGACATCCAGATCAGGTGCCCAGGGTTGAAGCAGTCCCCCGAGAGTTACCGACGCAGTACCCCAAACAATGCGCCCACGAATCTGGTGATGCTTCACCTAATTCAGTGGAGACCCCAAGCCCTCATATTAGCCTAAATGGAGAAAGATGCGGAGAGCCCAAAAACTCGCTCTCGAAAACGTGGACAAAGGGCTCCATTGCACGGCATTCCATCGGCGAAATGACTGCCATGACGCCAGTGCCGGCCTGCCGGCCAAGCTAGGAATCACAGCCGCGGTTATGGTTTGCTGTCCCGGCCAGGGATTTTGCGTCTAAAAAGGCGATACGTGGGGAATTGGCGAGGTTTGCCCAACGAGCGAGAGCTTGCGAGACCAGGGGGAGTGCCTTGAGTGGTTCGCGAGTAGTATGACCCGAGGAGCTCGCTGTTTGCTGAACCGACGGCAGGCAAAACATCGTATTATGTATGGGCAAGACAGAAAACTCAGTGGGCATTGTGATAAAAGTTTCGTCAGCTGTGTAAGTGTCCCTTGTGAAATAGTTCACGCACAGCAGAGCACTATGGAGGAAGATGGACGGAGAATTGAGTACTAGTACGATGATGACAATCGCAAGGGCTAAAGCAGACCGAATTAACGTTGAACAGGTGAGTTGATACAAGCCGTCTTACCAAGCCGGTGTGACGGGGCCAGCAACTACTCCGTAGTCTCCAACCTTTTCTACTCTCCGGGTTTTGCATCCCCCACTCAAGGTTCTACACGCCTCGTGAAAACCAGGGGATCAGCAGTCTAGAAGCAAGAGAAGGTGAAGAACAAGAGGAAAAGGACTCCACATCGGCGGCGGCTCTTGCATGTAGCCAAGCAAAGATGGCTTGCACCAAGCAGGAGAAAGGGCAGCCAAAAATGGGTGGCGTTTTATTCCCGTGCGCCCCAGGAGAATTTTTCTCTTCCTTGACCACTTGAGGTACTCTAGGCTACCTGAACTAGATCCAACTGCCGGCCACAGGTACTCAACAGGTGCAATAGAGACACAACATATCAGCATAGCAAGATCTCATAGCTGCACTTTAGAAGAGATCATAGGAGTCAGAAGCTGAGAAAAATTCTTCTCGCTAGCCAAGCTCGAGGTTTGACTCAGGAGCATCGAGCAGACTCCACCACCACCATGCGTTCCAGCGTCGTCACAACATGAGAAGGCAAGGCAAAGCAGGGGCTGCGGTTGGTCGTTCCGCTTCCGGCTGGATCACTGCTGGTCTAGGCTGCTCAGAAACGGATCTTCCTTCTCCACATCCCCATATGTCCATCCCTCATTCCCCCCAAACCCCCCATCCCTTCTGTTCGCCTCCAGTTTGTGATGACCGCCGGGGAAAGTTGGGGGAGCAGTTGGATGGGGTAAAGCTGAAGAAAGGATCAGCGCACACCCATTCAGCGGTACGAGTTCCAGACTAGCTGGAGTTCTGCATGATGCTGTCTTCGGATCATAACCCCCCCTGGCTCGCCACGACCATGTGACGTCCGGGTTTTCTCAGTGCGACTCAGTTGTCCGTATTCGTCTGTTATATATTGAAGGCCCTACCCTCTGTGCTACTGGAGCACTCTGGTGCTGCTTGTCCGTCCCGCCATCGTCACTCGGAGGTGTCCATAGTCAAGCTCCAGTCATTGTTCTTCCGCTCTACACTACTCATCCCCCTATCCCACAATGACTGACGACATCGCCCGGGCCAATGACCCGGCCCTCGAGGCCGAGAAGCAAAACATCGAGAACCTCGAGCATGTCATCTCCAGCGACGTGGTCAAGTCTCATCCCGCCGCGGCCATGGACCCTGTGCGACGAGCTGAGGTCGAGAAGAGCCTCAAGCGGAAACTCGACCTGCGCTGCTCGCTCTTCATCCTCATCTACATCATGAACTACCTGGATCGCAACAACATTGGTGCCGCCCGTCTCAAGGGTCTGCAGGCAGATCTCAACCTCGACGACACCCAGTATGCGACATGTCTCAGCATCTTGTATGTTGGATACATTCTCATGCAGGTCCCGTCCAACATGTTCATCAACCGCATCACCCGCCCCTCACTCTACATCTCCTGCGCCATGATCGTCTGGGGTCTCATCTCGACCCTTTCTGGCATTGCCAATGACTTCAAGGGCCTGGTTGTGATCCGCTTCTTCCTGGGCTTCGTCGAGGCAGCTTTTTTGCCTGGCGCTCTGCTTATTCTGTCAAAGTGGTACACGCGCCGCGAATTGACCACCCGCAATGCCCTCCTCTTCTGCGGCAACCTCATCTCCAACGCCTTCTCCTCGTTGGTCGCGGCTGGCGTCCTGTCAAACATGCAAGGTGTCCTGGGCCACGCTGCGTGGCGATGGCTGTTCTTCATTGAGGGTGCTGCCACCATGGCCATTGCCCTGTCGGCTGCCTTTATTCTGCCCGATCTGCCCACGAATGCGCGCGGCTTCACCGAGGAGGAGAAGCAGGTTGCCCAGCTGCGTATGCTGGAGGATGTCGGCGAGGCTGATGCGGATTCCACCGAGCAGGGTGTCTTTGACGGCCTCATCATGTGCGGCAAGGACGTCAAGGTGTACCTGATGATGTTTACGCTTACGGCGTACGTCGTTGGTCTTTCGTTCAATGCCTTCTTCGTAAGTCTAGCTATCGCATCTCGTTTGAACTTGGCAAAAGGAACTAACACCGCTGCTTCATAGCCTACTTTGACTGGAACCCTGGGTTTTGCCTACGTCCCCACGCTCTTGATGAGCTCTCCCCCTTGGGTCTTTGCCTGTCTCGTCTCCCTCGTCGTATCCTGGAACGCCGATCGAACGCAAGAAAAGGTGAGCCATCGAAATTCTCTCATGCACAAGATTTTACCATAAGACTAACCCGATCAATCCAGTTCTGGCACATCACCGTCCCCATCATCATGGGCATCATTGGTTTCGTCATCTCCATGTCTACCCTCAACGTCGCTGCCCGCTACGTCGCCCTCTTTCTGCAGGCCAGTTCCTACGCTGGATTCATCGTCTTCTACAGCTGGATCAGCTCTTCGTTCCCCCGTCCTCCCGCCAAGCGCGCCGTCGCCATTGCCATGGTCAACGCTTTCAGTCAGCTCGGAAACGTCGCTGGTTCGTACGTCTGGGACCTGTCCGAGAACGGCTACCGCAAGAGCTATGGCATTGTCTTGGCCATGTTTGGAGTTACCATTGTCGGCAACTTCTTGTTCAAGATGATCCTGACCAACCTCAACAAGAAGCTTGAGGCGGGCGAGGTGGCCTGGGAGGCTAAGCCGGATGTTCTGGAGAAGACTGCGCATGCCGAGATGGAGGACATCGACGAGGCTCTGCGGATGAGAAAGGGGTTCCGATACCTTGTATAATTTTTTGTACGATGCTTATGAGGCAAAGAGTTATAAGACAAGAGCGGCGCAGGGTGGCGCGAGTTGTAATGCAGCAAAGTCTTCTCAGGAGGAGATTGTATACCACTTTATGATTATGGCACCAAAAGAAATGAAATGAACATTACTTCGTTATTAACTACTCTTACTCATATGAGAAGTTCCTGATGAGAATCCATGACCGCTACAGCTTAACAGTGGTGGCCTTGATATTCTTGCCGCTGATCTGAATCTTGTCACCGCTTCCATCCCATCCACCAACCTCAAGCTGAAGCTTCTCATGCGGCCACAAAGTAACATAATTGTCAGACCAAGAGACAGGGTTCACATCGTTACCCTTGCTGTCCACCAGCGTCAGGCGGATGAAAACAGCCGGCACCGACGACTTGTTCTCAAGCGTGACTGTGCGAGTCTGCGATCCCGGAATTCCTGGCAGATGCTTGCCGCCGCTTGTCGTCACAGAGACCTGGGCAGTAGCCAGGGTGTTGAGAGGAGTGTAATCCACAAACTTGCTGACTGGGGTGTAATACCATGTCGACTCGTCCCAGTTGAGCTCGTCGATCGTCTTGGTAACCCAGTAGACGTTGCGGCTCAACACACTGCCCTTTTCATCGGAGAGGACAAGGCGCAAAAATGCAACGCTGGATAGCTTGTTGATGTCACTCGAGATATCCATGGCCTTGAAGCCCGAGTTGGCCTTGGTTCTGACCTGAACCAACTTCTTTGCAATTTGCTTTCCGTTCATGTCAATGAGCTCGACCTTGATGTTCCGCGAGCCCGTCTGGTAGAGCGAGTGGTTGATGACCCAAATCTCCTTCTTCTGGTAGTTGTACGCGACGTGCTCGATGCGGGAGCCGACCTTGGTGCCAAAGTAAGAGCCGGCAGGGTGAAGATAGTAATCAAATTGGTTCCAGTGAAGACTCGGCCAGGCGTTATTGAGCATCCAGTAGATGACACCGGTTGCAGGGCGGCTGGCTGTCCACAGAGCGCCAAAACCCTCGTACTGAGCTCTTGTCGCTTCGTAGTCCATCATCTGGGCTTTCAGCAGATAGTCATCCAGAGAAGTCGGCGCACCGTAGCGCTTCCAGAGGCCTTGATTGTAGATCTTGCGGTTGTAGAACGACGAAGCGTTGGTGGACATGTGAAAGAGATTCTTGTTAGGATTCTTCCACAGATCATCCAGGTCGCTCTGGTTGAGAAACCTCCTGAGAGAGCTCAGCTCGGGGGTACCAACACCAGCTCCCAGCTCAGAGCCAAAGCCAAAGGCAGCTCCCAGGCGGTCTTCGGAAGGCTCAACGTCGTACCAGTAGTTGGGTGGCACCCAGTCATACGGACCGTCCATCTTCATTCCTCCAGGGCCAAGGAGAGCTGGGAAGCCGCGCTTGGAAGCAGAAGCAATGATGGGCGTCTGCCAGCCGGCATTCTTCAGGGCATTGGCATAGAGGACAACGGCCTCGTCGTTGGGCCAGAAATCGCTTCCAACGAGAAAGGTCAGCACACTAGGATGGGGCTGCATCATTGCGGCCTCGTGAATCATGCTATAGTTGGCGGTCTCATAGTCGTTCGCATCCCACACGGGTGGGGGGAAAATGGCGAGTTCGTCGTTGTAAGCCCAAGCCTCCCACTTATCGCAGCATTCCCAGCCTGGCATCACCATCAGGCCATATTCGTCGCAAATCTCGTACAGCTCGGGGTGTTCCATCTTGCCCTCTAGGCGAATCGTGTTCTGGTGCATATCAAGCATATACTCGACAATGCGAGTGAATCGCTCGCTATCCCATCGAAGGAACATGTCAGCTCCGTAGCCACCGCCGATGACTTGGAAGGGGTGGCCGTTGACGCTATACTGGGTGTCGTTGAACTGATTGACGAAAGAAGTGACTTTTCGAACACCGAATTTGGTCTGAGCTGTGTCTGAAACAGCTCCCTTCACAGAGAAAGTTACCTCGGCGGTATACAGGGGCTGGTCACCCCATTGCTTGGGCCACCAGATGCTGGGCGTCTTGATAGTCTGTGTGAATTGGACCAGCTTCTTCTCGCCAGGGGCAAGCTTGATTGTCTGCTTTAGAGCCTCTCCGCTGCAAGAGTTGCCCGAGATGACGGCTGCAGCGTTAAACTCAACGGCATGACTCTCCAGGTTTTGGGCTTCGGCCCGGACAGTGACCCTGGCAGGGTTCTTCTCGACAGGAACATCTATGTCAACAAGAACACTGACTGGGCCCATGGAGACCGATCCAGTCTCCTTGATGGTGATATCACGCCAGATCCCGGAGCCGTTATCACTTGGATAGGGGTTCCAGTCGACGTATCCGAGGGCAAAGTCGTAGAGGTAGTCTGTCGGATAAACTTGGACAAGCAGGGCGTTTTTCTTGGCCGCAAGGTTGGTAATGTCGTAGGTTCGACCGGCATAGGCACCGGATTGGTATTCTTTGTCGGCAATCTGCTTGCCGTTGAAGAACAGATCGGCTTTGGATGTGATGCCGTTGGTTTGCAGCAGGAAATGCTTTCCCTTGGCAGGAGACAGCGCAAACTCATGACGGTACACCCAGGGGACTGAAAACTGGCCCCAGTTGACGTGATTAAGGTTGTCAGAGTACCAGAGCTCCTCGTCATTATAGACTCCCGCGTTGATGAGGCATCCCATGATCGTGCACCTCGATGTGCCGGCATGATACCATGACGAAGTATCGACACCAGGTTTGGACAGTCCGCCAAGGTCCTTGCTGACGTCGGAGGAAGACTTGAGATCCCAATCTGGAATAACAGCCCGATGGCCAGCCTTGGAAGTCAATGGAGAGCCATGACCAGCCGCTGAAGCAATGCCACTGCCCAGAAGAAGGGCGGCGATGGCGTTGGCAAGCATGTCGTTGGGTGGAGTTGCGAAGGCGTCGCCTGCTTCTGCCCTTGAACCGTCTTCCCACGTTCTGCGCAGAGTCCGTAGGTCCTTTATTCGCGACTCGGGCCCTCGGTCCTCTTTATAACCAGCCGGCGATATCCTTTTCTCTTTCCCTATCAGGTCAATTGCATTGCATACATGACTAAATGGCTCGATCAATGGGTGCTTCTTTCTACATAAGGAAGAATGGCTGGCTATTACGAAATAATTGTCTCGTACTTTGTACAAGTACGTAGCACGAATGCTCTCTTATTCGCCTTATCCTAACTGTACATGGATGTTCGATTTCCACCAGCTACAGAGATCTGGGGCGTGATACAACGTTACCTGACTGAATTGGAAAAAGTGTCTATACCAGGCCGCAGCTGCGAATCAGGCGGGAGGCGGCACCCAAACCTGAACTTGAGAAAGTCTTGAGCTTGTCCCTTGTTCCTGGCGAAGCGGGGAAGCAGGTTGGCTAAGACCAGGGGGTTCAGCCTCGACAATGTGTTCGACTCTTGAGCGGTAAACACTTCAGCTGGCACATGGGCACAGCTACCGTTGGCCGTTGACTTCTTGTGTCTTCCGCGATTGATGACTCTCAGAAACATGACCAATAGCTTCGTCCGCATATGAAACCAGAGTGCAGCAACATAATGGGCAGTGGCACCGACCATCCAGTTACAATCCCGTCTCTTTCGCCGATCCAGTTTGTCTATCATTTGCCGCTCCGCAGTGGATTCCTGGGGTCGACAAAGACTAGCAAGTGCGGAGTAAGATAGTATCGGGATGCCGGTCAATTTTCCACCACTTGATAAGCTTAGATTGGCAGAGCAATCGGCCGACCAGGGGTTGGGGTAGCATCACCTGAAGGTCTGGATACGATACGAGACTGCAAAAGTCCGGGGTCAAGGTGAAGAAGCAGTAGGAGTAGTAAGGTAAGTGGGTGGTTGTTTTCTGGTGAAGGCGTCTGTCTATACCAAGTGAGGCCGAGTCCACGAAAGAGGATCTCGACAATTACAATCACGGAGTGAGCTATATTCTCATGGAAAGCAACAAACGCGGCGGCCATCCGTCTGTTAACCATCATGTAGTCATCTGTACGACGGACTCGAGCTCGGACCCCCACCTACTCCATCTAGACCTCCTCACGGCCTCTTTCCTCTGTCTCTCTTCCTTGGGCCAAGCCCGATGACGGGGCCATATCGTGTCGGCTCCGGCGCCGTCAATATAGTTATCGCGATGACATGCTCAATGTTGCATCGCCATATCTAGGCACTTAGCATCCCGGCTCCAGTAACCCTCTCCTGTTACCGGGACGAGATCCTCTCTCCTCCCCATCCGCCCCATCTTGACGCATCTCTCAGGCATATTGTCTTGATTAAGATGGACATGAAGACATCATCGAGTACCCCACGCATCCGCAAGAAGAGGATTCCGGTAAGCATATGCCGTCTGAGCAGCCCAGGGGCCGCTGTCATGTCACGTTGACCTCGGTAGCTCGGCATGCTCCGTTGCTGATCGTGTTGGTGGACAGAAATCCTGCACCGCATGTCGCCGCTCCAAGGTGAGAGGCTGAACTCGAAGCCTATAGTTCGTGAGCTCAAAGTTCTGACTGACAGCTAATCCCAGGCTAAATGCGATGGTAAGAGACCATGCTCACGGTAGGTCTTCTATGTGGGCTGAATCGGCTGTGCCTCGATCCCAGATTAACGGTTACATCCAGATGCAGCGACCTGAAGAAGATCTGCACTTTTATTGATCCTCCCAAACAGGCTCATGAGATGTATGCTTCTTGCGTTACCGATTCCAATTTGTCGATCGCACACGCAACTGACCACGCTCGCCTCACTCATGCAGCCGGATAGAGGAGCTTGAGCAACAGGTTGCGGCGCTCAAAGATAGGCTTCGAGCGGATGCATTGGCACAAAGCACTCAAGCAGAGACCGGCTTCCAGCACACCAGCCAGCCAGGCATTGGCGACACCCCAATCTCATACTCACCTCGGGCCACTTTTGTCAGCCCCGATAGAGTCGCCTCAGCATTCTGCATACGTTCATCACACACCCAATCACCGACCAATACGACACTTGCCAGAAAACACACCAGATCTCACTTTGAGATTGGGTCTGTGACATTACCAGATTGCCTGGATGCTGGCCTGCTAAGTCTCGAGCAAGCTCGTCACTACTTCTCCATCTTCTTCCAAGGATGTGACCACTTTGTTCCGGTGCTCGATCCTCGCTATGACTCATTCGAAAGCATTCGCGCAAGAAGCAGTCTCCTGTTTGGGGCAATATGTGCAGTTGGCTGCCGCGTTGTGACGGGGTCTGAAACCCAGCAATGGCATATGCTCGATTTCCATGTCAAGAGGATGCTGACTTGCGCCCTGGCCAGTCCGTCCATGGCCTCACTCGAGACTATTCAGGCACTGTTGGTCCGCTCGTGCTATGCATCAGAGAGGTCTCTCCTTGTCGCAGCTGCAACGCGCATGGCTATCGATTTGGACTTTGCAAGTTCCTACGATGAGATGGTCAATCGGTCTGTGGCCCCGGCAGCACGGGGAGTATCCTCGGCAAGTCTGGATCAAGATACAATCACCTTGATGCGAAGAGTGAGGACATGGCTCCATCTGTTTGTGTTGGGGCAAATATTGCATGTCGATGCTGCTGACCTGGCGACCTTCAAGTTTGTTGGGGATTTACGGAGATGCCGCATTATACTGAAGAGCCCGGCCGCAACTGAGCTCGATCTGTCCTTGTTCTCCCAAGTCGAGCTCAATGCTGTCCGTGGCAGGATCTATGACTCGTTGTCTGGCCTCGTGGGATTCAGCGATGAAGACGCAATGATGGACGTCGTTCGCGAGGCAAAGATCGACATTGCTCTATGGTATGATGATTGGGAGCACATCTTCGAGAAGCAAAGCGCTCAAGCGCCATGGCTTGGTGTCAACTTGCGCGCACAAAAATGTTGGTCAGAGAACATGGCCTTTTGCCGAGTCCTGCGGGCGTCTGGTGTCGAGAATGTGGACTTCATGTCGCCCGCTCAAAAGTCAGTTGTCGCCATGGCAAAAGATGCCTTGGAGGAGCACCTGGATATCATGATCAGAGAGCCGAGGCTCTATTTACGCAATCTGCGCTTCGCAATGGACTTTGTCTGGGCAAAGTGCGCATTTTGCTACTTACTGCTGCTCAAACTTTCCATTCTGTTGCCGGAAAGTAAGGGGCGCAGCAGTCGAGAGCTTGTAGAACACGGCAATATCCTCCTGGCCGAGCTAAGTGAAGCCAGCGGAGGGAATCATAGCGGAAGCCGGAGCAGCACTGGAAAACAGTATCTTCAGCTTCTACAGGTGGGGATCGGGAAGTTCAGCTGTGCCACCCAGGAAGCCCACGAAGTACTTGCGAGCACGGCAAATGACGACAGTTTTGCAACTGCTCGACGGACGCCTACATTGGCAACACAGAATCGAATGGAGCTGGACTCGTTTGTTCCGGAACAATTCGTCTTTGAGTGGGATTTCCCTGGGCTGACGTTGTTTTCCTCATCGGCGACCAGGGTTTCGTGGCTTGATGATATCCTTGCAGAGGCACTCAACGGGAGTGAGGATGCATTTGTTTGGTTACCAACAGACAATGACAACTGAACGGTCTGTACATATTGGATGAGCACAGTCGAGCCGTGTCACTGAGAAACTTGAAGCACTCCACTACTTAACCGCCGTGATCCATTTTCACCGATGACACTACCGGCGCGCAAGTGGGATGACTTCTGACATTTGTGTCCACCAAGAATAAAGAACAGGGTTGTCTTGGTATTACAAAGCCACGTCTCTCTTGAGCTTCTACCTTCTTCCAGTTATTAAGCTGCTTGTAATGCTTGTTTTGTGCCAGACAATGGAATTAAACCCTCCGTCTCCGCATACAACAGAGCGTCTGCTGCTGTAATTGCGTCACTGCTTGAAATGGTTACTAAATTGGCCTGAAATTCGAATCGTCAGCTTCGAGCCAACATAATCCGACCAGACGACATCGGGTATTGCACTTACAAATGCAAATCTCAGTTTCTCTTCCTCTGTGGCTTCACCCGGAGTTACTCTTGTCAAGGGCAACTCCTCAATAGCATATATAGAGGTCATGACATCGATAAGGAAAGGTCAATGAGCACCGACAATACCCGCTAACTCGACAAGCCACCGAAGCGCTGCGCACCCTGCCAGGTTCATTCTGTAGCAACAAGAAAGCACGCCATCCATCTCCTCACAGTATTACAATCCGCGCCAATTACAGCCTCATCAACCTACTCCCATCCACCCATACTCCGGCTCTACCTACACTCAAGCAAAGATGGCAAACCCGTTGAATTACACATACCCTTCACCTCTCGCCGGCTTTGAGAATGCGCCACCGTTGTCAGACGAAAGGAATGAAGACGGGAAGAGCTTTGTCAATCCGAAGCGCGAGCACTTGAGCGAGGCTTACAGTCGCTTCACCGATCCTCTTGACAACGGGCGAAGAGGCGGCTTGTGAGTTTCCGTCATCCTGTCTTTTCAAATTTTTGAGCATTTACGTATTGCATGGCACTAACTTGGCTTGTCCGAACAGCGACATCCACATATACTATTTCCAGAACAACAAGGAGCAAGCTCAATACGCGCGCGAGCTCTGGGAACGCATCCGCAGAGAGTGTAGGTCAAGCATTTTGTTTGTTGAACTCTACCGCTAAATCTACTAACTGGAGATTGCGATCCAGTCCCGGAGTTGAGAATCTACACCTTCTGGGATCGACCAATCGGCCCCCATCCCGTCGCCATGTTTGAAGTGAACGTCTTCACTCCCGCGCAGTTTGGAGCATTTGTGTCTTGGCTCGCCGTCTGGCGGGGACCCCTGTCTGCTTTGATCCACCCCAATACGATCCCGGAGGACGGCGTCTCGTCTGCTGAGTCTGGATATCGCGACCACTCTCAACGGGCCATTTGGATGGGCGAGAGGTTGCCGTTGGATTATAGTATCTTTGCTCGGTCCTCTTGAACAGTGGATGAGTTGTCAGATGCGAGTTGTCCATTTTCATTCTGTCCCACACCACTCATCGGATGAGCAGCCATCGTCTTTCATGTATTGTAAATACTGACATATTAACTTCCAAATCACTCACAGCTTGCTATCAGTCCACTTTGGATTTCTCTTCTCCACGAACGCCTGCAACCCTTCTTTGATGTTGTCTCCAGCCAGCAGCTTATGATGCCATAGGCTATTACTGATGCGAGTCCCTTCATCAGCGCCAACGCCCTCCCAGCCCCAGTTGATTCCTTGCTTGGTGACAATGACTGAATCGGGACTGTTTTCGGCAATCATCTTTGCCCACTTCAGAGCTTCTTCGACCACATCTCGTCCTTCGGGACAGACCACATTGACAAGTGCCCATTCCTTGGCCTCCTGGGCTGGAAGCACGCGGCCCGTCAACATCAATTCCATCGCGCGCTGCTTTCCTATCGTGCGGATGAGACGAGGCATTGCTCCCGCAAAGGGGGCCACGCCGCGCTTCACCTCTGGAAAGCAGAATTTTGCCGTAGCACTAGCAATGACAAGGTCGCAGTTGACCACCGCCTCGAAGCCTCCTCCGTATGCGATGCCGTTAACTGCAGCTATGACGGGCTTCTTGCCGGTACGCCGCGAAAGGCCAGCGAAGCCCGAGGATGGCATTTCTCCAAAGCTGCCGGACCCGATCTCGTCATTCCACGCTTGAACGTGGCCATTGTCAGCGGTAGTGACTCTTTTGAACTCCTTCTGATATCCCAAACTTACCTTTCAGATCAGCACCTGCCGAGAAGGTACGACCTTCCCCCGTCACGATACTGACCCATAACGAGGGCTCCTCGTCGAACCATTCGAAAAGCGAGGCGAGCTCCCAGCTGCCTGAAATGGCAATGGCGTTAAGGGCTGTTGGGCGTGAGATCTTGACCAGGAGCACCCGAGGGGCCGGGAAGGATAGCTTGGCAATAGATATCTTTGGAGAGGGGCGTGCAAAAGTCGTCGTAGAAGACATGTTGAGATCGGTGTAAGGTCTGTCAGGGTCGTTGGGTGGCATGCATGGACGCAGATGTGGGAGGATCTTATAAACACTGATAAATTGACTACCGCAGGCGGCGGTAATTGGTAAAGTCGACGACTACTCCCTTATACAAGCATCCGTTATACCAAGGCAAGCGGTTAGAATTGCTGCATACATGTCAACAATCACGAGCATTGGTCCCATAGTCTTGAGCGTATAAGATGTGTGCTTGTAGACCAATTATATACGCTGGTGTTCTATATGCCCTTATAGCCGCTTACCTTGGCTACAGCTTTGTTCAGTAATACGAAAAGGCACCCGTTAACCTAGGTTAGTTCGGCATGGCGATACCCCAGACAGCGAGCCAGCGAGATGGGGCGGACCCCCGCATTTCTCATTTCCCATGCTATTCATCGTTGCTTCATCGACGCTATCAACCGTAGAAGTACTGCTAGACACAGTCAGTCTCTTGCATCAGTGTGTGCATTGGACGACATATCGTCATCTGGTCACCCGAGCTCAGATCATTCTCCCAGGGGAGCAATGAAGTCTGACGGGGACTGTATCCTACGAAGTATCATGCCAGTATATCACGGGTCTGAAAGAAAATGATTGCTTTCCTGTAACCCCTCAATGATCCCAGGCTTTGAATTCAATAATACACCACCGGCAGGGTAGGGAGAACAAGTCATGTTTATTGGATATGGTGATCGAGGCAGGTTTGCCAAATAAGTCAGGCAACATGCTTTAATAGTCTATCATACTTATTAGATGACTGGCTGAAAGATCTACCGGTCCATTCACATCCAATTGCTTGACCACCAGCCTTATGGATCTATCGGCGCTCTGGGTCGGCTCAATGAGATGATGCTCACGCAACAGGTCCCGTAGCACACGTACGTCCGTCAGCTTCGCCCTACTCCCCTGGCAGCGTTCAGGACTCTCCAGGCGCTGCTCCAGAATTGTTGGGTCACAGTCTGCATTCACCCAGATGATAGGTATGTCGGTCCCACGCACGATATCGAAGTGCTCGCTAAGAAAGGCAGCATCTCTCCCGTTGTCGCCGGCAAGACACGCTGTCATAAGTATAGTAGCGCCCTCCAGTACTTGTTTTCGTATCTGCTCAAAGATAGGCGCTCGGATTCTGCGGCGCAACTCGTGGTGTTCTTCACTTCGATCGGGAATGAGTGCTGTGACAGGGTCGATCAGGAGGTGGTTGTCCAGGAGACAGGTCATGCTGGTGGTGGGTAAGAGATCTCTGGCCCGTTTCATAATAGTATATTTCCCTGTACCAGGAAAGCCATTCAAAACAACTATCTTGCCGAGGCTAGTGGCAGTGCCTGTTTTGCACTGCTGAGGCATCGTTATGGTGTTGAAAGCGGAGAGAAGGGAGAAGGCTTCATGTTGGTGGGGTATAATCTTGATACCTAGTTGGCCATGCCCATAAGTGTTGAGTTGCGAGTGCACCAACAGTGTCGGAACTCTAAAACGGAAGCGTTTTAACTTAAAGACAGAGTTTCATGACACAAACATTAAAAGACATTAAGCTCAAGTAAAGAGCTTGACGAAATCCCGCGTTTTCCAGCCTAACGGATACTGATGGTCGATTGTGATGGAAAGGCCACTGTAACAGCATCATGAGGCTCCCTCGGAGCGTCCCAGGATACTTGCCACACAAAAAGCGTTCAACTCTGGATCTAACATTTAGCTAGGATCATCCGGAGCCTTGACCACAATGGGCAGCCTCTGTATTTCATCCGAAAACCAATCCCAAGTGGAAAGTTGACAATTGACAAATACATTCATCTGGCAATGGGGACATAACGACATGAATTCAGTAACTTACGTCTGACCAAAAGCTGAAGCGCCCGTCGGCCTTTAGCAGGGTGTATCATCGGCCGAGAGGTGCAGTTCCACTTGGTCGTTGGTGACTTTGATCCTTCGTGCACTCTGCATCAGTACCTAGGCTTGACTTATTGTAAAGCTGCTTCTCATCAATTGCAATAAGTTATTGGTCCCAAAAAGCACGTCGTTTGTAAGCATTTGAGCTCTAGCGAGTACCATATATATGCAAGATGGGTCGCTAGACACGGGCGACCGTTTTTCTTGGGAGCTCGGGGGACATCTGAACCTCTCCATTCGAACTCGTATGGCCAAAATACTTGACTGGACGACCAAATGCCCAGCATCAGGCAAATCAACACATGCAGTCGATGCCGCTTGTTGAAGATTCGCTGCGACAAGACCAAACCGTCGTGCGAGCGATGTCTCCGAGCCAGAGTCGACTGTTCACTTCGATCTAACAACTTGGCGCATGCGACAGCAACATCGGTGCTGAATCCTCCCGTCACCGACACTAATGCCTCGAGCAATGTCTCGAGCAAAACCTCGTCAATACGCTCCGAATCAAGTACGGAACAGCCATCATCCCCAAGCGGCAACTGCGCGCCGTCATCCGACACGACTACTACCGAACATCGAGGCGCCAAAGCCATTAGAAGGAGACAGCGCGCTCTTCTGTCGTGCACACGATGCCATCGACTCAAAGCCGGATGCGATAAACAGTTGCCTTGTTCACGATGCCGCCGATCCGGCTGGGCCCGTCAGTGCACATACACTCATCGAGTCGATAACGGCTCTTCAACCAGTGATGCCTCGCCGATGATTGGCTTTGTGACATCTCACGAGGATGCCAAGGATATCTTTACCTCGTGGCACACACGGCGCCGAGGGACGACACACTGGAAAGCCCTCATAACCCGGGTAAGAAAGAACAATTTGGATAACTTACTCGAGAAAACCGGCTGACTAGAGATGACAAGCTCGAGGTTTCGGCACTCAACCTCGGCCAGACGTTTGTCCATGCCGAAGACATCAGAATTCTTCATATAGACTGCTCAACCGACATTCTTCTCCCCAGCAACTTTCCATTCAACTCCCCTGGTGCTATCAAATACGCGTCCTCGCTCGACGAGGTCCGCAACCTCATCTACAGCCACCGAGACAAATGTGACGCTTTTGTCGAGGCCTATCTCGCGCTCTACCAGCCGGTTCATCCCATCCTCGACCCCCCTCGCTTCCTCAAAGAAATCAACTACTTCTGGGAAGATGCCGCGCAGACTGACGTCTCCTGGCTTTCGACCTACCTCATGGTTCTCGCACTTGGATGTTTTGCTGTGACACGCGACTCGCCATCGACAATCGAGCTTTGTCTGGCAGCCGAATCTTGCCTGGCCAGAACAACCTTCATGGTGCGGCCGAGCATGTCCGTGATGCGGACGTTTTGCCTCATAGTCCTTGCCAAGCAGCTTGCCAACGGAACATGCTGGTCCTTTGATGCAAGCTGGTCATTGCTCGGCATCATCGTGCGGCTCGCAGTTTGCATCGGACTCCATAAACCGCCAGTTGCGAGTTCAAAGCCCATGGATAGTCATGCGGTCACTGTTTCTGAATGGCAAACCGGGCATATTCTATGGATCACCATTGTCTATTTCTGCATCCAGACGGCGGCCATAACAGGTATGCCGAGTCTCCTCTCTTCAGACGACATCCTCCGAAGGACCGAGACACATGATGCCCTCTTACCTCATATCGAGCCAAAATTCGGTCCTTGGTTGTCTCTAAGCGACTCATTTCCTACCATCTGCAGCCTCATAGCCAGAGTCAACTCAGACACAGAGAAACCTACATACGACGAGATTCTTCGATACAACGCTGACATTAAACTCCTCATGGCGACTACCTTGGAGCACCCCGGATGCAGGAACCCATCTCTGCGAGCCGTCCTTGACATCTTCTTCCGTCGTATTCTGCTCGTGCTTCATCGCTGTCACGCCCTACGTCCCGACGCTCCCATATTGCATCCAGTCTCATACTGGGCTTCTCTCGAGTGCAGCCTCGCAATCCTCGTCCATCACCGCGATCTGTGCGAACACGTGGGGAATCCCGATAACCGGGATCTGTTAGGTCGCTTCTTCAAGCTGGACTTCTTTGCTGCTGCACTGACGGCCGGCCTGCATCTGCTGCAGGCAGATGCGCCACTGGCAGATGGGTTTTCGATACCACCGAGGCAGACGATACTCGAGACACTGGAGACTTGCACTGAGATATGGGGCCGGGATAAGGAGAGGTCAGTTTGCTTCCGCTCTGGGCATAGGTCACTGATGCAAATTCTCTCAATGCTATCTGACCTAGATGCTATGAGGCGTGAGCTGCCTCACCGCTAGCTCCCCACACAGAGTCATGGCCCCTTCGTGAATGCTGAGTATACATGTAGTTTACGTCACATAGACATTTAGACATACGAAGTATACTTTATTTTGGTATCTCCATTACTGAACGATTTTTGAAGGCCTCATTATGTCCAGATAATGCTCGTTTCTAAGTGAAAATGGAATTCATCGGCATTGTGCACGCATGCAATCTCTCATTAAACATCCGATGTAGGTTCATGAGCAAATGGTAAAAACTTGATCATTAGAGTATGAAGTGTAACCAAAGTTAATCACCCCACAAGGAGAGAATCCCCTCCCAGAGGGAACAGAATTCTGCACTCATTCTCATTCTAGCCCCAGAAATACATACCACAGACGGCCTTTTCGATAACGGCCGACTGTTCCCCCTAACAGTTTCTCTTGTCAGGAATGCGAGAAGAGGGCAAGTGAAAGGAGTGAAAGGATCGCGCCGCTGACGGAGCGAAAACTTGTTCCAGTTCAGGATGCAGAAAGTTTGACTACGCCAGGAGCCTGCCAACCCAATGAACATGACACCTCGTCGAGACAACCAGTCGTCGAGCAAAATGCCCAAGGCGTACAATCAATTGATAAATCGTATCAAGGATCTTGAGCCTTCTCATCTCGTCGCCAAATGATAACGTCGCTCGCTCGAAGAAGACTTGCTAGGCGGCCGGAGATCATCGGTGATCTATCAAGCCACACGAAATCTGGTTCTAGAAAATTTCTTTGACCGTTAGAAGGATCTAAGCAATTGATTATGTCACCCAGAGCCAAGAAAATTTGTGTTTGGTAGTAGAAACGCCACGCTTCATCTATTGGTATCTCTCTACTGCTTTCGTCGAGTTGGTATATCAAATGACCAACAACGCATGAATACAAAATACATATCGTCATGAGTATAAAAAAGGAATAAAAGTACAATGATACATCATAAATTGTACAAGTCGTCTATGACGACGATGCGCAGCTGAAGGGTCCTCGGACGCTTCCGTTTTCGTATTGGTTTTTCTGTGGCCGCGGATTAGTACCAAAGTCCTCGAGGGATGGCAAAGATTAAGGGCATTAGACTTACAATGTCGACAATACTGGCATAGGTCCCGCCCACCAGCACGATAAGGCCGACAATCATGGAAATGCTGCTCAGGATCAGGTGAACAAGGTTCTTCCTGTCAAACATGCTTCCCTCGCGCAGCAGCACGAACCAGAAGATGGCGGGGAAGTAGTATGTGAAGCCCGAGATGAAGAGCGATGACGAGATGGCCAGGAGATCGGAGAAGAAGGGGATGGCTTCGGCGATGACCCAGGCGATGACGGTGAGGCCAGCGATCATGGCAGTCCAGATTGCCCACGCCTTCGGGGTGTTGATGTATCGGATGATGGAGTCCTTGAACACTCGCGAAAAGATGAAGCGTCCGACGACGGTGCCGTTGATGGATCCCGAGATGAAGATGACGGGAAGGCCCACACCAAAGGCGACCTTGGAGATGAGGTGGCCGGCCGACAGCAGAGCGGGCGACTCGACATCCGGTCCGACGAAGGCGTAGATGATGGCACCGGTGAGGGTGTAGATCGCAATCTCGATAAGGCCCAGAGCCCAGATGGACTTCTTGTAGTCCTTGGGGGTGTGCATCTCGTCCATGAAGGAGAACTGGCAGATGGAGAAGCTGTAGGCGAAGACAATGTTGGTAATGGCAATGAAGGCCTCGGTGAAGCCCAGGTTCTCCTTAGGCCAAGCCGACCAGGGGACCGCAGACAATCCGCCCTCGGCGTTGTGAGCCTGGATACCAGTAGCAATCATGGTGATGCCAATGGCAATGATGATGGAGGCAAAGTCGATGTAGCCGAAGATGGCCAGCTCGGTGAAGCTGGGAGGAAGGGCAAGGAGGAAGAGCACAACAGCGGAGATGGCGGCCCAGGCCACAGAGCAGATGGCGTCTTCTGAGATCCGGCCGAGGGCGATGGCACCCGTCAAGCAGTGGGAGCCGATGAGCAGAACCAGCTGGAAAGCGAACATGAAACCGACGAGCTCGTAGCCAAACTTGCCAGCAACCAGTCTGGCGGCATCAGCATAGTGGGCAACCTCGGGGAATTTCAGTTTGACCATGCCGACGAGGTCTGAGGTGTAGATGGCAAGCAGACCCAGGCCGACAGAGCAGATGGTACCGGCAACCATGCCCAGGGTGGCAAAGGCACTCGGGAGAGACAAGCTACCGAGGGCAATGGCTTCGACGATGAGGACAATTGTGAGGCGCTTCCATCCCAATCGGTTAAATTTGTGCTCGCCCTGCTCGATGATGGCGCGCTCGGCATCCTCGCGGAACTCTGCGCCCGTTTCGCCCGTCAGGACATTGAAGTCGCGGTTGGGGACCTCCTTGAGATCATTGCGGCTCTTTTCGGAGTCCGAGTTGAAGTTGAGGGTGGTATTCGACATGGCGAATACCGATGGCTGTACCGAGGAGGATGTGATGTCGGTACTCGACTATCGAAAGGAGTAGGGAATGGTGGTGAGAAGAGTTTTTGTGAGACAATGACAGCACTGAGAAGAGAAGGGAGAAGGGCGGGAAGAGGGAGGAATGGAGCGGCAAGAGAGCAAAGACTCTTTTAAATAAACCCGCCAAAGACGATGAATAGAGAGAAAGAGGAGACGAGGCGAAGAATGCGGAGATGGGGGGGGAGAGAAGAGAGTTTAATACCTACTCCCCCAACCGGACAGATGTGGTGCGTGCAGATCCAGGACGATGTCTAACAAGGCGCCCCCATTCCGATACGACGAATTACATACATCTAGTTTGTCAGGGCTAATAAGGTTGCAGGCGCCGCATCTGCGTGGCCACACGAGGAAAGATAGATAAGTCAAAATGTGGCCGGGGTGGCCGCGCACTCGGAGCAGATGCGCCACGGACGGAGTGGGCGTAGACGTCAAGCCTGGGCTATCTGCTTTAGATCTTCGCCGCGAACGCCTCCGGGGTCCTGGTGCTAGAAAGTAAAACGGAATGAGGGTAGGAAAAACAACGCTCCGGGTTCGGCGCTCCATCGGCGCTGATAAGGGAGAAACGGCGGTCTTGTGTGTCCAATGTTTATTTGTTCGAGTCTCGCTGGCATCTAGACCCTCAACCGCTCCTCCACTTTGGCCAGCTCGAAGCTCGTTCCCCAGAGACGCAGGGAAGAGGGGAAACGCTGCAGCCGTATCATCGTCTTATTCTTGTTGCTCCATGTCTCCCCCCCATTGTCTCGTTGCCTCCTGCCCCGATCCTGTCCCCTTCTTCAGCTGATGAGGGCCCCTTCGTTACCCCGGAATCAGGCTCATCTCCTCCCCCGCAAAACAATCACTCGCCGACATCATGTCTCCGCATTCTTGTACGTAAAAACCAAGTTCGAGGCCTGGCTTGTTCCGTCTCGAGGCAAATCACGGCGGTTGAGCCTGCATTGCATCGCATCGTCGGGGCTGCCGCCTGTTCCGTGATCATATCACACAGTCATGGATTCGAGTGTCGTTTGACGGGATGCAGGGCAAGGCTTTCGCCCAAGTGGATCCTGGGCGGCTCAAGAATTCCCCTTCTTTTCTTCTAGCCCCGGACCCAAAACGTCATTGCGTTGGAATCCACGTCCTCACACTGGGCATTGATACTGTAGGGCCACGGCTCTCCCTTGTCTCTTTGCGTCCTCTTGTACTCCCCTTGTCCACCAGATGCCCACCCAGGTGTCCACTGCAAAGCCCACTGTCTGGCCCATTGCAGGCCCACTGATTCCACCAAACCCACTGAGGCCAGCCTCTTCTGCTCGATGCTACTCGCTGAAGCAACACACGATGGATCCTATTGCGACTCAGTGGCAGTTTTCATGTGTCAAGACTCCAGCCAAGATGGTTCAGGCAACCCGGTTTGCCTCTGTTTTGCTCGAATAATCCCTCGCTGCCCAGCGCGGTGGCCAATGGAGATTCTCACAAGAATGCCTGTTCACGGACAGGTACGGAGCCCGTCTAAGCGACCAAGCGACGTTACTATGCGTATTGTACCCGTACGAGTAAGTTTGTGGCCACGCAGAGATCAAAGCTGGGATCCAGGCCACGGTTGGTGTCAGAATGGCTCCTCTCGTTGTGAACGGAATCGTCCGATTTCCTTGCCAAACGTGCCGGCATCGCAACTGGAATTCACCAAATTCTTGGACGCCGGAAAAGCTGTGACACTGCCGAACGCCGTCAGATCCTTCTAGTCGATGCAATCAAGATGAGTGGCTAAAAAAAAAAAATCTGCACACCACCTTACGGCACTCACTGCCGGACCGCGGCCAAGTACAAGTACGGATGCGTCCCTGCGTAAGACCGGCCATTCTGCAGACAACGGACGTACCGGCGCACAAAACTCTCCGTCCAGACAAGCCTGCAGCCACTCGTCACCCTTGGCAGACAGGCCGTTGCCCAGCCTTCCGCCTCGAACCATCCCCAAGAGCAACAAGGCCTGGAAGCGCCCCCGGCTAGCGCTGCCCCCTTCCAGCAGGTCCAGCCTGTCCAGCAGCCTGGTTAGTGCCTCTAGCGCTGGGCTACAGGGATATCTTGGGGGGCCTCCTAGCGAACCTTACGGGGGCCGAGCCGCTGTACAGACCGAGCCATCTCCAGCCACCAGCATCCATCCCTGGGGCGTGCTGACTTTTCCTGTCCATCGTCTCCTTCGCCGGTTTTCCTCCTTCTTCCTTCCGCTCCGAGTCACCTGCAGTAAACCCTCCGTGTGTTAACCGCATCCGGCCTAGCCAGTTTGCACTAATGCCGGCGATCACTTCCATGCGCCTTCTCGAAAGATACCCAGAACGGAGCTATACCGCATCCTGATGCGGCATCACGTTGCTGGCACGCCAGTTCGCCTCCTGATGTGCTGACATCTGTTCTCGTATCTGTCCACAAAGTCCGAGACATTCCCACGTAGCACATTCGTCACTACTACCTCTCTGTGCTCGCTGCGGGGGAAACGGGCGCATCATGTTATGTTCGTCCGGGTTCTTCCTTTCAGCTGGTGTCACCGTACAGTACTACCTACAAGATGGCTGAATAGCATCTGAGTCGCCCCCGTCATTCATCTGCATCCCATCTCACTTGGCGGCCACGTAGCATTGTGCCCAGCAAGACCAGGTAAGGTAATACGCAGTAACGGACCGTGATGTATCCTGCGCCTAGTCCACACAGTACATGTAACCACAAAGCGAAGCCGTTAATAATAAAGGCCGGACCTCGCGAGACTACTCGTACATGAAACGAACGCACCAGCAGACCGCATATCCTTCAGAGACGGCGCAGGGGCAGGACTCATGAGGAGAATCCGCTCTCCACATTCGTGAAATGAACCTTTGCGCCGCGTTGCTGTGACTGGGCCAATCGTAAGGGTCCAACTACGGAGCCTGGGGAAGCGCGGAGAGCGGGCATCATCATGACAATCTCTTATTCAATGGAAATCTCGGGGTGAAGCAACCCCGTCTGGAGCCCCGGAAACCCCTCGAGATGTTTTACGTACTTGAAATCGAATCTTGAGAGCTAAATAGACGGACTCGCGTTGCATTGCTGCCGTAGAGTCTGGAGTAATTGTAGATCGGCAAGTGACAGTGACGAGATTTGGGGTATGCAATGTGTAGTTCCTCTCAGCGGTTGTCGATCGATAAATTCAAAGCAGCCGCGTCTTTCCGCTTCATCGCTCGGCACATCATGGCATATTCCACTAGCAGTCCCGGCTACCTGCTCAAGCTGCTGTCAATCGCGCTGTATACCTGCTCAATGCAGCAGCTTATCTTCAATCTTTACGCACTGACGAGTCAAAAGGGCCAACAGGATCAACATGATCAGCAGGGCCAACAAGTCATTGAAGAAAAACACGCGAGATACAATAGTAATGTGAAGGTCTCGAACATGGAGAGACCACAAGCCTACCCCGGTGCTTGTTCGCAAATGAGCCCTACCACATGGCCCGAGCTGGTTGCTGCCTGACGAGTGTGAAGCACCACGTAATATTGTCACGTCAAGAGTTGGCTGACCCTGTAGACGAATTTGATAGGTGCATTTGAGGAAGCTGGCATGCTCCATCTTGCCAAATGAGAAGCAGATTTGAGTTGGATGGTATCTGCATCAAGGTCTGGCCAGTTGCATGGATGGGGAGATAACCGATGGTCCGATACGAGGTTCTGCACCCATACACCGGACTCGGAAATCAACATGGGAGGGGCCTCATGCGAACATCACGCGAGATTACAACAGGACAGCCTGGGCAGACAAGTCTTGCGTGAGTGCTACTATGTTCTTTTATGATGTCGACCTCTTTTCGCAGAGCGTGCGGCGACGAGAAATGAGGCTTTCTAGGTAGTGGCGGCACGGTCTTCGAGCTCATGTTCGGAATCAATCACGCGTTGTTGACACACCGTTGTGCGAAATGACCTCCAAAAAGAGCACACTAGCTCATCATGGACTCATTGGTTCTTGGATCAACCACAGGCGTAGGGCAAATAGCAGCTCGATAATCACCAAAGAATGATTGAGGCTCTTTCTTGCACTTGTAGAAACTCGAGCTGCTCGACATAAGCATGTCTTGTGATATTGTCGTCGTAACGTTGTGAGGGCCTCCCAAAGGAACAAATACACCTTGCCATGACACTCGCCAGTTGCTGCACAACGCTGGGCTTGAACGACATCCCGGTAGCATCGAAAAAGAGAGAAACGCTTGAGCTTTCGAATGATGAGTCTTCCACGGGCAAAAAGCGCCACACTTGATTCCCTGGCAATGACTCCGACAGGGCCCCAGAAGAACATTCATATACATTTGTAAGACAAGACTGTAGCAGGCAATAGCGGCAGCAGCATCATGATGATGGTAGCAGCAGCAACATTATCAGAAGCAGCAGCAGCAGCAGCAGCAGCAGCAGCAGCAGTAGCAGGAGAATCAGCAGTAAAAGTAGCAGCAGCAATAAAGCGGTAGGATTGCTCATCGTATTGAAGCCTTTATCGGACATCAAGCTTGTATAGGGTAAGGCCGACCGAGGATGCAGAAATTGCTCTTCTGATTGACAGTCAGCGTACAAAGACATAGCATAAGGTACCTAAATAGTGACACCCTAATCGCTTGGTAGGCCGTGACATTCGCTTCAACACTCATTCTCAGCGTCGTTCAAAGGAATTTATGCACGAGTGCAAAGACAAGACGTGATCTTGAGCATCGTCCTCTGAAGATCTGGAGATCCTGCCTTACGTTATATGTCAGCTGCACGTGCTCCATGCCTTGCATGCATGCCCCCCCAAGAAACCCACGGAATGCTTATCTTATCAGCAGACCAAATTTTGTGTAGCGATCCGATATTGCCCCTCCAGATACAGTACCAGAGGACGCACGAGAGATCTGCTCTCTACCGGCTCTACCAACAGCTGTTGACGGGTCTCAGATGAAGAATCTTTACCTATAATTGACCCAGACAAACTTTTTGCCCAGCAATTCATTCCGGACGCTGCCATGGCAGCCACAGAGTCATCAGCGACCTCGGTCGAGGCCACCAAACCGATCCACAGCCTTGTTCTCGATACCGGCCCGTTGATCAAGAACGATCCTCCTGCGAGCGTGCTCATTGCCAGGGCCGAGAAGCTCTACACGCTTCCCAACATCATCAGCGAAATCCGCGACGCCGCCACCCGGGCCCGAGTCGAAACGACGCTGCTGCCATTCGTCACTCTGCGGTCGCCCAGACCCGAGAGCTTGAAGTTCATCGCCGACTTTGCAAAGAAGACGGGCGACTATGGAGTTCTCAGCAGGCCGGACATGGAGGTGCTCGCGCTGGGATATGAGCTCGAGTGCGAGAGGAATGGAGGCGACTGGAGGCTGAGGAATACGCCGGGCCAGAAGGGCCTGAACGGCAGGCCACCGCAGGAGAAGCCCGCGACGGACGAGACAACAGAGGGACCAGTGCAGGGTGATGAAACTCAGAAGCCTGCTGAATCCGAGCAGGCTTCAGAAGGTGCCAAAGAGGAGGAGGCAGATGTGCAGTCGGAGCCGCAAACAGAGGCGAACCTCAGCGACGACATGGAGAGATTGAATCTCGAGGCCGCTGCCAATGCCGACAAGCAAACAACAGAGCCGGGGACGACAGAAGCCGTCCAGGACTCGCCAGCTGTACAGCAACCCGAGGAGGCATCAGAAGAATCAGACGACGAGGGCTGGATCACCCCCTCCAACCTCAAGAAGCAGCAAGCCAAAGACTCCGGTGCGGCCGGCACGAGCGCCAACGCTACTCCCAAAGTCCTGCAGGCTGCCATCCTGACATCCGATTACGCCATGCAAAACGTCGCCCTGCGCATCAATCTGAATCTGGTTGCGCCCTCGCTGTCGCGCATCACATATCTGAAGACGTGGGTGCTGCGCTGCCATGGCTGCTTCAACATCACCAAGGACATGGACAAGCAGTTCTGCCCCAAGTGCGGCCAGAACACGCTCACGAGGACCAGCTGCTCGACAGATCAGCACGGAAACTTCAAGATCCACCTGAAGCAGAACTTCCAGTGGAACAACCGCGGCAATGTGTTTAGCGTGCCTAAGCCGGTTCATGGCAGTGCGAATGGAAGATTGCCCAAGCATGTTGGTGGGAAGAATGGCTGGGGCAGAGACTTGATCCTCGCAGAGGACCAGAAGGAGCACGTCAAGGCGCTGGATGAGCAGCGGAGACAGAGGAAGAAGGATTTGATGGATGATGACTATCTGCCTGGTCTTCTGACAGGCCATAGGTCTGGTGGTGGTAGCAAAGTCAAGGTTGGTGCGGGACGAGCGGTAAACTCTAGGCGGAAGAGATAAGATGTAAGGGTGTCTGGATGACGATAAGAGGGAATTGCCCGACAATAGGAGAGGTCCATAATGATTGCATGAATCCAAGCATTTGCGCACACAGTAGCAAGGAGAATACCAGTGAAGGGTGCACCAAATGGCTCAATATCATCTCATGAGAAAACTGTATTGTCTTTTCTCCATCTGCTCATTCGCAAATGTGCCCAAATACATGCAATCGCCTAAAACGCCATATCCCTTCCTTGAATCAAGTTGACAATGATTCCAACTCCAAATGTCTCGACTTTGCCTACAGCAGTCGCACGTTCTCCCATGTAAGTCCCCTCATTCCCCTTTCTCGTCGTCTTCTTCCTTCCCTTTTCCGTGAGAAAAGCAGACTGCCTCACGGCACTATCCCGTCACTGACTCCAAACGATGGGAGCAGAGAGCTCGAGTTGGTGGTATCCAAGCAGGAGTCTCCTTGACCTCTTTCTTCGCCCGACATCGCAAATACACCGAAGTGACTAGGCTGGATTCTTGCTCATCGGTCTTCTTTTTTGAAGTCGCTTTCGTTCACGATTCGCCTATTCGGACGCGAGAGTTTACATAGCCTCCTCCTCTATAACCGCAAACACAGTCAGCATATGGACACAAAGCTTCCCTCGAAACTGATTCCACCCGTGGGCACCAGGAGCACTCACTCTGCTGAGTCAGGAGCAGGTTAAAGCGACGCTTCAGCGTGACGCGCTGACGAGACCACTTGTCATCGGGGGAGAAGCGCGCCGGGTGCGCAGACTTGGTGACCTGGCCGTGGGCGACCTTCTTCAGGGTGTAGAGGCGGTTGCCGTTGGCGTCGAGGGTGTACATCAAATGCATGGCGGGCTGTTTGATTTATAATCGTGGTGATATGTGAGGCTGGGAGAAGACGGGGACGAGACCAATTGACCGTTGGGTGGTTGTGGGTTTGGACTTCTTGAAGTTTTTGGTGATGCTTTTTTTTTTTTTCGCAGAAGCTTTGCGGAAAAAAAATTGGTCAAGTGGAGACACCAGAATAGACTATGGCTTTGCTATCTTCGGCTTATCGATAAGCAGCACCGCCGGTCCACCTTTCTCATCATTCACCGAAAAGAGTAGAATGCAATCAGTCCTCTTTGTATGAGCGTAAATGGAGAGTTTATAATCTCGCGAGACGCAATGGATGCGAGGATAACATCATTCATTAAGAAACATCAAGTCAAGACACTATGCAAAACTATGAGACTATCAATATCAACCGTGTCAAAGGTTCAACCAAACGTAGAGATAGAAGGCGAATATAGCCTGAAAAGAGAAATGTCCAGAACGAACCCAATTCGTCTGATCCAAGACTACCCGATCCTCCACCGAGTACATTCGTACGATCCTAGCAAAATCTTCCACTGCTACATCAAATCTCCTCGCCGACGCGAGCCTTCTTGTCACCAACCCAGCCCTCGCGCTCGTAGAAGCGGAACACCAAGTCGTAGTCTTCAAAGTCATGGACGATGCGATCGATGCGACGGTATCCGCGAACGGTATCGACAAGTCTCTGGGTGGCAAGGCCCTTGTGGGAGCTGGTCGAGCCGTAAGGGTTCTCGCCGCGACCCTTGGCCTCAAAGAGGGTGACGCTGAAGCGGCCAGGCTTGAAGATGTCAACGACGTGCTCAATGATCTCGGCCGTGGTTCGTCCGCTTTGGCCGCCCGGAACGTTGGTCTCAAACGAAGCAAACGAGAAGCCAGTCTCGGGCGTGACGTGGACGCTGAAGTAGTGTCCAGCGTTGTTGCCGCTCTGCTGGCCATCCTCCTGCGTGGCTGGGGGCGGAGGGATGATGCCGTTGGCAGAGAAGCCGCAGGGGCTGAAGAGGTATGAGTCGATGCGTGCATCGGGATAGACCGAAGTCGGATACACGTCGGCGAGGCCGCACTGCTCCGACACGACCGTGCCGAGGGCGTGGCCTTCAGTGGTCAGAGACTCCATCTCAGCAGGCTTCTCAGCCGACTCATGCAGGTCGGACTCGATGCCGTCGGCGAAGACGTTGACCTCGCTCACGTTGTCAGCAGTGTTACCGGCCTTGCTGCCTTCGGCAGACAGCTTGTCGCACGCGACCGCACTCGCGTGCGCCAGGTAAAACTGCTTGGCATTCAACGGATCGAGATCCGTCATCAAGATCTCGAGCGTCTCGTCGCTTCCAGGTCCTCCAAGCTCCATGTTGGCGGGCATCGAGAAGCTGGCCGGGGCCGTCTCATTCTTCTCCGAGTCGGGGGTCAGGGGAGGAGTGAACATTCGGTTGGGCGACGTGATGTACAGGTACCAGTGGTCGCCGTTCATCTTTCCCACCATGTAGGCACTGCCGCCATCCACCATGTCGTCCAGGTACTTGACTTCCTGCTTCCAGCTGCGGTGGGGACCCTGCTGCTTGTCGGGGAAGAGGAAGTTCTTGCGGCTATAGAAGACTCGGTAGGGAATAGCAACAGCCTTGATCTCCTTTGCGGACGTGGCGTTGTTGAAGGGGAAGCCCGCAAACTCGGCGGCAATGTGGAGCAGGCGCTGCAGTCCGAGGAGCAGCGTCGTGGTGCCGCAAGTCTTGAGAATGAGCTTGTGGGGAAAGACAAACATGCTCGACTCGGAGAGAAGGTAGGCGTCGACAGCATCGGTCTTGAGCACCGAGAGGATTTTGCAGTTGACCATGTCAAGCATAGTCTCCCAAGTCTCGGCGGTCACGGCCTTGAGGCCGGCGGGTCGAGCGCCCTGAGGCAGCGCCGAAGCACTCGGAGCGAACCATACCTCTAGGAGCTTCTCGGGTCCTGGGTGGATGCATGTCAGTAGCGATCCTTCGAAGCAAATCAAGGGCACTGTCGCATACCTTCGAAGGCATAGGTGGAGTCCAGCTCGGCCGCATTATCGTGGTTGATTGTCAAGTGGGGAGTGGCCGACGAAGGAGAGAAAGTGTAGTTGTTGGGCACCGAAAAGTTGGCCATGTTTGATGACTCGTCGCTGTTGAAACAGCACGTCAAAGCCAATGCCGGATAGGAGTGAAGATTGACGAGCTCGCTGTTGCTATGCCCGTCTGACAATGAGTCCGCGGAGCACTAGCTGCCACTCAAACAGACCTTGCGGCGTCTGTTCGAGAGAGTAGGCCCACAGGAATGTGGTCTGTCCAGCGACGCTGGCGGAAGCCAGCAGCAATCGGGGAGTGTAGAAGGGCTAACGTCTCGAGAGGACGTTATGGAGGCCGGGGACAGAGGGGGTAAAAGAACCACTTCTGTGACAAAATGTTGCGCTGGCGTGTGGTGCCCGATGCTTAGGACTCGGTGTCGAAACTGGTATGGAGGGCAAGAAATCTTGCCGAAGGCTGTTGACTTTGGGTAGGCGGTTGTGGTTGCGATGTGTAGCGAGCTTATGGCTTGAAGGGGTGCTATCGAGGCCTGAAGATGGGACAAGTTGTCAGCTTTCCAAAGTCTTGAGATGATAGAGCAGGCAAGCCGGCGAGGGCATACTTGGAAGGTCGCGAAAAGAGGAATCGCAGGAGATCAGTCGATCGCATAGAAGGCCAAAGAAAGAACCGGAGCGAGATGTCTTATAAGGACAGGCACACGTCTAGCTACTCATATCCAGTAACTTGAGAAAGCTAATGGATAGAAGAAGAGCTAATGAAGCTTGTCCAAAGTGTATAACGGTCGTGTGAGGCGGAAGCTTGATTGCGCGAGGTACTCTAGTAGGGCGATGCGATTGCAGCTTTTGCGCTCTGTGGGGGATTTTTTTTTTGTCCCCTCGGGGAAGCTCTCAGAAGAGACGAAAACCTCGCTTTTCGCTATTGGAAGAGAAACGGTAAGATGGGCAGAATGAAGAGGAATTTGAGGGATGCTGGGAGGATGCAGCACAGAAGGGATCGAGGGCAGAATCAGCCAGACTTGGGTGGAAAACAGAGTTTGCAGCACTTGAGCGGGTGCGCAGTCCGAGATTTTATTTTGGCTGAGGTTTGTGTTTGTGTGATGCTGGACGCAGCCCAATTGGGACCTGGGTGATGGTGTACCGGCCAGTACTTGCCCGCCATCCCATGCAGCTGAAGTACCTGCCGCTACAGCGTCGGCTCCACCCCCCAAGGTACGAGCAGGGGGGTTTTAATGGAAAGAGCCTGAAGTCAATTGATAAGGTGATTTTTTCGCGTCCATTAAGTCGAGTAGTACCTAAATCATGTCGTCACAGCTAGTTCTCTCTTGCCAAATACCTCAATTACTGCGATAAACTCTATTACGATGGGATGGGGACCTCGGTCGTATGCTGGAGAAGAGCCACTGCTTTCTGTACTGATGATGCCCACCAACAACCAGACGACTTCACAAGTCCACTGGAGGCGCATCTCGAAGCTATCACTGGATTGTTGACACCCGCCTCACCGATCCGTCAGTCTATATTTTGCAGGGTGCCCACATTTGATGGTCAGGCACCAGACGTAATACTGCTGCTCGTCTGCTCACCTCAAGACGCCGCCAATGGATGGCGGGGTTTCCGGAACAAGTAATTGCCTTGAAACCTTCGCCTGTGTGGCTTGAGGATGACGGAGGGCCTGTTGCTACGGTTGCAGGAGCATTGACACCCAAGGTGTTTGCTTCGCCCCTTGGGGAAAAGAATTATTGGTCGTGATTGGATCAAGGAATCCCTGACTCTCTGTCACCGCTTCCTATCAATGTCTGTAGGGTATTCATGCGAATCAGCTGGCACCTCTCAGAAGCAAGGGATGTCACGATGCGTGGCTCAGGGAGTGTTGTCATTGTAAGCTCATACGTAGCACTGCCTCCTACCCGACCGGTACCTTGCGTAAGTTAGACCCAGTGTACCTATGTACTAAGGTAGGATCAATGATGCATGCAAGCGCAGGCGAGCCAAGATATTATCCAAGCCTCTTCCGGGAGGCATCGTTGGCTTATTCAGATTGTGTGAATTACCATATCCCAGACCTTTAGATGTAGTATCCTAGAACTGGCTTGACTGGTTAGCGTAGCCAACGAAGTTATTAGAGATGGGTGGCGAAACGTCCCGTCTCAAGAAGTGGAAGGGGGCTGTCCCATAACCAATTCATGCAAGACACATTCGCACTTAACGTTGATCATAGATAGTTGGACAAGTGTACGCAAGTAATCCACGTGTGGTATGGTATCATGTTGTATCTGCTTCGGTGATCTTCTGCTGGAGCTGCGAGGTGATGCCTACGAATATGCGATACAGCGAACAGTCTTTGTACTTGTCCACCAGCGTCCCGTCATCCTTGCCGACCTTCTGTTCGCTCTCTGGCACCGACGATATGTCCTGCCCATTGACCACCGTCCCAGCCGGATAATGCGGTCGCTGGCCTTCCTCCACGAGAGCAATGAACTGCGCGTCAATTGGCACGGAGCCTAGGAACGGCACCTTGAACTCGTCGGCCATGGACTTGCCGCCGCCGGACCCGAAAATGTCTGTACACTCAGAGCAGTGCGGGCAGACGAAGCCGCTCATGTTCTCCACCACGCCCAGCACCCGGATGCCTGTCTTGACGCAAAAGTTGAGCTCCTTGCGCACGTCTGCCGTGGCCACTGCCTGCGGCGTCGTCACGACCACTGCGCCGGCAACCTGGCCCGGCAAGGCATCCCTCTGCAGCGTCTCGGCCAGCGATATGTGCTCGTCGCTCGTGCCCGGAGGCGTGTCAATGAGTAGATAGTCGGTTTCGTCCCATAGCACGTCCTTGAGGAACTGCCTGATCATGGCCGTCTTCTTGGGCCCCCTCCAGACCACCGCGTCGCCTCGCTTCGGTAGCAGGAACCCCAAGCTCATCGCATGTAGGCTGCCCAGGCCGCTTTCCGGCTCCGCCTCGTGGACAACAACTGGCGCCCATCCTCCAGGAACTTGTGTGACCTTGGAGGCCTCGATGGACAGCATGCGCGGGATGGAAGGGCCGGTCAAGTCGACATCGAGGATTCCGACGGAGTGGCCGGCGAGCGTCAGGGAGAGCGCCAGCTGCGTTGTCACCGAGGACTTGCCCACGCCGCCCTTGCCGGAGAGCACCTGTAGATGGCGTCAGTAATAAATGCATCCAAAGCGTTCCCTTCGGTGTAACAACGACCGACGTACCAGCACAACGTGCTTGACCTTTTCCAAGCCCATGGCAATGTCTGCTGCTTATCCGGGGCGTCGATGGCACATCAGCATGGTTCAAGTGCTGGTCGATGGTTACCTGTCGTCCGAAGCTGATGGAGTTGCGTTGATTTGTAAGATCGAACCGCCGTCTTGCTCGGCGCGAGAGGCGGATGAGCAAAGCGCCGATTTGCGGACAGTCGCTCGGATCTTGCCCCGCCATTAGACATTTTTCTCACCAAGAAATTGCCCCTCCAATTGTAACCCCCCTCTAAAAGGCCGATTATCGATTAGCTACCTAGTCTGAAAAGCTTCAATTTGCAGCTTTGTTGCATAAAGTACCGTGACCTCAGGAATCATGTGATGCTTGAAATGCACTTCACCATCTAGATGATGGTAGGTAAGGTAGGTATCTTAGACAAGGCACCGAGAGGTAGATCTGCCTCTCATCAAAGCTTGGTACGTAGAAGATCCTCGTCCATCTTCTCCCTTACATGTAATTTATCCCATCATTCATCACCGGAATTAGTCCTCAGTATCGCCTCGATGTCTAGGTAGCCACATATAAGGCATAGACACTCTGCAGACAGCTCCAACATTGTGAGCGTTATCATGCACTGCTGATCTCATCCCTCCCAGGCTCTTGCAACTTATCAGCCGACCTCTCCCGTTTCAACCGAGTCTCCTTCGGCGGCAGCGTCTTGTCCTTGTCCGTGGGCAGGAACTGAACGGCGCCCTTTTGGTACGCTACGACGGGTCGAGTGCCGTCGTAGTAGCCAAGCAATTCGAACCCGTAGTCCATGTTGAGATTGAGCGGCATGGAGTCGTTGAAGCGGACAATAGGGCCGCCTTCCACTGTGAAGCCGATGAACTCGCCCAGGATCGTGTTGTCGAGCTCGTCTTCGAGATTCCCCTGAATGGTATTTCTATTGACGGCAAAGAGTGTCAGCTTCATGTACCGAGAGTAGAGCAACCATGTCATCTTACACTTCGCTCATGGAGGGAGCATTGCTCTTCATGATGGACGCGGTCGCCATCTTCTTGACTCGCTTCTTCGTGCAGTCGTGAATGAGATGCAATAGGCCGGCAATGACGAGGACGGGTGTTCCTAATGCAAGTGCCCACGGCCTGTATCAGCTCAAAATTAGCATTCTTCCTGTCCAGTGGTAGTAGTTTTCCCTGTGATCAATCGTCTTACGGATGTCTCCTGTTTCGCAACGAATGTGCCATGGCGAGGATGATTCCCATCATAGCTATCAGTGATCCAACCTGAATCATGGTCCAAGTAGACCAATAGAGCGAGATTAAATTCTCGCCGTCGCAGAATTGCAAAGCGAGTAGAGAAAAGGCTTCCATGACAACCACTGCTGCCGATACGAGGACACAGGCAAGGCACATCAACATGTATCTCACCAGCATCCTGGCGCGCCTCCGTGGCTCATGGCTGAATTGCTCGTTTGTAACTTGGCTTCTGTACATGTATTCATGAGAATGGGCGTTTGGGATCCGAGTAAGATAGGCAGCGTACCTTGTATATGCCCAAGACGCGATGAATAGAATGACAAGGTTGAGGACGAACATGAACCAGTAGATGATCTTGAAGTGCCACCGGTCCAGATCAGCTGCAAATTTTGCGTACTTCCTGCAGAGTTCATCGTCTCTCATGAACGCTTGAGCCATGGCGTCTATTTCCAGACTGGTAAGACTATCTGATGGAAAACGAGATGCAAAATGAGGCTGTCAAGAGGAGCAAATCGGCTTGACTGGTAATAATATGTCGAGTAGATAGCGTTGGAGCACCTCTGTGCTATCAAGTGATGGAGCTCTATTGCCCCTTTGCAATGGATATGTTGATGCGTGTTTCAGGGCAGTAGTTTGGGCGCCCCTCACTTATTTATAAACTCTCTGCTCTCAATCATCAGCGTCATAGTCACATTACTTTTCGAGAAACTGTCCTCTCATCACTCTCATGTCCTTGACGCACCTCTATCTTTGCCCAGACCTAGCGGGTATCAAGCCAACGTCACACAGGATTTCCGTGATAAGCGACGGCAAAGACATATACACTGTCATGCAAACAACGAAGTACATAGGCCAAACAAGCACCCGAGAACTTGTTTTGACGAGGCAGCGCCAAGCCAAACCTCATGATCTGCGGACTTTCAGGCCCCCAACATTCCTAGACTACACCTTGAGAATCAGGGAGACCTTTACTGCTGCTGCTTGAAGCCTTTTGAGGGGGGGGGGGGCTAGAGAATCACTTCAAGGTCATTAGTATACAGCCCCCTTGACGTGCGCGGTGGAATCCTTGCAAGAATATTCGTCACTTGATGTAGCCTTCCCGTGTGGCGAGCACTGCCAGCCGGGATCGGGAATGGGCAGGGTAAAGACGAAGCCTCCGGGAAGACCCATGCATCATGCAGTTGACTGCCAAATGAAGGGAAGCAAATGGAGTACTATACCCAGTTGCCGAACGGATCCATGGGTACCGAGATCTCGGGGACGAGGTTCTCTCAAATCTTATACTACCGATATACTCTAAGCCCAAACCGTTCTGTTCGCTACAGGACTTAGCCTCTTAAGCGTGATGAACCGGGCTCGCTGAGGCCGTAATTGCTTCATCAGACACATAATTATGTCCTTTGCTTTGTTTGCGAAGATTTTGACGCCAAGACCCTGAACCGGGATCATTAAAACTAGGCGCGCTGAGGCTTTCCTGTGTCACACACTCTCACACAGTTTTCCCACCCCGTCTAATCTGAAACCAATCCATCGGGTTGTGACAGCTGATGGATTCGCCCTACCGATACCCATGCTTCACTGAACATCGTGTCAGATGGGGTCTATCATTGCCATGCTTTTTTAGCAACCCAAAAGGGCACTGGAAGCCCGATGTTACACGGCTCGAGGATTCGCATCATGATAGGATAGGATGTGATCAAGTTGCCTCCTTGGTTCGGCAAGCGGTCATTGTCTGTTCTGGCTCGAGAGCTTGCTGGTTTGTTGCTCCCTTTCCACCCTGATCCTTGCTTCAGGCACATCTGGTAGTTGTTTGCGGAGCTCGGTAGTTCTCCTTTTAGTACATGTACCCGACGCCGAGAGGCTGAGGCGCCTATCATGGCAACATCCTTGTTTGCAGCTTGTTCAGCCCGCATTGGCGCCAAGGCCCGGCGCACGCGAGAAAGTCCCGTACGAGCCTCAGCTCCCAAGAACGGCAGATGTCAATGGAGACCCGAGGATATTACGGAAAGTCGAGTCCGCTATCAAGCGACGGGTGCCGTAGTCTTGGCACACTATGATCGAGTCTTGGCCTACAATCTATTGGTAGCATGGCAACGGCTGAGATACCAAACGTGCCAAATAACTGGGGGTTGTCTAGGGAGGGGCGGCCGGATCGTCATTTGTGCGGGAATCAGGCCGCCCTGTTGTATTCCAGATCTGACCGAGATTGGCCTGCTTCCTCGTTTAAGCTTAATTGTACTGCGTGCATCCCCGCTCCACCATATGGTTCGGTATCTCTTGGTGCCCAGAGCCTGATGATAGGAGCAATCAGCCGGCGCAGCCAAATTCTTTCTAGCTGTACCACTTCTTCTCAGTCTAATTCTTTCTAGCTGTACTACTTCTTCTCAGTCTGATACGCAGCTCTTATCAGCCCACTGAGTCTTGTATGCTTCGTATAAACACCAAAGCTGTAGGACTAAGCTGGCTCACCCAGTCAGGTAGGAAATGGTTAGCAGCAAAGAACGATGCCTCTAGGCTATGGAATAGGCACGAATTGACTTTTTGGCAAGGGTATGGCCAATGGCCAAAGCGCTTTCTAGCTACCTAGTATCAGCGGGCAAACTTGAGTCTGCTTGCTCTATACATGAGCTGACGACGACTCTTCTTGGCGCTCTTTGAGGTGCCCAACCCCATTATGGCACTGCCACAATGCCCGATAGCCCTGTGCCTTTGAGAGCGTAAGTCACACAAGCAAGGAAAATCAGTCAACACATGCTCTTTGTGCATTAAAGCAGTGACAAGTTTGACATTGCTGTTGCACCGACTCAAAGTCAGTATTGTATCCGTCATTGGGAGCAGCAACTCAATCGTCCAGCGGCTGGAGTGAAAGCAGGGGACAAGTACTTTGAGCTCCATAGATTCTTGCGGATAGTAAGCTATGAGAATGGTAGGAGAGCCAACCCTGGTAATCTCCCCCAAGCCTTCGGCCCTTTAAAGCAAGGGAGACCTGGGCCTGAAGGGGCGGTAAAATTTCTCAAAACCAGAAGACAGCGGTGTTGCATATGTACTTTGTTGCGATAACTTAACTCAGGTGCGGCTGTACCATCGCAGCGGCCGTTCTACAATCAAGCAATACCACAGAACATGCCGAACGACACATGATATCGAGATGAAGAGAGACGCAGCCCCCAAACTCTCAAAGATGGTGTGCGCAATCCTCTGCACTCGTAGAATGCTTAGGGAGTGTTTGGGCATCAACGAGTCACTCCATGGGAGTGGAGCACTGTATGTAAGGAGTATGCGGAGCCAATAGATTGATTGCCGTAAATCTCGGACGCGAGTATGCGTTATCATTATTGGAGGACCTCGACTCAATTAGTGCTGGGAACCGTAACATCCTTTCCATCAACAAGAACCTTGCTGGTTGTCTTGTCACTCAGTTCAGCAGCCTCCGTGATCAGCCGGCCGGCATGGTCATGCGTCCTATCCCACTCCTCAACCTCAGCGTTTGGCACCTTGACCAGCTGGTGGCTTTTTGATCCGTCTTCAAGCGTGACGACTTCTTCTCGTATCTTGTAGCCCCGGAAGTAAGGAATGCCGTGGATCCAAAGCCAATAATATGCAACGCAAGCCAGAATACTGCAGCAAGTCAGTAACTCAACGGTGTTCTGTCCCATATGAGGAATAAGGCTGGTGAGACTTACATGCCGATTGATGTGACTACGTACGTGCCGTACCAGAAACTTACGTCGCCACCAGTTGCGCCCCCTGCAGGGGGGTACCAAGGCATGATGAGGAGATAGAGATTTTTCAGGATGCTGAACCAGATGACTATATCCCACGCTTTAAACTCGGGCCGTGGCAAGTTGAGCGCCTTTCGTTTGTGTCTCACAATGAGGAGGCCCACGCACATCAGGAAGTCGAAGAAGGAGCCAGGGTAGATGCGAAGATCACTGACTGTGTCCATGTTAATGAAGAGACAACGGTTGAACTCGTGCTCCATACGTACCGAAGTTGAAAGCATCGCCAGCAGGCGGAGCGAGGATCATGATGAGAGTGATGGCGTATTTGAACAGATACGGCCCAAGAGCAGTTCCGAAAGGGTAGGTCGAGACCCAGAACCTGGTCCATGGAAGAACGCCCTGCCGACCACATTCTCGGATAATCCGCGAGGTACCTATCATAACTGCCACCAGATTGCCAAAGGCACTGATGGCGATGAGCAAGTTGAGCGCCTTAACCTGTTTGCTATCGCCGAACACATTGATGAAGAAGAGGTTGGCAACGGTAAGCTTGCCGCTGATAATGTCCGCCTTGGGGACTGTATGGGGCAAAGGGTCAGTTACTAGTCGGGTTGGACTTTTGACAAAGTAATGGTCTCACTTACTGGCGGCATAATAGGCGATAACGGTAAGTATGTACAGAATGCTGACAGACCAAATGGCAATGTAGCCTTGCCGTCGGATCTGCTTGACAGGGTTCTTGTGTAAAGCGTAAGACGGTCTGATCGTTCCGTACTTGGGCGATTCCTTCTCAAACTTACCTTGACTTCGTTCACGACGTTGAACGCGTTTTCGTATCCTGCGTAGGAAAATATGATCTTATACAGACCGTTTGTTATGCCGTATGCGGTGGCCTTTCCTTCAAACGAGTTATGGAAATTGGCCGTAGGGTCCTGTACTCGAGTATGTCCTCCGAGGACTACGAACCCGGTGATTGAGATGAAGATCAGGGTAGCGATCTTGACAAAGGCGATTCCGTTGGCCAAATGGTACGCCAACTTGTTGTGTAGGACAACCACTGGAAACTGTGTGAGTCTGATGTGCCTTTCTATAAGACGGGCCTTTCTCTGCGCAAAGTGGAACGTACCGAGAAGAGCAACTGTATAACCTGCTATGGCAACCCCCTTTAGCTGCCAATCGGTAGGATTGTGATCTGTCATCTTAAACAGGTACTGCGCCAATACTGTCGGTAGCTTTGGCATTAGTTATTGTTTGGCCTCGGTTTACCCCATTCTCGGTATGACAGAAACCCACCGTATGAATTGGCGCTGCTGAAGGATAGAATGACGGATTGGAACGCAAATGCCGTCGAGAAGAGCCAGCGCGGACGCGGAAATGCTTGTTCGAGATACACCACCTCTGCTCCAGATCGCGAGGGAAAGTATGCTGTAAACTCGAGATAGACCGCAAACGCCGTAATCGATGTCAGGAACCCAAGAGCCCACCATATCAGGCTCAGTCCAATGCTGCCGGTGCCGGCGAGGATCGATGATGCTATCGGCTCTCACTTAGTAGGGCCCGTATGCAATAACAGACTGGTGGAAGGCAACGGCTTACGAGTTGAGAAGATGCCTGTTCCAATCATCTTACTGACATTGAGAAAGAGAATCGTCAAGGGCCCAACGTCGTAACCCAAGGGGGACGACTCCTCCACAGGAGCACCAGAAGCATCTTGATATGTCGTCTCTTTGCTGTTGGCACCCTTGCCCGCAATATAGTGAGTTTCTCCAGCGACAATCTCAGAGGGACCGCTTTCCGTTGATCCACGCTCATCCGCGTCGACAGCCTGAGGCTCTTCGCCGCTGCGAAAAGGACGCCTCCAGAAGGAAGGCATTATTCCCTATAGAGTCCTGATACACTTATCTCTAGTCGTGAGAATATGTCGAAGAAATATCGAAAGGTCAGCAATTAGCTTCAGATGATTGGCCGATAGGCCTGGTTTATGCGAATCGGTAGGACCATACACCGTGGTCAAGCTTAAATCGGTTGATTGACACGAGAGGGGGCCCTCATCGCTTTTGAGCAGCACAACCCCCCGGTTTGTTTGTCATGGTTGCTACACAGGGACGATCTTTGCCATCCGTCAGTTGTTGATGGAAACCTTGGCGGTGCGGAGTCTCTCCTGATGGCAATGACACTATTTGATCGCGACGATACAAGGCGATGATAACGCAATTGATTGCCATAATTCGCTAACCCTCCCCCCACCAGAGTCGTCGGAGTCCGAAGGGCATGTGTCAAGAGAGTAGCAATTGTTGCCATTCTGCAGCAAGCTCGCAGATTATACATTTACTGTCCTGCGTCCTACATTACGCCAATCTTTCAATCATTAGCAATCTCGCCAAGCTGGTGGCTTTGCCCAGGGCTGGGCTTCTTCGTTGTGGAGAGCACGTATGGGGCTGCCGCAAAAGATCAAGGCCATATCTGAAGAGGCCCCAGGTCAGCGGAATTGGCCACACTTTCGCCATGTCGCCATATTCGTGATTCTGAGGTGATACGATACCAGGATGTCGTTGCAGGCCTCGACTCACTGTGACCATAGGTTCATGCATGTTGGGACAGGCAAAGATGCATGTGCTATCAATGCTACTGTGATTTGACAAGAATTTTTAACCCAGCCTGGATGCTGTGGATGGCGAAAAGGAATTGATTGCGATTGATGCAGCACGGCATGAGCCTATCTGTATATGATTGGCGATCGAGCAAGGATGCATAGCTCCTATGGACTCATCTACCCAAACTGTTATGCTGAGATTCTATACATCTACTCTTGCAACGAACCGTAACACTGCTTGACTAGGTATACATCACCCAATCGGACATGGAAGTGTAGCTTTTTGGATGCATATAGAAAATGTATGAATGTTTCTAGAGTACCCATAACTTCAAGTCAAGTGTCTACTCGTACTTTCTCTCCTCGGGTTTTCCGTCACTGGCGCTACGAACACCTGGCTCTAATGGGAATATGGAGTTCTCGGGGTTTACATCTTTGTACACCCTGTCCCAGATGTCAGTAAGCGGTTCGGGCGTCTTCCAAGCGTACTCAGGGTCTCGCAGCCAAAGACGGATAAGATGACGCCTATTATCGAAAAGCTGTCAGCAGGAATCAATTCGAGAGAGTTTATTAGAAGCCGGTGTAGGCGCAGTACCTCTTATCTGGGGAATCTCTGAACTTCTCTCGGGCATGGAAGATGCTCAAGTTATTGGCAAACTGTATGTCGCCCTTGTGGAAGTCGAGGGCTGCGCGGTACTTCTCAGCCGTGAAGTGCAAGGCATCCAGCGCCTCAGCTTGAGCCTCAGTGATAGGAGGAATGTCTGTTGATCGTGGGAGGCCCCAGTATCCTGTAAAAGTGCGTCGCGCGTATTGGATGATGAGACGCTGAGGGGTCTCTTCGGTTGCGGGCTGGAAGTACAGAAGGGGCCGTACGGTATGAGTCCTGCCACGCTTCCCAAATCTGGAGCAGAATAACATTAGCCATTATTCACCAGAAGCTCCTGGATCCGTCCCAGCTATACTCACTCGTCGACGACCCAAGGCTCAGACAGCGTTCGAATAAGATCGGGGCGTGTTGCTGCGAGCTCATTATACACGTGCCAGCTGCTGGACAAGAAGCTCTGGCCGCCCTCTTCAGGCTCGCCCAGGGCAAACAGGGCTATCACATCTCCGGCATCGGTGTGGAAGACTTGCTTGTCGGCTGTGTACGCCGGCGCCCCAATCTTATGAGGATCAATCTCCTGGGTAAGATCCTTGATGTGCGCGAGAACGACATCAGCTGGCTTCCCGTTGTATTGGTGATCTTGGCGGCCGCGGATGGGCGCGACGTGGGATGCGATGCCGGCGTAGATTATCACGTTCTCCTCGCGACTGTAGTTATCGACCGGTACGCCCTTGACGACTTTGAAACCGTGGCCTAGGTGGACCTCTTTGGAGATTGCCCGTAGAGTATCGTGAAGTTTCGGCAAGGGAAATGTCTCGGGGGTGACGTAGCCCAAGCCCAAATTCAGAGCTGGTACCAACTAATGTGAGATTACAAGGCATATGTGGCCCAGAAAGGCAGAGGGCTTACACTTGAAATGCCGAAGAGCTTGGTCAACCTCAGCAATATCGCTCTCGGTCAGAACGTAGTTCCAGTCGTACGTATCTGCCAAGTTTCTACCGTCCCAGACAAGGTCGGATTCAAGCTTGGCGGGAAAGCCATCCGGGAGGGACTTGTTCAACTTTTCCGTCTCTTGACGCCGCTTGATGCGGTTGAGATAGTTTTCATAATTGGGAGCATATGAAATGTCCGGCTGCCTCGGGGCTTGAACAGCGGCGGCGGCCATTTTGAATCGAAGTTAAGGACTGGGCGTAGACCGGGTCAGTCAGAGGAGCTGGTGGGAGACGCCTCGTGGTAGGGGTATCTTGGGACCTTGATTCAATATGCGCGGGCAAACCAATTTATCCTCTCTCCTCTCATCTGCAGATGTCTTAACTTGACAAATCACTTCTCCGTCGTCGGCTAAATGCTATGGTGAACGCATGTTGCTGCATGTCGTCATGATAGCTGCGAAATTTGTCCGTTGTGATAGGATATTGGAGTTGTTAGCTAAGCCGGATCATCACCCGCACTCCATGTCGCCATCAGCACCCATGGACTCGCAATCGGCTGCATGGAGTTCAGCAGCAGCCGTTATTGACCACATGTGCAGATTGATCGAGAAGAAGACAACCAATCGACTTCGTCATGTCGTGATTCACAGATGCTACGGTACTGTTTCTACCTTGAGGTATCATCACTTGAAATGAGGATGCACCCGACTTTACAGGCGCTTCAACCGTATGGACTCCATGCAGGCAGTAAGACTACCTAGTAGATCGTTCTCGGCAATCGTTGTCGACACAGTCGCGAAGATGAACCTGCATGATGCATCACTTACATGCAGCACATGTCGGTCTATGCGGAGCTGCAGCCTCGTCAAAACCGAAGCAAAAAACATGGAAATTTGGCAAAAAAAAAAAGGTGACGATGTTCGTCTCTCTCCCGCCGGGAATTGAACCCGGGTCTCAAGCGTGACAAGCTTGCATACTGACCACTATACTACGGAAGATGTGTCAAGCGTTGGATCGCTTGTTGTAGGTGGATCATGGCGGAGGACCCTTGCTGAAAATCATTATGTTCGAATGAGCGCTTCGCTGCCGTGCATATGTTGCCTGCTGACCCTTCACAGCAATATTAGATCGCCATATGAACAGCGCTTGAGATGACGCCGGTGAGCCCACCCGGTGGAATGGAAAATAAGGTACTATCGACTAAGCTCACGGCATTGGGACGCATGGTACCGTAAGCCGTGGCGCCTAGGTAGGGTCAAGCAACAATGAGGCGGCGACTTTGCGGCAACCTCAGCATTTTGGAGTCCGAAGATGCGAGTTGTCTGGTAACCTTAGCCACTTGACGTTAAGAGGCAAAAGGCATAATGGCACGGCTACATCAAAGATGCAAACAGGCATGTTTTTTCCGACTCTCGGGTTGTAAAGCTCCCCGTACACAAAGTCACGAGGTACAGAAGCCGTGGACCTGACGGCCAAGACATTAATAATAGGTGACAAAGGTGTAACGATAAGCTCTCTTCTTCTATAGAAGACTAGCTAAAGAGAAAGAGAAGGAAAATAAATAAACGGCTATAAACATATTATAGGCCTAAGGCCTGTAGTATTATAAGGTAGTCCTAAGTTATTAAGGTAGGGACTACTTAACACATCCCCCTTAAAACTAATACACTATAATACTATTATAATATCCTAGGAAATTAATAGCATCTCTTTAATTATAAAATATAGGCTATTTTACTATATATAAGGAATATAAAATAAATTTAGGAAATAGCTACTATTCCTTTAATTAAGGAGAAATAGTATTAATAAAAGTAGGTAAATTAAATTAAGGTTTTTTAGTTATTAAAGTCTAAAAGTTACTTTTACTTATTAAAGTATAAGGCTTTTTTAATTAAAATAGAAATAGTTTATTAAAATAAAAATAAATAAAAATAAATAAAAATAGGTTATTAATATAATAATAAAAGCTTATTACTTTTAAAGTTCTTAAGCAGCTTTTTATTTATTAAATAAAGTGCTTTTTTTATAAAAAATATATTAGTACTATTAATATAATAGTTAGGGTTTAATAAAATACTTATATTTTAAAGTATTAAAAGTATAAAAGATAAATTTATTTTAATTAGTAAATAAAATACCTTTTATAATAAAGGTCTTTTTAATATAAACCTAGTTAAAGTAGCTACTTATCTTAAAATATAAAGAATAAGGAGACTTATATTACTTCTTATTATAAATCTAGCACTTTTAAACTATTTTAAATATAAACCTATTATAATTTAAATCCTTATTAATATAAGAAAAGGAAATAAAAAATAAAAAATAGGAAATAAAATATAACTAAAGTAATAAAGTTAATATACTTATTATAGTTATTCTTAATATTTAAATAAATATACTATTTTAAAATAAATCTTTATTATTAAATAGTATTAACTATCTTTAAAAGCTTTATAAATTTAGTATACTTAATTTTTATAAATAGCTTTATTAAACTATTTATAATTATCTTTTATATACTAATTTACTATATTTTAAAGTCTTTTTATTTTACTTTATTAATAATTTATTTAAAATAAATATTTATATGCCTTATTTATATTATATTATATTAATTAAGAATAGTAATTTTAATATTTTAGGAATTAATATATAAGATTATAAGCTTTTAGTTTTTAATGCCTAAATTATTAAGGATTTTCTTAATTTAAATAGCTAATATTTTAATTAAGGTAAGGTTT